TAAATGTATTATCCTATTCCCATGGCTCTGGCTATGTGCAGTATAGTAGCTTCTATTTCTATACAAACCAGGGTCTCAGTCTCAGATTACTGTCAAGGTAAGGAAACATTACAGAAGGTAATTGAGTGAACTCTCTCATTATGTGAAGTGTCTGTACCTGTATTTTCAATGACTTGTTCTTGATAAGTCTACGGATGTACTCCTTCCTCTCGTCCTCCATTGCTCTGATCTTCATTTCATAGTCGTGCTCTCTTTCGTTGCTCTCTTGTCCTTTCTATGTTCAGTCTCACGTCCAACAGGTTACCCTAGTGGCCAGTGATTTTAATGCAGGAAAACTGAAATATGTCTTACCTAATTTCTTCCAACATGTCTGTAAGGGTTGGTGTCAGGTGTGACCCAGGTGCGGTGCAGGATAGACAGTAGGCAGTAGGCAGAGATGGTGAAACAAGGATCTTTACTGGTGGTCCCAAAACCAGAATACAAAATAACGGACTTGTCACGAAAAAATAAAGGAGGAGCAAAAAACAAGCTGACAGCAAACATACGAAATACTAACTATGACTGAAAATAACAATGAAACAGGGAGAACACTTCTCAAGTACCTGTACATACGTCTCGCGATCAGACACTGATTAGTACTGTTTGGCATCGAGAACTAGCAGAGAAAACAGAGCAAGGGAACACAGGGAAGTGAGGGCATAAATACACAGGTGAACAGGTAGACACAGGTGACACCAATAGGATCATGATTAGTCCAGACTGTGAGTGAGGAGGTGCCTAAGGTTCTCGGAGGATGACACCTAGTGGGTCGCTCCAGAACTGCGACCCCCTCCTGTAACGCTAACTACAGGCAATAAAACTCTAGACTACCTTTACTCCACACAGAGGGACACATACAAAGCTCTTCCTCACCATCCATTTGACAAATCTGACCATAGCTCTATCCTCCGGATTCCTGCTTACAAGAAAAAACTCAAACAGGAAGTACCAGCGCAATATGGAAGTGGTCCGATGAAGCTGATGCTAAGCTACAGGACTGTTTCGCTAGCACAGACTGGAATATGTTCCGGGACTCATCCAATGGCATTGAGGAGTTTACCACATCAGTCACCGGCTTCATTAATAAGTGCATCGTTCCCACAGTGACCGTACGTACATATCCCAACCAGAAGCCATGGATTACAGGCAACATCCTCACTGAGCTAAAGGCTAGAGCTGCTGCTTTCAATGAGCGGGACACTAACCCTGACGCTTATAAGAAATCCTGCTACTCCCTCCGACGAACGATCAAACAAGCAAAGCGTCAATACAGGACTAAGATCGAATCCTACTACACCGACTCTGATGCTCGTCAGATGTGGCAGTGCTTGCAAACTATCATGGATTACAAAGGGAAACCCGGTTTCTATTATTTTCAGTCCAGTCTAGTCTAGTCCAGATCTACTCTAGTCCAGTCTAGTCCAGTTTAGTCCAGTCCAGTCTCATCTAGACCCATTACTGACTTATAGTAAAAGTCATATTTAATCACACTTAGTAACAGAGGGGACATTGTAATACATTATTACAGTTAGCTAGATTGTTTAAGAAAATAGCCCACCAAATAGGCTACTTGATTAGGCTACAGATTATTGATCAGGGCAAACTCAGAGCACAAGGATGTTGTCTATTGTCCTCTCTTTGGTTTTTCAGGTCGGTGGGGAAAAAAATATATGAAATTGAGACAAGAAATTACGTCTATCAACTTCCAGCTGATGAGTTCAAGTATTTAGACTTGGGTGTCACTCTGGCCAATAGGTTGCTGATAGATTTATGTTTTGCTCTTCTCCAAATGTTCAGTAGAAGTGGCTGAGAAATGGAATACAAATTTTGTGCAACATCTGGATTGTTGCGTATGTTGCCATGACAACAACATTATAATGCTCCAGAATGATGGCCCAGAATGCTGGTCACAGAACTAGAATGAGATAATATTTATATGGTTCAGGTACTGTGACATTACCTAGGCCTGTACAACCAGTAATTCACCTATGCTTTGCCAAACATTTCATAACTTTACTTATAAATTATTTGTGAAGCGTTTATGTAAGCCTTATAAAGGGCCTAGAAATGCTGACTCTCGGAACCCCAAATCAATCCTACGCCAGCTACTGTTCTACATCATGCTACCATCTCCGGTAACCAACACCCCAGCCAGCAGCAACACAGTGTTGTTGTAGTAGGCTATGTAATGAGAGTTTCTGACGGTAGAGGGCACTCTGTGCATTTGAATCATCATGTCATTGACTGCTGCTTCAGCTGTTATCTAGCCTGGAATGTGCTACATTAGTCCATTCCATTGGATAGATAAAACAAAGAAAATGTAACTGAATAGAAGACTGCTTGAGACATATCTGGAACAAATAAGTCTGAATCCTTGGAATCACATAACATCAGGAATGTAGAACGTGTGGTAAATTTGTAATCTGGCGCACAGCTGCAAGGTCCATTCAGCCCTTGCATATACAAAATCCAGCTGTGTTGGAATGGGACAGACAGTGCCAAGGAAAGCAGTCAGGACACAGCGGGGGACTGAGAATGGTGTGAAAATGCATGCAGTCCTTTCGGAAAGTATTCAGACCCCTTGACTTTCCCCCCCAAAAAATTACATTACAGCCTTATTCAATCTACACACTGTATGCATATCCCATAATGACAAAGCAATCACAGGTTTATTAGACATTTTTGCAAATGTATTAAATATAAAACCCAGAAATATCACATTTACATACATACTCAGCCCCTTTACTCAGTACTTTGTTGAAGCACCTTTGGCAGCGTTTACAGCCTTGAGTCTTCTTGGGTATGAAGCTTGGCACACCTGTATTTGGGAAGTTTATCCCATGCTTCTCTGCAGATCCTCTCAAGCTCTGTCAGGTTGGATGGGGAGCGTCGCTGCACAGCTATTTTCAGGTCTCTCCAGAGATTTATGATCGGGTTCATGTCCGAGCTTTGGCTGGGCCACTCAAGGACATTCAGAGACTTGTCCCGAAGCCACTCCTGCGTTGTCTTGGCTGTGTGCTTATGGTCGTTGTCCTGTTGGAAGGTGAACCTTCACCCCCAGTCTGAGGTCCTGAGCGCTCTGGAGCAGGTTTTCATCAAGGACCTCTCTGTACTTTGCGCCATTCATCTTTCCCTAGATCCTGACTACTCTCCCAGTCCCTGCCACTGAAAAAAATCCCCACAGCATGATGCTGCCACCACCATGCTTCACCGTAGGGATGGTGCCAGGTTTCCTCCAGACGTGATGCTTGGCGTTCAGGCCAAAGAGTTCAATCTTGGTTTCATCAGACAAGAGAATCTTGTTTCTTGTGGTCTGAGAGTCCTTTAGGTGCCTTTTGGCAAACTCCAAGCGGGCTGTCATGTACCTTTTACTGAGGAGTAGCTTCCGTCTGGCCACTCTACCATAAAGGCCTGATTGGTGGAGTGCTGCAGAGATGGTTGTCCTTCTGGAAGGTTCTCCCATCTCCACAGAGGTTCTTGGTCACCTCCCTGACCAAGGCCCTTCTCCCCCATTTGCCAGGCAGCCAGCTCTAGGAAGAGTCTTGGTGGTTCCAAACTTCTTCCATTTAAGAATGATGGAGGCTACTGTGTTCTTGGGGACCTTCAATGCAGCAGAAATGTTTTGGTACCCTTCCCCAGATCTGTGCCTCGACACAATCCTGTCTCTGAGCTCTACGGACAATTCCTTCGACCTCATGGCAAGGTTTTTGCTCTGACATGCACTGTCAACTGTGGGGCCTTATATAGACAGGTGTGTACCTTTCCAAATCGTGTCCAATCAATAGAATTTACCACAGGTGGACTCCAATCAAGTTGTAGAAACATCTCAAGGATGATCAATGGAAACAGGATGCACCTGAGCTCAATTTTGAGTCTCATAGCAAAGGGTCTGAATACTTATGTAAATAAGGTATTTCTGTTTTTTATTTTGAATACATTTGCAAAAATTCTAAAAACCTGTTTTCGCTTTGTCATTATGGGGTACTGTGTGTAGATTGATGAGGAAAAACACTAATTTAATAAACTTTAGAATAAGGCTGTAATGTAACAAAATGGGGAAAAAAGGAAGGGGTCTGAATACTTTCCGAATGCACTGTATTATGTTGGAAAGTCCCCACTCAACAGCCAGCAAAAGTTAAAAGTTTGAGTAGGCCTATATGATTTCTAGGTACACAAAGCTGTGATTAAGGTTAAGCCATTTCACCCCCACATGTCAGCTGTGACATACTGCACCTTTTGGGGGCATGAGGAAACTGGGGGCTGACAGTTTGGCTTGTGGCCAGACAAAATTGAAGCATCTGTGTCTTCTGTTCACTCTTAACTCTGTGTCTTCTGTTCACTCTGTTAACTCTGAGACACGTCTGTATAATGAGGGTATGTGAGCCTTTTAGCTTAACAAGTAAAGCTTAATATCAATAACCTACTGAACATAGGCCCACAAAAACTGGATATTTTTTCCACGAATACAAATCAAGGATCAACAAGCCAACCATGTAGGCCTACTTATGTATTTGCAAAAAGCAGATCCAAACATATAGTATTAGAGCCAACTAAAATTGTGAGGTGACTGTTCAAGTTTACTACACGGAATACGTAGTAGGCTATAGGTTACAAAAAGTGTTCAGGAAAAAAGCGCGCCTCCGTGTGTTCAACCAATTTGGGGGCGTCGTTGAATTTTGACAGTTTAGATCCTGCAGCCCTCCGACTCAAACACTCCCAGTGAGAAAGTATTTATAATGTTATAGATGACGGTGTCGGGTTCCCCTTCTCATCCACTAATTATTTTCGGCTTTTATGGCAAGCAACTCAGATCAATTCAGATCTGTCATTGAACAAAGACATACCTCATGGCCGCATCAAACAGCCGACGTGACGTACTGTCCAAGTTATGGGTCACAATGTTCGTTGTTGTTGTGGTCGTACTGCAGGTAGCTTCGACAACTGGACTCCTATTCTTGAACATGTCGGTTGCTCAGGTAAGGCCTTTTTTTTCTCCATCCTATAGCTGATGTTCACCCTGACGACCAGAAAACCTCTATTCATGCTATTTTTGAGTTTGTCCCCAGCTCACAGTCGGTTCCCCATAACTTCTGGTAGCCAGGAAATTATAACTTCAGACCACATTCATTTAAAAAAAACATTTATGAAGTATGAAGTAGCCTACAGTCTTCTTGAGCTGATACATGGCAGTGAGTGAAGAACAGTTTATTAGCCTACTGATTTATAAATGACATATTATCCAATAATGAACACTATATGAAGTACAGCGCTTTCAGAAAGTATTCACACCCCTTGACTTGTTCCACATTTTGTTGTGTTACAGCTTGAATTTAAAAGGAATTCAATTGAGATTTGGTGTCACTGGCCTACACACAATACCCCATAATATCAAAGTGGAATTATGTTTTTAAAAAATACAATAAAAATAATAATTATTATTATTATTAAAAGCTGAAATGTCTTGAGTCAATAAGTATTCAACCCCTTTGTTAAATAAGTTTAGTAGTAAACATTTGCTTAACAAGTCACATGAGTTGCATAAACTCACTCTGTGTGCAATAATAGTGTTTAACATGATTTTTGAACGACAACCTCATCTCTGTACCCCACACATACAAGTTCCCTCAGTCCAGCAGTGAATTTAACACAGATTCGAACACAAAGACCAGGGAGGTTTTCCAATGCCTTGCAAAGAAGGGCACCTATTGTTAGATGGCCAAAAAAAAAAAAAAAACATATATATTGAATATCGGTGCACAAAATGTTGCAAAGAAATTAACTTTACGTGCTTCACCTCTTAATCAGAAAAATAGTTTGCAACATACTTCTCCAATTTACTTCCCCATTTAGATTGTACCTGCTGATTAAAAGTGAATTATGTCTGCATAAAGTATCAGCATACACTGAAGACTTTGTTACTGCATGGAGATGAAAATGACTGTGATAACCAAAGTAGGCTAATGCTCAAGTTTGATCAGTGTCATTGGTCAGATTCTTCTCTCTCTGTAGTCTGGCATGGGATCCCATGGTTTGGCTCTAGTCCTGGTTTGCTACAATGACTACAGAGCCTGTTACCGCACCAACAAAGACCCTGTAAGTCACAAATATGACCATAGGGTCGAAGATACTAACCACATCCCTCAGAAATACATTCTATTACATTGATTACTGCATTGTTAGGTTTTGGAGCTTGCACAAAATTCATTTCACTGTACTTGTGCACGTGACACTAAAACTTGAAACTTGAAATAAACCACACACATTGGTCATAACAATGAAACTGGTAATGGGTAGCAGTGACTGAGTCTATTATTTATTATATGAATCACCACTCACCAGGCAAATACTAGTTGAGATGGAAAGTTGGATTTGTAGTCCACTGCAACTCAAGACTAAGTCAAACTAGGCCTGTCTAACAATTGTACAAAGTTACGAAAGCTGCCAAGTTTAGAGTCAGCAAAGTTATGTGAGGAGGTGTGGTAAGGGGGCAGGAAATGGTGTGTTTTGATTGCACCCTGTCACGCCCTGACTCAGGGGACTTGTATATGTTGAGTCAGGGTGTGTATGTTCTATGTTTTATATTTCTATGTTGAGATTCTAGTATGTCTAGATCTATGTTGGCCTGTGTGGTTCCCAATCAGAGGCAGCTGTCGCTCGTTGTCTCTGATTGGGGACCATACTTAGGCAGCCTTTTGGCACTAGTTAGTTGTGGGATCTTGTTCCGTGTAAGGTATGTTGTTTGTGTGCTACCTTGGACTTCACGTTTCGTTTGTTGTTTTGGTTGTGTGTTTATTCGTTAAATAAACATGTTGGCATATCACGCTGCGCCTTGGTCCGTCCCGTCTATAAACGATCGTGACAGAAGATCCCACCAAACGAGGACCAAGCAGCGTGCCCAGGAAGGGCGTATAGCGATGTCACAGGTGGGCAAATGGTGGTCATGGGAGGAGATATTCGCGGGGAAAGGGCCATGGGCGAAGGTAAATGCCCAGGCAGGAGAGGAACGACGGCAACACGGAAGCCGGCCGAGGAGGAGGCCCGAGAAGCAGCCCCAATATTTTTTTTGGGGGGGGCTAAAGGGGTGGTCGGGGAGCGATAGAGAAGAGCCCCGACCACTGCACCCGGTTGGTTTTCGGATTGGGTCCCTACGACCTTGGGAAGAGGAGTGGGAACAGTACTACACTGAGGAGTCGGAGGATGACGACGACGACGAGTGTCTGTTCCCTAACTCGTGGGGGATTCTGAAGGAGTCCTCACAGGAAGAGGAGTGCCGACGACGGAGACCCGAGAGGCAACCCCAAGAAAATGTTTTGGGGGGGCACACGGTGTGGACGACGAGGCAGCAGGAGGCAGCGACAGGGCGGATCTGCAGGTTAGGAGAGGAGGCCACCAGGTTATGGGGGCTATTGGTTCAGAGAGAGCAGGAGTTATTAGGTCAGAGGGAGGCGCTACAGGAGGCTATAAGGGAGAAGGAGAGTGTAGAGGCACGGCGAGAGGAGCTGGTTAGGCAGCAGAAGGAGCAGGGGTTTATAAAGGAACCCAGTCCCGCTCCTCGCACCAAGCAAGTGGTGCGTGTCGACAGTCCGGTCCGGCCCGTTCCTATTCCCCGCACTAAGCCAGTGGTGCGTGTTCCCAGTACGGCCCGACCCGTTCCTGCTTCCCGCACTAAGCCAGTGGTGTGTGTTCCCAGTACGGTTCGGTCCGTTCCTGCTCCTCGCATCAAGCCAGTGGTGCGCGTCGCCAACCCGGTGCGGCCTGTTCCTGCCCCTCGCACCAAACCAGTGGTGCGCGTCGCCAGCCCGGCCCGGCCTGTTCCTGCCCCTCGCACCAAGCCAGTGGTGCGCGTCGCCAGCCCGGCCCGGCCTGTTCCTGCTCCCCGCACCAGGCCAGTGGTGCGCGTCGCCAGTCCGGTACGTCCCGTTCCTGCTCCCCGCACCAAGCTAGAGGTGCGCGTCGCCAGCCCGGTCCGGCCCGTTCCTGCTCCCCGCACCAAGCCAGTGGTGCGTGTGTCCAGTCCGGCAAGGCCCCTGCCTGTTCCACCGGTGCCTGGTCCGGCACCGGTCAGCTGCTCCACTCCGGAGCCAGAGCAATCCGCTCCACCGGGGTCCAGTCCAGCTCCGGTCAGCGGCTCCACTCCGGAGCCAGAGCAATCCGCTCCACCGGGGTCCGGTCCAGCTCCGGTCAGCTGCTCCACTCCGGAGCCAGAGCAATCCGCTCCACCGGTGCCTGATCCAGCTCCGGTCAGCGGCTCCACTCCGGAGCCAGAGCAGTTCGATCCACCGTTGTCGGGTCCAGCTCCAGTCAGCGGTTCCAGTCCAGACCCAGACGTCAGCCCCTCTCCAGGTTCAGGTCTCCCACACCAGGGTCCAGACAGGGCTTGGTACATCGTGGGAGGAAGGAGAGGGGAAGCAGCGCGCCGAGGTCCAGACCAGACCAGGGGCGCAACAGGGAGGCGGAGAGTAAGTGGTCGTCACGCCCTGAGCCGGATCCGCCTCCGAGGCGGAATGCCCACCCGGCCCCTACCCTGTTATGTTTATGTTGTGCGGTCGGAGTCCGCACCTTTTTGGGGGGGGGGGGGGGGGGGGGTACTGTCACGCCCTGACTCTGAGGACTCTTATTTGTTGAGTCAGGGTGTGATTTTCCTTGTTGTGTATGTTCTATATTTCTATGTTGAGATTCTAGTATGTCTAGATCTATGTTGGCCTGTGTGGTTCCCAATCAGAGGCAGCTGTCGCTCGTTGTCTCTGATTGGGGACCATACTTAGGCAGCCTATTGGCACTAGTGGGTTGTGGGATCTTGTTCCGTATAAGGTATGTTGTTTGTGTGCTACCTTGGACTTCACGTTTCGTTGGTTGTTTTGTTATTCGTTAAATAAACATGTTGGCATATCACGCTGCGCCTTGGTCCATCCCGTCCTTCAACGAGCGTGACACACCCTTGAAGAGTGGCCTAATCATTTACACGACTGAGCTTGTACTTCATTACTAATCAAAGCAAAAACATGTGTGACGAGGTGTTAAAGAAGGAGTCAGGCGCAGGAGGTAAAATACCGAAGTCCAGAGTTTAATCCGTTTGCATAAATCAAACGCCCCAAGCGTCAAACGAAACTGTACAAGGGAAAACATCCAACTTGGCAATAACACAGTGAAATGTAGCTCAAACGAGCTACACGCTCTCACAACAAAACAATCACTCACAAAGACAAGGGGAACAGAGGGAACACTTATACATATACTAATTAGGGGAATGAGCACCAGGTGTGTGTGATTGACAAGACATGACAAGTGGAGTGATGAGAATGGGATCGGCAGTAGCTAGTACTCCGGTGACGACGAACGCCGAAGCCTGCCCGAACCAGGAGGGGGGGCAGCCTCGGCGGAAGTCGTGACAAGTACCACCCCCCGATGCGCGGCTCCAGCAGTGCGTCGACCCCGGCCTCGGGGATGGCCAGGAGCAGGGCGAGTCGGATGGCGACGGTGGAAATCCCTCAACAGGGAGGGATCAAGGATGTCCCGCCTTGGGACCCAGCACCGTTCCTCTGGACCGTACCCCTCCCACTTCACGAGATACTGAAGGCCCCCCACCCAACGCCTCGAATCCAGGATGGAACGGACCGAGTACGCCGGGGCCCCCTCAATGTCCAGAGGAGGTGGAGGAACCTCCCGTACCTCAGACTCCTAGAGCGGACCAGCTACCACCGACCTGAGGAGAGACATGAAACGAGGGGTTAATACGGTAATCAGGGGGGAGTAACAACCTGTATGTCACCTCGTTTATTCTCCTCAGGACTTTAAAACGGCCCCACAAACCGCGGACTCAGCTTCCGACAGGGCAGGCGGAGGGGCAGATTCCGGGTCGAGAGCCAGACCCGATCCCCCGGTACGAACACCGGGGCCTCCCTGCGGTGGCGGTCAGTGTTGGCCTTCTGACGATGCACGGCGCACTGGAGGCGAACGTGGGCAGCGTCCCAAGTCTCCTCTGCGCGCCGAAACCAGTCATTTACTGTGGGAGCCTCAGTCTGGCTCTGGTGCCACGGTGCCAGGACCGGTTGGTACCCCAAAACACATTGGAAGGGTGTTAGGTTAGTGGAGGAGTGGCTGAGAGAGTTCTGAGCATATTCTGCCCATGGCAGGAACACTGACCACTCCCCCGGCCCGTCCTGACAGTAGGTCCGCAGGAACCTACCCACATCTTGATTCACCCTTTCCACCTGCCCATTGCTTTCGGGGTGAAAAACAGAGGTCAGGCTGACCGAGACCCCCAGACGTTCCATGAACGCCTTCTAGACTCTAGACGTGAACTGGGGAACTCGGTCGGACACTATATCCTCTGGTACCCCGTAGTGCCGGAAGACGTGAGTAAACAGAGCCTCCGCAGTTTGTAGGGCCGTGGGGAGACCGGGCAGAGGAAGGAGGCGGCAGGACTTTGAAAAGTGGTTCACAACGACCAGGATCGTGGTGTTACCTTGGGAGGGGGGAAGATCAGTGAGAAAATCAATACTCAGGTGAGACCATGATCGTTGTGGAACTGGTAAAGGTTGTAGCTTACCTGCTGGGAGGTGCCTAGGTGCCTTACTCTGGGCGCACACTGAGCATAAGGAAACACACAGTGAGGGAAAAAAGTATTTGATCCCCTGCTGATTTTGTACGTTTTCCCACTGACAAAGACATGATCAGTCTGTAATTTTAATGGTAGGTTTATTTGAACAGCGAGAGACAGAATAACAACAAAAAAATCCAGAAAAACGCATGTCAAAAATGTTATAAATTGATTTGCATTTTAATGAGGGTATTAAGTATTTGACCCCTCTGCAAAACATGACTTAGTACTTGGTGGCAAAACCCTTGTTGGCAATCACAGAGGTCAGACGTTTCTTGTAGTTGGCCACCAGGTTTGCACACATCTCAGGAGGGATTTTGTTCCACTCCTCTTTGCAGATCTTCTCCAAGTCATTAAGGTTTCGAGGCTGACGTTTGGCAACTCAAACCTTCAGCTCCCTCCACAGATTTTCTATGGGATTAAGATCTGGAGACTGGCTAGGCCACTCCAGGACCTTAATGTGCTTCTTTTTGAGCCACTCCTTTGTTGTCTTGGCCGTGTGTTTTGGGTCATTGTCATGCTGGAAAACCCATCCACGACCCATTTTCAATGCCCTGGCTGAGGGAAGGAGGTTCTCACCCAAGATTTGGCCCCGTCCTTCATCCCTTTGATGCGGTGAAGTTGTCCTGTCCCCTTAGCAGAAAAACACCCCAAAGCATAATGTTTCCACCTCCATGTTTGACGGTGGGGATGATTTTCTTGGGGTCATAGGCAGCATTCCACCTCCTCCAAACACAGCGAGTTTAGTTGATGCCAAAGAGCTCGATTTTGGTCTCATCTGACCACAACACTTTCACCCAGTTCTCCTCTGAATCATTCAGATGTTCATTGGCAAACTTCAGACGGCCCTGTATATGTGCTTTCATGATCAGGGGGACCTTGTGGGCGCTGCAGGATTTCAGTCCTTCACGGCGTAGTGTGTTACCAATTGTTTTCTTGGTGACTATGGTCCCAGCTGCCTTGAGATCACTGACAAGATCCTCCCGTGTAGTTCTGGGCTGATTCCTCACCGTTCTCATGATCATTGCAACTCCACGAGGTGAGATCTTGCATGGAGCCCCAGGCCGAGGGAGATTGACAGTTCTTTTGTGTTTCTTCCATTTGCGAATAATCGCACCAACTGTTGTCACCTTGTCACTAAGCTGCTTGGCGATGGTCTTGTAGCCCATTCCAGCCTTGTGTAGGTCTACAATCTTGTCCCTGACATCCTTGGAGAGCTCTTTGGTCTTGGCCATGGTGGAGAGTTTGGAATCTGATTGATTGATTGCTTCTGTGGACAGGTGTCTTTTATGCAGGTAACAAGCTGAGATTAGGAGCACTCCCTTTAAGAGTGTGCTCCTAATCCCAGCTCGTTAACTTTATAAAAGACACCTTGGAGCCAGAAATCTTTCTGATTGAGAGGGGGTCAAATACTTATTTCCCTCATTAAAATGCAAATCAATTTATAACATTTTTGACATGCGTTTTTCTGGATTTTTTTGTTGTTATTCTGTCTCTCACTGTTCAAATAAACCTACCATTAAAATTATAGACTGATTATTTCTTTGTCAGTGGGCAAACGTACAAAATCAGCAGGGGATCAAATACTTATTTCCCTCACTGTACACTCTCACGTCCTTAGCCAAGGTAGGCCACCAGTACTTCTCGGTCAGGCAGCGCATTGTACGACCGATACCTGGATGACCAGAGGAGGGTGACGTGTGTGCCCAGTAGATCAGCCGATCACGGATAAGCGCAGGCACGTACTGCATTCCAGCTGGACACTGCGGTGGAGATGGATCTGTGCGTAATCCCTGCGCTATATCTGCATCCATCGCCCATACTACCGGCGCCACAATGCATGAAGGGTGTTTCGCCCCTTCGAGCCAATGTCTCCACACCGTCAAAGCTCGGACAACAGCCAACAGCTCCCGATCACCAACGCCGTAGTTCTGCTCAGCCGAGCTGAGCTTCTTAGAAAAGAAGGCACAGGGGTGGAGCTTGGGTGGCGTGCCCGAGCGTTGGGATAAGACAGCTCCTATCCCTATCTCGGACGCATCCACATCCACTACGAACGGTAGTGATGAATCGGGGTGAGCCAGTACCAGGGCTGAGGTGAACAGACCCCGCAATCTACTGAATGCCAAATCAGCCTCAGCAGACCAGCGGAGCCGGAACAGCCCACCCTTCAACAAGGAGGTAATGGGAGCTGCGACCTTGCCAAAACCCAGAATAAACCTTCGATAGTAGTTGGCAAAGCCAAGGAAGCGCTGCACCTCCTTTACCGTGGTTGGAGTCGGCCAATTACGCACGGCTGCAATCGGTCTCCCTCCATCTCCACACCTGTGGTGGTAATGCGATATCCGAGGAAGGAGATTGACTGCTGGAAAAAACTCACACTTCTCTGCCTTGGCATAAATATAATTTTCCAGCAGTCGGACCAGTACTTTGTGAACCAGGGACACATGCTTGGCGCGCGTAGCGGAATACACCAGGATGTCATCGATGTAGACCACCACACCACGACCAAGCATGTCCCGAAACACCTCGTTCACAAAGGACTGGAAAACGGATGGAGCATTCATCAAACCGTAGGGCATCACCAGGTATTCATAATGCCCCGAGGCTGTGCTGAATGCTGTTTTCCACTCAGCCCATTCCCGAATACGCACCAGGTTGTAGGCACTCCTGAGGTCTAATTTGGTGAAAAAACGGGCCCCATGCTTTGACTCAACCACTGAAGGAATGAAGGGAAGAGGATAACTAAATCGTACCGTCACATTATTCAGTGGTCGATAATCAATGCACGGGCGTAAACCGCCATCTTTCTTCTTCACAAAGAAGAAACTCGAGGAGGCAGGTGAAGTGAAGGGACGTATATACCCCTGGCGCAGGGACTCGGTGATGTATATTTCCATAGCCTCCGTTTCAGCCTGCGACAGGGGATACACATGACTCCTGGGAGGTACAGCGTCTACCCGAAGGTTTATCACGCAATCCCCCTCCCGATGAGGTGGTAATTTAGTCGCTTGTGTCTTGGAAAACGCGAGCGCCAGATCTTGGTATTCGGGGGGAATGCGCACGGTGGGGTTACCGTCTGGACTTTCCACCGTGGTCTCACCAACGGAAACACCTAGACACCTACCCGGACACTCATGCGACCACCCTGTAAGAACCCTCTGCGGCCATGAGAAATTGGGGTTGTGAAGGGCTAACCACGGGATACCCAAGACTACAGGGTAAGCAGGAGACTCAATAATCATAAAGGTGATCTGCTCAACATGTGTCTCCTGCGTAATCATGGTGACTGGTACAGTAACTTCCTTAACCAACTCGGACTGGTCGACTATCTAGTGCTCTGATGGGGAGTGGAATGGTTAGGGGAACCAATGAAATGCCTTGACGGTGTGCAAATGCCCTGTCCATAAAATTCCCAGCTGCGCCTGAATCGACTAGCGCCTTACACTGGGAACCTACCAAGTGATCTGAAAAGGAGATAGATAAAGTACAGTGCGCCGCAAAGGGCTCTGAACACGTTTGGGTGTTCATTACCTGGGGTGATGCGTGAGTACCCTGCCTACCGCCTCCAGACCCAAAATAATGTTGACTCCTGCGCTCTCTCGAGCGGCGGCTACCCCCAGCTCCATCTGTCGTCCGGAGTGGGAACGGGCAGACCCCTACCAGGACGTCCTCTGGCTGTCCAGCCGGATGGCCATGTCCACCAGTTGGGAGAACGATAGCATGGCATCCCGGCAGGCTAGCTCCCGTCGGACGTCCTCCCTTAGGTGGCACCGGAAATGGTCTATCAGGGACCGCTCGTTCCACCTGGACCCCGCTGCCATTGTCCGGAACTCCAGCGCGTAGTCCTGAGCGGTCCTCGTCCCCTGCCTTAGATGAACCAGACGTTTGCCCGCCTCTTGACCCTCAGGCGGGTGATCAAAAACGGCCCGATAGAGGCGAGCAAACTCCCCGTAGTTCACCAACATGGAACCTCCCTCGTTCCATACCGCGTTGGCCCACTCCAGGGCTCTCCCACAAAGGCAGGAAACGAAGACAGATACCTTCTCCCGTTCCCGGGGCTCCGGTCTGATGCTGGAGAAATACAACTCCAGTTGGAGTAGGAATCCCTTACATCGCGCTGCAGTCTCATTTGCATAAATCAAACGCCCCAAGCGTCAAATGAAACTGTACAAGGGAAAACATCCACCTTGGCAATAACACAGTGAAATGTAGCTCAACCGAGCTACACGCTCTCACAACAAAACAATCACTCACAAAGACAAGGGGAACAGAGGGAACACATATACTAATTAGGGGAATGAGCACCAGGTGTGTGTGATTGACAAGACATGACAAGTGGAGTGATGAGAATGGGATCGGCAGTAGCTAGTACTCCGGTGACGACAAACGCAGAAGCCTTGCCCGAACCAGGAGGGGGAGCAGCCCCGGCGGAAGTCGTGACAACATGTTCCTGTGAATGTTTGCCATTTTTCCATTTTCATGTTGGAAAAAGTGCAACTCCAGCAGTGTGACTAACAGCAAACATGTCAATATTTATGGAAAACAGCACACTTTCTTTCTGGTCTGTTCAATCAAACCTGTTAATCCTTTAAAAATAGAACAATAACATTCAAAAATCACTACTTAAAGTTTATTCACTCCAGAAATCCCAAAACATAGTTTCATCATTATCCTATAAGCAGCAGATACACTACAGACAAAGAGACTCAGTCACCCCTCTCCTGTGGTTTGTGCTGTGCAGGTGAGGAGCCAGGGGGTGGCTGATGAGTTACGCTGCCTGGGGCTCCTGAATGCCCTGGAGAAAGACCAGGAGATACCCGACTCTCTGGTCCAACTGTTTGGGGAGCCTTGCATACAACTGGCTGAGGGATTCAGGGCCTATATCACCAAAGTGGGTATCATTTCTTAGTTACACACTCATTGTTCATTAGATGATTGTAATAAACAAGCAAACTATTCATATACAGTGGGGAGAACAAGTATTTGTGTCACGAATTCCGCCGAGGCTGCTCCTCCTCCTTGTTCGGGCAGGCTTCGGCGTTCGTCGTCCCCGGAGTACTAGCTGCCACCGTTTGATGTTATCTATGTTTGTTTGGTTTTGTCTGTTTAGTGCACCTGTTCCTTATCACGTCTTGATTATGTCACCTATAAGTTTCCTTTGGTTTTGTTTGTAGTTGTGTGTCGTTGTACGCCTGTCGTTTGGTGTAGGTTGTTTGTTTGCTTATTGTTACTGCTGTTCGCACTTTACGCACTGTTTTGCGTATTCGCTCGCCTCCTGTTTATGAGGCCCGTTTGGATTGTTCTTTGCTCCTGTGACTATTAAAAGTCGGATCGACTAAGCTTCTGTGTCCTGCGCCTGACTCCAACACCACATCCACATCAGCCCTTGACAATTTGATACACTGCTGATTTTGCAGGTTACAAAGCATGTAGAGGTCTGTAATTTTTATCATAGGTACACTTCAACTGTGAGAGACTGAATCTAAAACAAAAATCCAGAAAATCGCATTGTATGATTTTTAAGTAATTAATTTGCATTTTATTGCATGACATAAGTATTTGAAACATCAGAAAAGCAGAACTTAATATTTGGTACAGAAACCTTTGTTTGCAATTACAGAGATCATACGTTTCCTGTAGGTCTTGACCAGGTTTGCACACACTGCAGCAGGGATTTTGGCCCACTCCTCCATACAGACCTTCTCCAGATCCTTCAGGTTTCGGGGCTGTCGCTGGGCAATACGGACTTTCAGCTCCCTCCAAAGATTTTCTATTGGGTTCAGGTCTGGAGACTGGCTAGGCCACTCCAGGACCTTGAGATGCTTCTTACGGAGCCACTCCTTAGTTGCCCTGGCTGTGTGTTTCGGGTCGTTGTCATGCTGGAAGACCCAGCCACGACCCATCTTCAATGCTCTTACTGAGGGAAGTAGGTTGTTGGCCAAGATCTCGCGATACATGGCCCCATCCATCCTCCCCTCAATACGGTGCAGTCGTCCTGTCCCCTTTGCAGAAAAGTATCCCCAAAGAATGATGTTTCCACCTCCATGCTTCACGGTTGGGATGGTGTTCTTGGGGTTGTACTCATCCTTCTTCTTCCTCCAAACACGGCGAGTGGAGTTTAGACCAAAAAGCTCTATTTTTGTCTCATCAGACCACATGACCTTCTCCTATTCCTCCTCTGGATCATCCAGATGGTCATTGGCAAACTTCAGACGGGCCTGGACATGCGCTGGCTTGAACAGGGGGACCTTGCGTGCGCTGCAGGATTTTAATCCATGACGGCGTAGTGTGTTACTAATGGTTTTCTTTGAGACTGTGGTCCCAGCTCTCTTCAGGTCATTGACCAGGTCCTGCCGTGTTGTTCTGGGCTGATCCCTCACCTTCCTCATGATCATTGATGCCCCACGAGGTGAGATCTTGCATGGAGCCCCAGACCGAGGGTGATTGACCGTCATCTTGAACTTCTTCCATTTTCTAATAATTGCGCCAACAGTTGTTGCCTTCTCACCAAGCTGCTTGCCTATTGTCATGTAGCCCATCCCAGCCTTGTGCAGGTCTACAATTGTATCCCTGATGTTCTTACACAGCTCTCTGGTCTTGGCCATTGTGGAGAGGTTGGAGTCTGTTTGATTGAGTGTGTGGACAGGTGTCTTTTATACAGGTAACGAGTTCAAACAGGTGCAGTTAATACAGGTAATGAGTGGAGAACAGGAGGGCTTCTTAAAGAAAAACTAACAGGTCTGTGAGAGCCGGAATTCTTACTGGTTGGTAGGTGATCAAATACTTATGTCATGCAATAAAATGCAAATTAATTACTTAAAAATCATACAATGTGATTTTCTGGATTTTTGTTTTAGATTCCGTCTCTCACAGTTGAAGTGTACCTATGATAAAAATTACAGACCTCTACATGCTTTGTAAGTAGGAAAACCTGCAAAATCGGCAGTGTATCAAATACTTGTTCTCCCCACTGTACCTACGATGTTTCTAGAAGTGTTACATACACATGGTTATATAATTCTTAACAAGGGAGAGAGATATAGCATTAATATTTGCACACATAAGATGCTGTGTAGGCTATTGACTTTTCAGAGCTCAGAACTTAGTCCAGTGATGGAATTCTTCAGAACCTTACGTACCAACAATTTCTTCTCTAATGCATCACCCTCATTAGCATTGTTGTTTATAGACGGCTAATCTCAGCTTGACCCCAAATATTAGACAGAGCTCCTCTCCGGATATGAGCTTTCCTGTACCCATGATCCACATTGCATCATACTCAATTCTCTATAGTCTATAACCTTGGCAGTGTCTGATTCAGTACTAATTGAGTAAAGCTGTAAGTTGTGCGCAGCCAAGAAAGACAGTATTATCTGTCATGGTCTCTTTCTGTCATAGATCATAGTCAAGGGCTGGGTTGGGTGGGAGTAGCAGTTGAGAGTGCATGGTGATTTCAGCTTCAAAGCGCACAGAGGTTTTTCACTATTTCATTGAAAAACCAATCTAGGCATAACAAGTCAGTCACACATCTGGCCTGTCTACTCCATGTATTTTTCTGTGAAACCTAGGAAGAGCAAGTGAGACTACTGACTGGGATGTGTCCAGGTCCCATTAAAATGTGTACCCTCTCTACTTTGTCAACAGAGCTTGTAAATCCAGAATTGTGTTCAACATGAAATTGGAATGACAAAGATTGCTCAACAGGAATGCTGCATGCATGTCATAGGCCGTACTATGCTCAGTCCTGCAATGTGTGTTCATTATTGGGGTCTATGCCACATGTAATTTTTTGGGGGGGTCTTTCAGGTGACAGAAAGTAGTATTTCAAAACACACCTTCCCAGGTAATCATCCATCATCATCATAGCATGCATGTCTTATCTATCCAATATCCACTTCTTTTGCTACCATTCTCTCACTGCTATGTTCCTTTTCAGAGCGCAGAGACGAACCAAGCCAGTCAGTGCTGCTGGGCATCAGAAGCCCTCTGCTCACCTCACACTCCGAGACAGTGGCTTACATGGTATTTTTTTTATTATTTGTTTTTTATGTTCTAAATTGTTTTTTTCTTCTATTTTTTTATATCTTTAGTCATTTAGCAGACGCTCTTGTTACAGGAGCAATTAGGGTTAAGTGCCTTGCTTAAGGGCACATCGACAGATTTTTCACCTAGTCGGCTCGGGATTAGAACCACACAACGCTCTTACCCACTAAGCTACCTGCCAGTATGTGAGTCTAGTGGTTTGTGCTTGCTTGTTCTTTTGGAGGGACACTCACTTTTGTCAGCATTTCTATAATATCTTTCATCTAATGTAATGTCCTGTTTTTATGATGGAAATAAATTGCAGAATGTCAGTAAATTTCAACAGTATAGCTTTAAAAACACTTTAGCTATACAGTTGAAGTTGGACGTTTACATACACCTTAGCCAAATACATATAAACTCAGTTTTTCACAATTCCTGACATTTAATCCTAGTAAGAATTCCATGTCTTAGGTCAGTTAGGATCACCACTTTATTTTAAGAATGTGAAATGTCAGAATAATAGTAGAGAGAATGATTTATTTCAGCTTTTATTTATTTCATCACATTCCCAGTGGGTCAGAAGTTTACATACACTCAATTAGTATTTGGTAGCATTGCCTTTAAATGGTTTAACTTGGGCCAAACGTTTCGGGTAGCCTTCCACAAGCTTCCCACAATAAGTTGAGTGAATTTTGGCCCATTCCTCCTGACAGAGCTGGCGTAACTGAGTCAGGTTTGTAGGCCTCCTTGCTCGCACACGCTTTTTCAGTTCTGCCCACATATTTTCTATAGGATTGAGGTCAGGGCTTTGTGATGGCCACTCCAATACCTTGACTTTGTTGTCCTTAAGCCATTTTGCCACAACTTTGGAAGTATACTTGGGGTCATTGTCCATTTGGAAGACCCATTTGCGACCAAGCTTTAACTTCCTGACTGATGTCTTGAGATGTTGCTTCAATATATCCACATAATTTTCCTTCCTCATGATGCCATCTATTTTGTGAAGTGCACCCGTCCCTCCTGCAGCAAAGCACCCCCACAGCATGATGCTGCCACCCCCATGCTTCACGGTTGGGATGGTGTTCTTCGGCTTGCCAGCCTTCCCCTTTGTCCTCCAAACATAACGATGGTCATTATGGCCAAACAGTTCTATTTTTGTTTCATCAGACCAGAGGACATTTCTGCAAAAAGTATGATCTTTGTCCCCATGTGCAGTTGCAAACTGTAGTCTGGCCTTTGTATGGCGATTTTGGAGCAGTGGCTTCTTCCTTGCTGAGCGGCCTTTCAGGTTATGTCGATATAGGACTCGTTTTACTGTGGATATAGATATTTTGTACCTGTTTCCTCCAGCATCTTCACAAGGTCCTTTGCTGTTGTTCTGGGATTGATTTTCACTTTTCGCACCAAAGTACGTTAATCTCTAGGAGACAGAACGCGTCCCCTTCCTGAGCGGTATGACGGCTGCGTGGTCCCATGGTGTTTATACTTGCGTACTATTGTTTGTACAGATGAACGTGGTACCTTCAGGCATTTGGAAATTGCTTCCAAGGATGAACCAGACTTGTGGAGGTCTACAATTTTATTTCTGAGGTCTTGGCTGATTTCTTTTGATTTTCCCATGATGTCAAGCAAAGAGGCACTGAGTTTGAAGGTAGGCCTTGAAATACATCCACAGGTACACTTCCAATTGACTCATATTATGTGAATTAGCCTATCAGAAGCTTCTAAAGCCATGACATCATTTTCTGGAATTTTCCAAGCTGTTTAAAGGCACAGTCAACTTAGTGTATGTAAACTTCTGACCCACTGGAATTGTGATACAGTTCATTATAAGTGAAATAATCTGTCTGTAAACAATTGTTGGAAAGATTACTTGTGTCAAGCACAAAGTAGATGTCCTAACCGACTTGCCAAAACTATAGTTTGTTAACAAGAAATTTGTGGAGTGGTTGAAAAACGAGTTTTAATGACTCCAAACTAAGTGTATGAAACCTTACGACTTCAACTGGATCAAGCATCTGCAAAGACCATCTGAACAAATAAAGGTGTGGCATCATTCATCTCATCTCCACATCCAATTCACTCAAACTGCAGCATGATCTCACATAAACCTCAGACTTCAAAGACAAGGTGCCGTTTTCATATTCAGATCACCACCAGCAGTCTGTCTGATCATACAGCCAAGAACGCACTAATGTCCTTGTGAATGAATACGTCAGAACAGCTGCTACTGATTTGCTTCTTGTCTGAATTATTTGACTTTTCTCCCATCCAATCAAACGACTGTTTCCCTGCTGCACTCATTTCGTCAAAGATAAAGAAATTATTGTTAAAGGAATCCAACCATATGTACAATGCCTAGTGAAAGTCTACACACCCCTTGCACATTCTTAACATTTTGCTGCCTTAAAATTAAAATTTAAAAAATATTCAATTCGATTTTTTGTTCACGCCGATGTACACAACCTTCTCCACATTTCCAAAGTGAAAGGAACATTATAAGAAAAATGCCTAATTAATGAAAGATAAAAAACGCAGATGTCTTGATTGCTTATGTCTTCAGACCCCAGAGTTTATACTTGGTGAAAGCACTTTTGGCAGCCATTACAGCTGTGAAACATTATGAATAAGATTCTACCAACTTTGCACAACTCTTAGGGCAACATAAACTACATGACCAAAATTATGTGGACACCTGCTCGTCGAACTGCTTAATTCAAAATCATGGGCATTCATATGGAGTTGGTCCCCCCTTTGCTGCTATAACAGCCTCCACTCTTCTGGCTCGCAGTTGGTGTTCCAATTCATCCCAAAGGTGTTCAATGGGGTTGAGGTCAGGGCTCTTTGCGGTCCAGTGAAGTTCTTCCACCTATCTCGACAAACCGAGGACAGACGATTTTTACGCGCTACGCGCTTCAGCACTCAGTGGTCCCATTCTGTGAGCTTGTGTGGCCTACCACGTCACGGCTGAGCCGTTGTTGCTCCTAGATGTTTCCACTTCACAATAACAGCACTTACAGTTGACCGGGGCAGCTCTAGCAGGGCAGAAATTTGACAAACTGACTTGATGGAAAGGTGGCATCCTATGACGGTGCCATGTTGAAAGTCACTGAGCTCTTCAGTAAGGCCATTGTACTGCCAATGTATGTCTATGGAGATTGCATGGCTGTGTGCTCAATTTTATACACCTGTCAGCAACATGTGTGGCTGAAATAGCCAAATCCACTAATATGGAGGGGTGTCCACATACTTCTGTATGTATAGTGTATATCCATTGTTTTTGTCAAAATTGCTCAAGCTCAGTAAATTTGGTTGGGAGTCATTGATGGACAATGCAGATTTAAGTCAGGACTGAGACTGGAGTATTCAGGAACACTCAACAGCTATTGCAAAGCCATTCTGATGTGTATTTGGCATTCAAATATAATTGTCCCACTGAAAAATACAACTCTATCCCAAGGTTAGGTATTCAAAAGGCTGAGCCAGGGTTTCCTCTAACATTTTACCTGGGCTTTGCTCCTTTCATATTTATTTTGATCCTGACACTCCAGTCCCTGCCGGTTGCAAGCATAACCATAACATGACAATACTTAAAAATACAGAGTATCAACAACATTGCATTCACTCTAAATTACAGGCCTGTATGACAAATTAAAAAGAATGAAGCCTGTGTTTTAAAAAATCCACTCCAAATCATCCATTCTGTTTTTCAACAAGGCCGTTAAGCAATGCTGCAAAACAACAAGGCAAATAAATTAACTTTTTGGCCTAAATGAAAAACTACAGGCTGTGGTCACATCCAATACAACACAACACAGAGTGAAACCCTCTGTATTTTCAAGTATTGTGGTCACAGCATCATGTTATGGGTATGCTTGTCACCGGCAGGGACTGGGGAGTGAATAGAAATATGAAAGGAGCAAAGCACAGGTAAAAAGTTAGAGGAAAATCCGCCTCAGTCTTCTGAAAACCTAACCCTGGTATTTGGTTTTATTTTTCAGTGGGTCAATTACACAATTTTGAATGCCCAAAACACACCAGATAGGCTTTTCCGAGAGGTGTTGAGTGGTCCTGAGTGGTCCAGCCTCAGTCCTGAGTTAAATTTGCTTGAAAATCAGGAGACAAGGTTTGAATATTGCCATCCATCAATGACTCCCAATCGAATATAGTTATCTTGAGCAATTTTTACAAAAACAATGGGAAAATGTTCCCCTAAGAGTTGTGCAAAGTTGGTAGAATCTTATTCAAAATGATTCACAGATGTAATGGCTGCCATGTGACAACATGCAATCAAGATGTATTTTTTTAATTATAATTCTGAATTTGGAAAATGTCCAATCATTTCTCTTTCACTTTGAAAATGTGGAATAGGTTGTTGAGATTGGTAGAAAAACCCTGTGAATGTATTCCCTTATGAGGCAGCAAAATGTGAAAACTGTGCAAGGGGTGTGTAGACTTTCACCAGTGACTGTAGGCCTTTTCATATTTGAGTCTACAGTAGTACTGCTTTGAATTAAATGTCTGTATTGACATACATATAGCTTCCTTTTTCCTCCCTATAGGCCCTATATCCCTGGCCCCTCAGAAAGACTTGCATCAGTCCTGCCTCCACCCGGTCCGGTCCTGGGGCAAGCAGGGCTTTGGCTCCCATCTCCACAACATGACCCTGTCTCATGGACGCCTCCGCATCCCCCAGTCCGGACGTTATTACCTGTATGCCCAGGTGTACTTCCGCTACCCCTCCCTCACTCACGAGGGGGGTGACCCCCATATGGGCACCTCCAGCTACCAGCTGGTCCAGTGTGTTTACAAGAAGACGTCATACGCCAGGCCCATTCAGCTGCTGAAGGGGGTGGGCACCAAGTGCTGGGCGCCTGAAACTGAGTATGCCCTCCACTCTGTCTACCAGGGAGGCCTGTTTGAGCTGCGTGCCAGGGATGAGATCTTTGCCTCTGTGTCGTCACCTACAGCTGTGCACGCAGAGGACTCATCCAGCTATTTTGGGGCGTTCCAGTTTGACCAATGAGCATGGAGGTTAAGGAGGGGAAAAAGCTATCTCACACAAGAGAATACTAAACATGGACATACACTGAACAAAAAGATAAACGCAACATGTAAAGTGCTGGTCCCATGTTTCATGAGCTGAAAAAAAATATCACAGAAATGTTCCATACGCACAAAAATATTATTTATCTCCGATTTTGTGCACAAATTTGTTTACATCCCTGTTAGTGAGCACTTCTCCTTTGCCAATATATTCCATCCACCTGACAGGTGTGGCATATCAAGAGCTGATTAAGCAGCATGATCATTACACAGGTGCACCTTGTGCTGACAATAAAACACCACTCTAAAATGTGTAGTTTTGTCACCCAACACAATGCCACAGATGTCTCAAGTTTTGAGGGAGCGTGCAAATGGCATGCTGACTGCAATAATGTCCATCAGAGCTGTTGCTAGAGAATTGAATGTTCATTACTCTACCATAAGCCTTCTCCAACGTTGTTTTAGAGAATTTGGCAGTAAGTCCAACCGGCATCACAACCGCAAACCATGTGAATGGCGTCATGTGGGTGAGTGGTTGCTGATGTCAATGTTGTGAACAGATTGCCCCATGGTGGCGGTGGGGTTATGGTATTGGCAGGCATAAGCTACAGACAACAAACACAATTGCATTTTATTGATGGCAATTTGAATGCACTGACATACTGTGACGAGATCCTGAAGCCCATTGTCGTGCCATTCATCCACCACTATCACCTCATGTTTCAGCATGATAATGCCCATGTCGCAAGGATCTGAACACAATTCCTGGAAGCTGAAAATGTCCCAGTTCTTCCATGGCCTGCGTACTCACCAGACATGTCACCATTGAGCATGTTTGGGATGCTCTGGATCGACGTGTATGACAGCGTGTTCCAGTTCCAATATCCAGCAACTTTACACAGCCATTGAAGAGGAGTGGGACAACAATCCACAGGCCACAATCAACAGCCTGATCAACTCTATGTGAAGGAGATGTGTCGCGCTACATGAGGCAAATGGTGGTCACACCAGATACTGACTGGTTTTCTGATCCACGCCCCTACCTTTTTTTTAAAGGTATCTGTGACCAACAGATGCATAACTGTATTCCCAGTCAAGTGAAATCTATAGATCAGGGCCTAATTTATTTATTTCAATTGACTGATTTCCTTATATGAACTGTAACTCTGTAAAATCTTTGAAAATGTTGCATGTTGCATTTATATTTTTGTTCAGTATAGATTACACATTTTACTACAAGTCTGTGGACATAGACTTCAAATCACCATGGTTATGAAATAGCCAGCCACAGACTTGTGCACAGGCCATTTATAAAACTGGCTCACAGGTGGCTTGGCATCAACGACTCTACATTAGAATGGGGTGGCGTGGACTAATTGGCATCAACGACTCTACATTAGAATGGGGTGGCGTGGACTAATTGGCATCAACGACTCTACATTAGAATGGGGTGGTGTGGACTAATTGGCATCAACGACTCTACAATAGAATGGGGTGGTGTGGACTAATTGGCATCAACGACTCTACATTAGAATGGGGTGGTGTGGACTAATTGGCATCAACGACTCTACATTAGAATGGGGTGGTGTGGACTAATTGGCATCAACGACTCTACATTAGAATGGGGTGGTGTGGACTAATTGGCATCAACGACTCTACATTAGAATGGGGTGGTGTGGACTAATTGGCATCAACGACTCTACATTAGAATGGGGTGGCGTGGACTAATTGGCATCAACGACTCTACATTAGAATGGGGTGGTGTGGACTAATTGGCATCAACGACTCTACATTAGAATGGGGTGGCGTGGACTAATTGGCATCAACGACTCTACATTAGAATGGGGTGGTGTGGACTAATTGGCATCAACGACTCTACATTAGAATGGGGTGGCGTGGACTAATTGGCATCAACGACTCTACATTAGAATGGGGTGATGTGGACTAATTGGCATCAACAACTCTACATTAGAATGGGGTGGTGTGGACTAATTGGCATCAACGACTCTACATTAGAATGGGGTGGCGTGGACTAATTGGCATCAACAACTCTACATTAGAATGGGGTGGTGTGGACTAATTGGCATCAACGACTCTACATTAGAATGGGGTGGTGTGGACTAATTGGCATCAACGACTCTACATTAGAATGGGGTGGTGTGGACTAATTGGCATCTCACTTTGGTACTGTAGCACAATCACTAATAAGTATCACCAGCACTGAGGGAAGAGGTAAAGAAATATGTGAATTCTCCCCAGATACTGTATGTAGAGGTATGCAGCACTACCAGCTACCAAAGATAACTAAAGCTCTGGTGTCCATCAGGATCCACTCTTCTGTTCTGATTTGACCCGTAACAGGCACTAAACAAGCACTCATGCACCAGGAGGGTTCTTTTAATGTTGAATGTACCTATTGAGAATAAAATGACAAGCTTTGTGATGGATGTGGTTTCATAACTATAGTTAATTATGGATAACAAACAAACAATGGGCTCTTGAGGGGTAAAAACAAGGAACAATGAAGGTCTTGTTGATCCTGCCATGATCTTGTAGTTTGTACAAAACCTTTTTTAATGGGTGTCAGTAAGGCTCCAAGGGATTTTGGTAATAGCCCTCTTGGGAGACCTTCATCATACTGAGAATTCAGCTATTTTTTCTGCTTAGAACTTAACTGCAGTAATTACTGGGGGGGGGGTTCAGCAACAACTTTAGGTTGTTCTTTACTGTGGGTGGAGCTATTACGGATTACTGCAGTTAACCAGATACCTGTACTATTCTTTAGTCATACAAAGATTCCGAGCTGGACAGTAGAACAGTAATAAGTATTGTCTGAATCAAGTTTGAACTTCCTGTTAAGTACTATGCAGAGCCATATCCTAAAATGGACAATGTGTTATTGACGTAAAATGTTGGCAATGTCTAAAAATAGTGACTTTTTTTTACTGTGTATTTGACTATTGCTTGAAACAATAAACATGATTTACTGTCTAGACATCTTCCTGTCACTTTCTCATGACAGGCATGGAAGGTCACCCAGGCCATTCACACAAAGCCCACAGCAGTGAGTTATACTCTGGTTAGACCCTCAGGGAGGGACTTAATGGGTTCATGATGTTAGAGTGAGAATGACTCCAAACTTGTGTACTGTACTTGTTGGTGAGTAACTGGGCACAAAGAGCACGTATCTACTCATGTTTTAATTTGTAGCAAAGTTGAAATGACAGGGAATAAATTATTAATATTTCACATTTTTGAATCTCAGTTGCACCTTTACATGAGATGGTAGTGATACAAAACCATTGCAGATGGTGGTGATACAAAAACATTGCAGATGGTGGTGATACAAAACCATTGCAGATGGTGGTGATACAAAACCATTGCAGATGGTGGTGATACAAAACCATTGCAGATGGTGGTGATACAAAACCATTGCAGATGGTGGTGATACAAAACCATTGCAGATGGTGGTGATACAAAACCATTGCAGATGGTGGTGATACAAAACCATTGCAGATGGTGGTGATACAAAACCATTGCAGATGGTGGTGATACAAAACCATTGCAGATGGTAGTGATACAAAACCATTGCACATGGCATAAATACAAATACAGACACACAGTTTGATAACGTAACTGTAGCTACACCCCCCCCGAAAAAACGGATAAGTACTTAATTTTTTTAATGAAATGCTTTAAAATGAAATGTGTTTACCTCTATGAGACCCTACAGTTAAGCCTTTTACTGATGTAATGAACTACGGTATACAAGTAATACAACAATGGAGACACTTATGGATAAGACAGGATGTCAAGGAATCCATGAATCTAGCTTAAGAATGGCCACCATCAACCTGCTCAAGGTAAAAGTGAGATTTAAGAATTTCTCACAGGGCAGGTTCCTCAGCTTAGTTCATGTTTAAGAGACTATGCTACATTTCAGTTGCTCATTCTTACATTTGACATTTTAGTCATTTAGCAGACGCTCTTATCCAGAGTAACTTACAGTTAGTGAGTGCATACATTTTTCATTCTTAGTGTGGACTTTGTTGTAGGGAGGGCAAGACGTGAGGGCTTCGTGAGACAGTACGATAATGAGGTAAGAGGGAGAAGAAATCTAGAGTTCTTCACTAGTGTTGACAGGCCAGTCCTGTCTCTAGATCCGGACGCCGTTGCCTGGGCCTTAGCAAGGAAGAGCAACAAGAACACATGCCCCTCCCAGACCATAGACAGACGAAGAGATAACAGGAGGATGATATGAGATGTGACATACTGGAGACCTCTCCCTCTCTCAATCATCCCCTCACACACCAACACTGATATTGTCCATGACCTCAGACTGCCTGATCATTACATTTTAGTCATTTAGCAGACGCTCTTATCCAGAGCGACTTACAGTTAGTCACTGACTTTATGATTCTGTAGTGTGCTCCATAAACTTATGCAATAAATACTATTCACTGAAAAGGTCTTAAAGCTCAGAAATATAGGGGTGCATATTCAAAATGAGTAATACAATTCATATTTTCATGATTGCACTTTTGAGTGTTTGTTACTGATCAGTTGGTAGTAAAGTTTCATAATCAGTCCCTCCTGGATTTCGCTGGGATTTTTGGTGATATTTGCAGGTCAAAATGCTTGATTTTGCTGTGGCAAATCTGACATTTTGCATGTGCTTATGATAATTTGACTGTTTTATGTGGAAATTGTGCGGTGATTGGTCAAATTTGCAAGCCATCGCATAATATGCAGGAAATTGATTTTGCAAAGAAATATACATGTGATCGCAGAATAGTGCACAGTAGTGCCTCCCTGTGGTCAAAGCGGATAACCACAGCATGCATGTTTCAGAGGAAGGTTATTTTAGTCTAGTCTATTAGAGTGTGTCTGTACGAAGACATCTCCAGGTCTGTGTCAAAACCACCACCCATTACATGACAAAAAAAGACATTGCCAAGAAAATAAACATTTCTGTAGAGCTAAACAGTGGTAGCTATAACACCAGGGAAAATACTTCAACATTTCAACATCAACAAATATTTTAGGCAGACAGTGACTTCACACTTTCAACTGTGATTTTCCTCATGGTGTTTTGATAGGTTGAAGCTGATAATTTCCACTCCTAGCTTAGTGATTGTATGGGTTAAGATTTCCATGGCAGTGGTTTTGTTAATACCTCAAGATTCCAGATTTGGTCTCAGCTCCTTTAGGCTCCTTAGTCTCTCTAGAGACACATGCTATACCTGAACAACTGAAGAGGAAGACCACTCCTGCCTATACGGCCAAGGGAAAAATACTCTCACAGTTACCGACAGTCATTTAACAAGTCATACACTTTTTCTAAATCCAGTTCATCGTTTGGGTCAATCCTGGAAAGCCAGCTTGCTGTTGAAGTCCAATGACTCCTCTACCTCCATAGTTCTAATGAAGTGGCCAGTTGTCACTGCAATGTTTTCAAAGTGGGAGGAAACCACTAGTTAGACATGAACGTATTGCAATGGAGTTGGCCTGGAGACAGGCCTGGGTAAAAGCTGTGGTTCCACAGTGATGCCTGGCCAAAGGTGCTGCAGCTGGTAGCGAAGCATCAGTTGAAGAGGATCGAGTCTGGGTCCCGTTTAGCTATCTGGGCCACATGCTTCAGAATGTCCTTTTTTGTGATAATCCCCAGCAACCGACTGCAAAAGAGACAGGGACAAAACCATATACAATACATAAGTAAGTTCTGCCACTATTTGTGTCTGTCTTGGGGTTTCTGTTCAGTTCTACTCATGAAATGTATATAAGTAGTGGTTCCTAGCTACATAGCTAGTTCTCAGTAGCAGGTGTCTTACCCATTGTGTGTGATGAGGCATTGGCGCAGGCCCAGCTTCCTGAAGATGTCCACCACAATGTCCATGGCGGTGTGGTCTGTGACAGTGAAGGGACTAAGGTCCATGATGCCCCGAAGCTTCAGAGGAGGGGGGCTGCTGGGGGGCTGAGGGGGGGTGTACTCCGTGAAGAAGATCCTGGAGGTGCTCACTATCCCATCCTGACGCTGTCTGGCATTCTCTGAGAGGGGAGAGAGGGTTTACAGAGGAGTGACAGAGACAAATAGACCAAAAATGTGTTAATTACACTGCTAATGACATTGAGTAAGTTTACATGCACATTAATAATTCGATATTCAACTGATTATGACAGTAGGCAGATTACAATAGTCATGTAAACACCTTACTCTGTTTATCTTAAATCAAGGTAAGGTCAAAATCAAAGTAAGCATACACTGATTAAAACACAATTATTAGGACATATAAACACCTTAAATCGGCGTTCAAGCGGTGTATTTGATCTGCTCATGTGATCGCACCAGCCGAGCGAGCCTCCCTCTTTAGCACGAGTGAAGTGAGTTCGGAACAACTGAACGTATGCGTCTTAGCAGTAGTTTTCACATACAAACTTTATATGTCCGAACTCAAATATGCTTTACAAAAATAACATGGCCGCTGTGGAAGAACGTTTATTTTGATTGGCGATTTTCTGCATTTATCAGTGCCATCAGGTAACCTGATTTCAGATGTGTCCTTGTAAACAGGATAATTAGGGAAATCATTCTTCTTGCAAAGCATGTAAACATTTGAATCGAACTATTACATTCATCTGACTATCCACAATAATTGCATTATTGTGTGCATGTAACCATACTCACTGTTTTGATAACAGTGAACATGTTGGTCAAAAGCCAGCATCTAGCACGACATATGATGACCTATTATCCCTACCTATGGAGATGGTGAGGTCCCTGCGCAGCACGAAGCCTACCAGGCGCTGGGACTCGTGGGAGACCACCACGGGGAAACCGCTGTAGGTGGTCTCTGTGATCATGGTCTCCACGTCCTCTACAGTCATGCCGTCCTGGGTCAGTACGGAGAGCGGCGGGTCACTGCGACGCGGCCGCATTACGTCCATGGCCAACGTCTTATGGCTGAACTCCTCCTTGGCTTCTAGGAAGGGGTACCCGTTGAGGCGGATGTGAGCCTCGTAGATGCCCTCGCGCCCGATGGCGTCCGCCACCCATTTACTGGTCATGGCCGCCGCCATCAGGGGCACGATGTACTCCAGCCCTCCGGTCAGCTCGAACATGATGACCACCAGGGATACGGTCATGCGGGTCACCCCACCTGTGGGCACAGAGAGAGGGGTGGAGGCAGAAAACATTAGGCATAGCCTCAAGATAGCAACATTTAACCAGGAAAAATAAGTTCAGAGTAAAGACAAAAACAAGTGAAGAAAACGCTCTTAAACATGCAAGGTGCCAACATCCAGTACCCGTGCAGGCCTTACCTAAGCAGGCAGCAGCCCCCACCATGGCATAGAGGCCTGGGGTGATGCAGTCAGCACCAGGGGAGCACCAGCCCCTGAAGATCACCCAGTCATGGTGGTAGTAAGCCAGCTGCTCCATGCCTATCCCCAGCAGCCTGCCTGCGATTGCCCCCACCGCCATACTGGGAATGAACAGACCAGAAGGCACCTGGAGGAACGGAAAGACATTGTTATATTAATACTCAAATCACATGGAAGAGCTGTCATTGATGTGCCATATAGACAGGCTATGGTAGGAGGATGAGGTCTTCCAGTACCTTCATGCCGAAGGTAACCACGGTAATTAGCATCTTAAAGACAAGGGCCAGGGACAGCTGCCACATGGCCGTGTAGACGTCATCTCCAGCCGGACGGTCTGGCAGCTCGTTGCTGCTCTTGGTGACGTTGGCGTTGTCATAGTTGCACAGCTTGGAGGAGTCCAGCAGGCCACAATCGTTGAAGAGCTCAGAGATGAGCTCGCTTGTGCTGGTGCGTGTGTAGCTGTTAGGGAAAGCCACCACCGCCGTGATCGCGGTGACAACCAGCACCTCCAGGACCGGATAGTGGCCCAGCCACGTGGTCTTACGCCGCCGGCACCATGCGATGTTGGCTCGGATGAAGAAGGCGCCCCAGATGCCGCCGAAGATGCCAAGGAGGATGAAGGGTATGAGCTCCAGGAGATGCCAGGGGGTGTGGAACTCCACGTAGAACAGCACCAGGCGGCTGTTGCCAAACGGGTTGATGGAGCGCAGGGTGAAGGCTGCCACCAGGGCCGCGAAGAACGACCGCCACAGCGTCTTCAGAGGGAAATAGTAGCTCACCTGACAGGACCATGAGGAGACGGACAGTTACACGGCGCTCTTAGTCAAACGTTAACATTTGAATTTAACGTTCAAGTTAACTTTAGGAGTGTTTCAACTTACAGTCATAAAACACAGATTTGCATAAAAAGAGGAAGTCAAGGCACTTGTTACCTCCTCCAGACTGAAGAGCACTCCTCCTATGGGGGCACCAAAAGCCACAGACACACCAACGGCAGCAGCAGCTGACAGAACCTGACACAAACAACCAAGGAGAGGAAGGAAGGTGATCAATGTGTCACTACATTAAGGCTTTATAGCACAGCTCAGCAACAAAGCTGAATAACAGCTAATATAATGCCATGAATCAATGCAAAATATCTCTGTGTTGGAAATAAAATCTCAGGCACAATGTTTACAGAATTGAGAAAGAGTCACTGCATAATTGTGGCATTGCACTTCCATTCATACTGTCTCGCTGTGGCAGGGTAGAACAAATATCACCTTGGGGTTTTGTTTGTTGAAATCGTAAATCCATGAGACCATCTACAGGCTATTTATACTTCATGGGGGTTTCCCGTGCTGAGTCTGACTTGAGGCTCTCTCACATTCTTTTGACACAGCTTGATTTCAGAGTCAACGCAAAACAACATCAGTGGTCATAGTTTTTGCAAGTTGTGCCAGTTCCTTGAAAAGGACTGTCAAAGGTTAACCTGTCCATCCATTTAAAACCTTTAGATGTTTGTGAATAACCCACTACTATTGATCCTCACCTCTCTGCGTTTGGCCTCGTTCTTGCGGTACTTAGTGAAGAGGTGGCAGAGGATGTTGCCACAGCAGCAGGCCACGTGGACTAGGGGTCCCTCCTTCCCCAGGCTGAGCCCTGACGACACAGCCAGGACCAGGGTGATGGTCTTGATCACCAGGGTCCACTTCCCCAGGTACCCTCGGATGATAAACCCACTCAATATGGTTTTGATCTGGGGGAGAAAATAAATAGCATGGGTAAATGACCCACATCATTTGTCCTATTTCAAAAGAAGACGTGTCAAATAAGGCAAGAGGCATAAAGTAGTCTTACCTCTGGGATTCCAGAGCCACAGGCATAGGGGGCGAAGGCCCTGACCAGTGTCACAGCCAGGAAGGAGAATAGTAGAGCCCAGCACACATACATTAGATAGTTCATAATGTACGCAAAGGGACCCTGCAGAGAAAAATGTCACAATAAGACTGACCAAAATACTCACATAAAACAAAAACAATGGGTCAAGTAGTACAATTTTAACCCACCTCTGTTGTGCCGATGATGAGCTCGGCCCAGCTTTTCCACTGGGGACACTTGTCCCTCTCCTGGAAGGTAGTCTCGTTGGAGGTCCAACAGCAGTGCTCATGGTTGAACCAGAACCCGTTCAGACAAACCCCTTCCTTGAGGTCTGTCATCCAGTGGGCTGATATGTCGATCCCACCTGCCAATGCGCCTGGAATAGACCACAAGGTCAATTACTAACACAATCAATGGCTTCCAGGGGTGCTGCTGTGTGGGGCTTAGTAGAAGGAATCAAATTAAAAAGTATGTCTGTATCCATTTAGACTGACCTGACATGAGTCCAATCAGCAGCATGAGCAGCCATCCAGAGAAGGCATCACTGACACTCTTCACCAGCGCCCATGTGGACTCTTTGCTTTTACTGGTAATCTACAGAGAAAGACAAATATTCAGCTGGGCTGAAGTGCTTTTCAGTATACCCTTTTCCCATTGTTCTACTTTGGCGGTTCGTGGAGGACACCCACACAAACCCCTGCAGCTTGCCTACAGCCACAAAGGGATTTTACAATGAGCCATTTTGCCGAAATAAGTACAAAGAAGAGATCTGATACTCTTCTTATAAGGAAGAGCATTATACTTCCACATTCACTCTTCCAAGATCTCACCGAGCCAATCGAACCCAATATTGACATTGGCAAATTAAACAGACTTAGAAGAACAGAGAAAGAGAGTTGCCTATTTTGACATTCTATTGCTCTATCAGAGTACCCCTCGGCGGCATATAATTAACAAGGCCCCCGCTTTTGGCTTAGAAGACAGTCATTTTATGCGGAGATGAGAATATTTTGAACAAATGCTCTCTGGATCTCATGTTGCTTGTCATTGAAAAGACAAAAGCAGAGACAGAGATAATGCAACAGAGTGCTACTACAGAGTGCTCATGTCACTTTCTGTTGAACGCAGAACGAGGGAGAGCTCGGTTTGACGTTGTGGAAAGTTTGATGGAAAGTTTGTTGTTGGAAAGTTTTGAAAGTCTATTGAAAAAGTTAATAGCTAGCTACCCTTTGAGGTTGGATCCCGCGAAGCGGTTGGCATCAGTTGCTGAGATCGCTACTATCTGTCCAGTGATCCTGCCGACCAAGGGTGTGAGGAGCTGCTTGGCGTAGCAGCTAGCCTAGCTGTCAAGCTAGCAGGCTTTTCTTGAGGGCTTGAACGCAGCCCGCGACGCGGTTAGCCATTGTGGCTGGGACTGCGGATTTTCCTGGGCTTGTGGCTGGCTAGATCCCTGCTGTTTGTTGTTGTTTTTTTTTCAAATTTTCCCTGCAACATGTCCTGTCTGGAACTGTGAGGAGTAACAGTGTAGCCTACGTTGCTACCGTGACAATGACCAAAGTCGGGGGGAGTACCGTTGAGGATAGTGGTGTCTCTATCACAGGTGAAGGATATTTAAAACAAACATAAATAGTTCTACAAGCAGTTGTTACAACAAGAAAATTGCTTCAAGTGTTGTGTCCAAATACTGGTGGAGTCAACTAATAAAATAATGGACGACCTGACCAGAGAGGTCCAGGACCTGAAGAACAGTTTGCAGTTCTCCCAGGGTCAGCTCGATGAGTTTAAACATGAGAACGGCAAGATGACAGCAATCTGTAAGTCATTGAGAGAGGGCATCAGTTCTGTATGTGAATCCATGATAACAATGACAGAGAAATCAGATTATTTCGAGGGACAATCAAGGCGGAACAACATTGTTGTGGACGGAATTGCAGAATCTCCACATGAGACCTGGACGGAGTCTGAGGACAAAGTGAGGGAAATGATCTCGGAGAAACTGAAGATGGACCACAGGAAGATTGAGGTGGAGCGCGCCCACAGAACTGGAAAACCCACCACCAGCCCAGGTGACAGGCCCAGGCCGATAGTGGTCAAGTTCCTGAGGTTCAAGGACAAGGTAGCTGTTCTGGAAAGAGCCAAGAACTTGAGAGGAACGTACATCTTCCTCAACGAGGACTATCCTGAAGCTATGCGCCAGAAGAGGAAAGAATTTATCCTAGCCATGAAAGCTGCCAGAGCGCATGGGGCATTGCTTGCATCCGCTATGACAGGCTCATTGTCCACCCTCCCTCCCAAAAGCCTGGAAGGGATGAGAGAGCCAAGCCTATGTGTTCGTAGCTTCAACCCCACAGCACACACACACACACACCAGCGGATTAACGGACTGCTGAATGTATATTTTTTTTATCTTGCTGTGTTCGCTCTTTTCAATATTATGTCCCTCTCTGAAAATCTACCCAAGGAAAGGGCTGAAAGTAGCCCATATGAATATATGTAGCCTTAGAAATAAGGTTAATGAAATCACAAACTTGCTAACATCAGATAACATTCATATTAGCCATTTCTGAGACTCACTTAGACAATTAATTTGATGATACAGCAGTAGCAATACAAGGATATACAGTGCATTCGGAAAGTATTCAAACCCATCGACTTCTTCCACATTTTGTTGCGTTTCAGCCTTATTCTAAAATGGATTTTTTAATGTTGCCCCAACATCAATCTACACACAATACCCCATAATGACAAAGCAAAAACAGGTTTCTAGATTTCTTTGCAAATTTATTAAAAAATAAAAAAAATGAAAATATCACATTTACATAAGTATTCAGACCCTTTACTCAGTACTTTGTTGAAGCAACTTTGGCAGCGATTACAGCCTCGAGTCTTCTTGGGTATGATGCTACAAGCTTGGCACACCTGTATTTAGGGAGTTTCTCCCATTCTTCTTTGCAGATCCTCCCAAGCTCTGTCAGGTTGGATGGGGAGCATCGCTGACAGCTATTTTCAGGTCTCTCCAGAGATGTTTAATCGGGTTCAAGTCCGGGCTCTGGCTGGGCCACTCAAGGACATTCAGAGACTTGTCCCGAAGCCACTCCTGCGTTGTCTTGGCTGTGTGCTTAGGGTTGTTGTCCTGTTGGAAGCTGAACCTTCGCCCAGTCTGAGGTCCTGAGCGCTCTGGAGCAGGTTTTCATCAAGGATCTCTCTGTACTTTGCGCCATTAATCTCTCTCTCTCTCGATCCAGCTGCTGAAAAACGCCACCACCATGCTTCACCGTAGGGATGGTATTTGCCAGGTGATGAGCGGTGCCTGGTTTCCTCCAGACGTGACGCTCTGCATCAGGCCAAAGAGTTCAATCGTGGTTTCATCAAACCAGAAAATCTTGTTTCTCATGGTCTGAGAGTCCTTTAGGTGCCTTTTGGCAAACTCCAAGCGGGCTGTCATGTGCCTTTTACTGAGGAGTGTCTTCCGTCTGGCCACTCTACCATAAAGGCCTGATTGGTAGAGTGCTGCAGAGATGGTTGTCCTTCTGGAAGGTTCTCCCATCTCCACAGAGGAACTCTGGAACTCTGTCAGAGTGACCATCGGGTTCTTGGTCACCTCCCTGACCAACGCCCTTCTCCCCCGATTGCTCAGTTTGGCCGGGCGGCCAGCTCTAGAAAGAGTCTTGGTGGTTCCAAACTTCTTCCATTTAAGAATGATGGTGGCCACTGTGTTCTTGGGGACCTTCAATGCTGCAGACATTTTTTGGTAACCTTCCCCAGATCTCTGTCTTGAAACAATCCTGTCTCGGAGCTCTACGGACAATTCCTTCGATCTCATGGCTTGGTTTTTACTCTGACATGCACAGTCAATTGTGGGACCTTATATAGACAGCTGTGTGCCTTTCCAAATCATGTCCAATCAATTGAATTTACCACAGGTGGACTCCAATCAAGTTGTAGAAACATCTCAATGATTATCAATGGAAACAGGATGCACCTGAGCTCAATTTCGAGTCTCATAGCAAAGGGTCTGAATACTTATGTAAATAAGGTATTTCTGGGTTTTTTGCAAAAATTTCTAAAAACCTTTTTTCGCTTTGCCATTATGGGGTATTGTGTGTAGATTGATAAGGACATTTTTTTATTCAATCCATTTTAGAATAAGGCTGTAACGTAACAAAATGTGGAAAAACTAAAAGGGGTCTGAATACTTTCTGAATGCACTGTAGATACACACCCTGAAGGTCTGCTGCCCCCTTCTGGTTTTATTTTGACATTAACCGAAATGGCATTATCTATTAACTTTTTTTAAATTATTACAGTAGGCTCTTTTTCGGCATTTGCGCCAAATTATGCTAATTTGTTTTGGGGTTTCTGGGAAGAAACAGCATTGTTAATTTATTTATCTAACCCGTTCTTTTCTAATATTGTACACATTTATCCAACTCAAGTGACACAAAAGTATTCTATCACCCACGCTCGGGTAAAGAATACAAGATAAAATACTTCATAAATTGTAGCACAACACGTTGTTTACATGCTCAAATGCCCATGTTGGCTTGTCAGATAAAATGGGTTCTCAAATTAAGAATAGCTGAACACAAAACAGCTATCCACACAAAAAATATGGACTATGCGATCGTGCGGCATTATGTGAATGCCAATCATGGCTCAGCCTCAACCTTGAAATTCTGGGGAATTTAGAAAGTTTCTCTTCCCTCCAGAGGTGGCAATATTGTGAGGAAATTGTTACAGAGAGAGGCACTTTGGATCGACTGCTTAGATTGCGTCGAGCTAAAGGGTCTGAATGAACAGCTCTCTCATATTTTTTGTTTATTTCTGTCTTTTGCTTTTCAAGTGGAATTTGTGTAGGAATCTTGAATGATGGTCATCCTCGTTTGAATAACCTGTGTAGTTGCTGCTACTACTACTACTGACCGTATTGACATGATGAGTGGGACAGTCCCCTGCGAGGGTATATACTGTAGGTGCCTCCATTTTTCCTATTCAAGGCTCTGATGAAGGCGATTCATGCCGAAACGTAAGCCTATTGTTTGTTTGTCCCGTCAATAAATCTATCCGATTTACCCGGCAACAGTGCTCCTTTTTCTTTATTCTCCCGGATAGTCACCAGTTGAAGTATCCTGGGGTAAGGGATGTTTTGGGGATTTTCAAGTGCCTCAGTTGAGCACCTGATCCCCCCTTTTACGTTTAAGCTGGGCTGATGCGCATTTGGGTATACCTTTTTACATAAATATGGTTGTTATAACACTATGATACTTTTGATTTAGACAGTAATGCCATGTAAAACATACACAGGTGTTGTTACTACACCTACGAAAGAGGACCAGCACACATAGATACAGTCTGAAGCCTGTTTGAGGCATGTGTTTTGATAAGGGTTGGGAAGTTGGTTAAGAAATAAGTAGATGTGGGTCACCTCTCTGTGGCGGTCGCGGTCTTTGGACTTCTCCCGCACCCAGTCTATGGTGTTAAAGTCCTCATAGGTGCCCACCCCTGGCACGGGATCATCCAGCAGGTCCATCAGCTTAGGCACCCCGTTCACCTCCTCCATACCTGGGTTATCCCCTGGAAGAGAAGGGAGGATAGACGTGAGGATTTAAAGAGAGGAGGGATTCAAAGGACAGAGGTAAACACATTATGGTGTTAAATTAATACAACAACAAAAAAACGAAATCACACATTTGCAATACCCAGGACTTGTTTTGGCACAAAAGATGTGTGTGTAAAATCACTACAACACAAACAGGCACACACATGGGCCTTTGTCTTACCAGAACCATAGTCTCGGTCCAAGGGTGGTACATCCTCTGTGGTAGAGAAGTCTAATGTTGCCCCTGCTATCTCCACCATGTCCTCGTCACTTGTGCTACTCTCGTTGCAATATCCAGTGTTATCCATCGAGAATCCTGACGTAACACACACGGAATAAGGTCAGGGTCCAAAAGCAGAGTTCAAAGGAATCCTCCACCTAACTACATACGCTATACTAGTTACATCTCGGGCCCGGAGCCCTAACGACGTGAGCTAACGTACGTTAGCTAGTTAATCAATCAGACTAACGTTGGCTAGTTAACTTAGCTCTGTCTGTTTTAAGTTATTATTGTGTTCGCCTGGCTGTTCTGGTTAGCTAGCCAGCTACTGACTGACATCAACCCGTCTGTCTCCAACCGGCAAGCTATCTAGCTATCTAACGTCGTTAACTAACTAGATAGGTGGTTGGACAGCTAGCTAAGTTAGCTAGCTCGATAGCTTCAGCCACACACTCATAAACCTTGCAAGCAATAGTAAGCAGAGAGGTTCCTGTGCAAGCACATATTATTGACATCATATTAATAAATTTTAAAAAAATCGTTATTACTTCGTCGGATGGATTACGACAGAGAACTCTGATCTGTTATTGTCCTATCCTATCACTGAGGTTTAAAGATCCTAACCAAATTCCAGCAACTTCCTGCCACGACAGACATTGAGAGCTGATCCCAGATGCTAATACTTATTAGTTTATCGGTGATTGATTATTCCTTTATTTTCCCAAAGATTCTGGTTAGAAACCCATCACAATGGAAATTGAGTAGATTTTAATTGACTAGCAGTACAGAAAATAAGGTTCACATTATGCCTCGTCCAGTCCCCAAAACTCATTGCCCATGATGATTCCATTGGCGTCACACAGACCTGTTTGCATGTATGCAGATGACCATGTATCAAATTACAGTCTCAAAAAAAGTTCAGCAATGGCATTAAGTATTTGGGTATATGTTCACTATTGAAATCAAGCACTATTTATTGAAGCATGCAGTGTAGAGGGTTCAATGACTCCTCAAAACCAACAACCTATATATTTTTAGAGTCCTTGTTTTCTAGAAAATAAACACAGAACAGACAATGGTGAGAGTTATAATCCTAGTGTACCCTCCATCTCATTTGAACAAATCGAACTATGTCCACAGTGCATATGTAGTCTAGTGACCTCTCATTGGCACCTCTGCTTCATCTGCACCAACCAATCTTTGGACAAAGGATGAAGTGAAAACAATATGATAAGTGAAATCACCTTCACCAGTTCAGTACTTTCACAGCAATCAATGACTGGAATGCAACATGTTAGATAGCCAATTTAGTCAATTGACATGTAGGCTGGTCTACAGAATTAGTCTGGGGTATGAGGGACCGAGAGACTGAAAAACAGCTTCTATCATCAGGCCATCAGACTGTATGTGTTTGTGTTTTATTGATTTTTTTATTTGTATTTTTGGGATTTGTGTGTATTGTACTGTTAGTTATTACTGCACTGTTGGAGCTAGAAACATAAGCATTTCGCTGCACCTGCGATAACATCTGCGAAATGTGTAGGCCGACCAATACAATTCGATTTGATTTTGATCAAGCCTGATATGGAAGTCTGTGCATGCAGACCTAAAAACTTCATAAAATGATTGCGTTATTCATTACTATTTGTGAGACAAAACACCCAAAACATGTCACAACACGGGTCATGAATTACGTCCTCTAAGTCACCCTGTGGATATTTCTATTCCCATTGGCTACATTGTTTCTGGTCCTGGGGCTATTATGAATATTTATGACTAATTCTGAATAATAAGTGGAATCTGCATGACACAACTCATAATCCCAGTTCTTTACATGTAAATCTTTCTCTCCCCGCCACTGCTCCACCAAAGATTAAGCTATGTGAAGACCCACTGGGCACACACTGGTTGAATCAACGTTGTTTCCAAGTCGTTTCAATGAAATGACGTTGAACCAATGTGGAATAGATGTTGAATTGACATCTGTGCCTATTGGTTATTTACAGCAAAATGTAGGAACACAATATGTGGTAGCTGTTTATATCTTTCCTTTTTTGTGTTGAATGCATGATTCCGCTGACACAAGATCTACTTTGATGGAGCTTTTTATATTAGGGGCCAATGGAAAAAGGAACACTCAAGTGATTTGGACTCTTCCTGAAATAAAATCCATAGAAAGGTCCTTTGGGGGAAGGATGTTTGGCATACCTTTAAATACTGTATCCCAAATTATTATTGAGAAATAATTGATTAATGTTGGGAAATTTGGCCTTACCCGGGCCTTCTTTAAGACACTACAATGATGAGTCTGTAGATGAAGCCAGTCTTGGTGACATTTGAAACCTTACCGTGTGCTTTGAAATATGAGAAGTGTTAATAGTAACAATTCAATTTCTTTATATACATTTAGGGATAATTAACAATATAAATGTAAATACCTCAAAAGTACCATTTTTTATTTTGTTAATTTTTACTCTACAATATACTCTACAAGTGCATACAATTTCCAGAGTGGGCTCTCTGCTACATTGAAGATAAGACCCATTTTATACATATAATTTGGCAATACAGTGAGGGAAAAAAGTATTTAACCCCCTGCTGATTTAGTATGTTTGCCCACTGACAAAGAAATTATCAGTCTATAATTTTAATGGTAGGTTTATTTGAACAGTGAGAGACAGAATAACAACAACAAAATCAAGAAAAACGAATGTCAGAAATGTTATAAATTGATTTGCATTTTAATGACGGAAATAAATATTTGACCCCTCTGCAAAACATGACTTAGTACGTGGTGGCAAAACCCTTGTTGGCAATCAAAGAGGTCAGACGTTTCTTGTAGTTGGCCACCAGGTTTGCACACATCTCAGGAGGGATTTTGTCCCACTCCTCTTTGCAGATCTTCTCCAAGTCATTAAGGTTTCGAGGCTGATGTTTGGCAACTCAAACCTTCAGCTCCCTCCACAGATTTTCTATGGGATTAAGGTCTGGAGACTGTCTAGGCCACTCCAGGACCTTGTGCTTCTTCTTGAGCCACTCCTTTGTTGCCTTGGCCGTGTGTTTTGGGTCATTGTCGTGCTGGAATACCCATCCACGACCCATTTTCAATGCCCTGGCTGAGGGAAGGAGGTTCTCACCCAAGATTTGACAGTACATGGCCCTGTCCATCGTCCCTTTGATGCGGTGAAGTTGTCCTATTCCCTTAGCAGAAAAACACCCCCAAAGCATAATGTTTCCACCTCCATGTTTGACGGTGGGGATGGTGTTCTTGGGGTCATAGGCAGCATTCCTCGTCCTCCAAACACGGCGAGTTGAGGTGATGCCAAAGAGCTCAATTTTGGTCTCATCTGACCACAACACTTTCACCCAGTTCTCCTCTGAATCATTCAGATGATCATTGGCAAACTTCAGACGGGCATGTATATGTGCTTTCTTGAGCAGGGGGACATTGCGGGCGCTGCAGGATTTCAGTCCTTCACAGCGTAGTGTGTTACCAATTGTTTTCTTGGTGACTATGGTCCCAGCTGCCTTGAGATCATTGACAAGATCCTCCCGTGTAGTTCTGGGCTGGTTCCTCACCGTTCTCATGATCATTGCAACTCCACGAGGTGAGATCTTGCATGGAGCCCCAGGCCGAGGGAGATTGACAGTTATTTTGTGTTTCTTCCATTTGCGAATAATCACACCAACTGATGTCACCTTCTCACCAAGCTGCTTGGCGATGGTCTTGTAGCCCATTCCTGTCACGGTTTCAGCCGAGGCTGCTCCTCCTCCTTGTTCGGGCAGGCTTCGGCGGTCGTCGTCCCCGGAGTACTAGCTGCCACCGTTCGATGTTTCATGTTTGTTTGGTTTTGTCTGTTTGTACACCTGTCCCTTGTTAGTGTTTGATTTGGTTTCCTATTTAGTTATCGTGTGTTGGGTCAGGTGTTATGTGTGATTGTTTTTTGTCAAGCTGTTGCTCTCGGGATTTACTCTCGTGTTTTGTTGTGTTTCGAGAGTCAGCACTGTGTGCGCTATCGTTGTTTTACGCACTGTGTTTATTTGTGCGTAATTTGTATTTTGCCTCCCGGTTGGGTTGGCTGTTCGCCTGTTTGGTGCTGCTTTCGTTGACTAAAGTCTGTTCACGAACGCCCGTGGTTCCTGCGCTTGATTTCCACACCGCATCTACACTCAGCTACTGACAATTCCAGCCTTGCGTAGGTCTACAATCTTGTCCCTGACATCCTTGGAGAGCTCTTTGGTCTTGGCCATGGTGGAGAGTTTGGAATCTGATTGATTGATTGCTTCTGTGGACAGGTGTCTTTTATACAGGTAACAAGCTGAGATTAGGAGCATTCCCTTTAAGAGTGTGCTCCTAATCTCAGCTCGTTACCTGTATAAAAGACACCTGGGAGCCAGAAATCTTTCTGATTGAGAGGGGGTCAAATACTTATTTCCCTCATTAAAATGCAAATCAATTTATAACATTTTTGACATGCGTTTTTCTTGATTTTTTTGTTGTTATTCTGTCTCTCACTGTTCAAATAAACCTACCATTAAAATTATAGACTGATCATTTCTATGTCAGTGGGCAAACGTACAAAATCAGCAGGGGATCAAATACTTTTTTCCCTCACTGTATACTGTAGGTCATTAACCAATCACAGCCCTCCTTTAGGATTGCAAATTCTGCAAATCACCAGCAGAGGAAGTTCCATTTGAATCCATTTTCTGATTCACTCTGTTGGTGGTGCTCATACAATGTATAATAACTTCAAAGTAGCAGAGAGCCCACTCTGGAAATGTGATGTACTTGTAGAGTATATTGTTTAAAACAATATGTCTAAAAATGATCAAAATCAAAAAGGGTACTTTTGAGATATTTACTTTATTATCCATAAATTAATGTAAAGAAATGGTATTCTTAACACTACTCATATTTCAAAGCACACGGTAAGGTTTCAAATAACACCAAAACTGGCTCTGTAGCATCTACAGACTCATTGTCAGCATGAAGGTTCAACCTTTAACACACAACTAGACTGCTACTTCTTTAGCACCAGATTGGTCTCTGCTTTGCTATCCACAAGAAGCTGAAAGGATCCACAAGATTGTTGCTTTGACTTGCATCATCTGAACATGTATAGATTTACAGTGAAAATGAAGACATTTACAGTGAAACCAAATCAATACTAAAATAGAAGAGAGCGAGATCGCTAGGTTTGTTAATAATAGTTGGAGAGAGAACCATTTCGAAGTACTGACCATGGGATGTGCTAAGTTTGCATACAGAGCAAAGAACTGACCAACGATCATCCATAGAGGGCAGACATCAATCTCAGTTTTATGTGTAATCCACACCTAATTTTGTATCTTGCATGCTGTCATATCTTGGACATGTGCCAGTTTTAAGTGACTTCCAATTATCTACTTCAACGTAATGGGAAGAATGCTGTGCATTTCAATCATAACCTACTAATTCCAAATCAAAGACCAGGATAAGAAAATCAACACATAGACGTTAATCAGAAAATACATCTGTAGTATTTACTATAGTGTTTTTGTGGACATTACTGTAGTAATTACTATAGTAAAAAAAATGTGTAGTGTTTTTGCAGACTGTAGTGTTTTTGCGGACATTACATTAATATTTACTACAGTATTCTACAGTATGCTAAAACATTCTATAGTAAGTACTACACTTTACAGGGATACTACAGTGTGTAGAATAGTATTCTACAGCATACTACCATTTACTACATAATTCTATAGTAAGTATTGTAGTAAGCTGTATTTTTTCATCATGTGGGATGGCACGTGTGTGAGGGAAAGAGAGAAAGAGAAAGCGAGATGGTATATAAGCGTTCTCCAAAAGAACATTTGCTACACAAGAAAGAAACAGACACCCAGGTGCCTGCCATCCCTCAGCTCAACTAATTTACTCCAGGATACATCTCAACATGCACGGTCAAAACAGCAAAGCAATGCAAGGAGTGTGTCTGGTGGCTCTGGTTCTTATGCATCAGGTAAAACACTTTTGGTTATTATTTTACCATTTTATTTGCAATATTCTAGTGTTTTTAGCCATCTTTAACCAGTAGTGTAACTGTAATGCTGAACGTTGTTGATGTGTACTCTGTATGGCAGGTGTGTGCTAGTCCCACAGGTAGCTTTGATTCACTGCTGAGCCTCCAGCAGGGTACCAAGCTCCTTGAACGGAGAGCCCACATGACCCTTCTGTGTAGGTTCATGGGGCGATTAGGTACCGTTTTGAGTGCTCCACCCAAATCTGCAGCTAACCTGGCTAACCTGGCTAACCTGGCTTACCTGGTTTACCTGGCTTTCCTGGCTTATAATTATTTGTTACTTTTATTTCTTATTTTATTTAGGTATTCTTTCTTAAAACTGCATTGTTGGTTAAGGGCTTGTAGATAAGCATTTCACTGTAAGGTCAACACCTGTTGTATTCGGGGCATTTGACGAATACAATTTGATCTGATTTGATTTTACATTAGCTATCCTTAGAAATGGAGGAGCCAGAGATTTCTTCTCCCCAATCAAAGATTTACTAATGCCTTCATACAGTCAATTTAACAACCCTGTCAGGAAACTTCAAAGACATGGTGAAGCTTATCAGAGTGCAAACTGTTTTTTTTTTAATGTAGGCCAGGGATTAAACATTTTTCAATTAGAGGAATGGTTTTCTCAATTTTGGGTATAGTCAACTCACATGTACTTCAAAAGCACTTTAAGTTACAATTTATTTGTATGTACTGTATAATACTACATCCCAAGAGCTTGAAACAATGATCACCAGTCAACATTGCGTAAATGTCCTCCATGTACAGTATAATAGCATCCTATACAACAGAGTTTACTTGAAATATTTAGTATGCAATGTTAACTGAAAAGAAGGGTGTTATCAAGAAATTATGTTATCAAGAGGCAAAATGTCAGATGTATTTGAAAAAAAATGCACACCAAAGATTTGCTCACAAATTAAAGCAATGGTGAAATATTTGCATAAGAGGGTAATGTAAAGAGGAAAATGTATTGTGCCTTGTTTAACAAGAGAAGACAATGTACTGTGTCTTGTTTAACAAGAGAAGACAATGTACTGTGCCTTGTTTAACAAGAGAAGACAATGTACTGTGCCTTGTTTAACAAGAGAAGACAATGTACTGTGCCTTGTTTAACAAGAGAAGACAATGTACTGTGCCTTGTTTAACAAGAGAAGACAATGTACTGTGCCTTGTTTAACAAGAGAAGACAAACTAAAAGCTGCAAAAATAATTTGGATCTTCTTGTTTATTCATGTGTTTATAGCTTTATTTTTATATATCTAACTTCAAAACTTTATAACTTAACTTTAATAACTTTATACAGTGCCTTCGGAAAGTATTCAGACCCCTTGACTCTTTCCACATTTTGTTACGTTGCAGCCTTATTCTAAAATTGATTAAATAAATACAAATCTTCAGCAGTCTACACACAATACCCCATAATGACAAAGCGAAAATGGGTTTCTAGAAATTTTAGCAAATGTATTTAAAATGAAAAACAGAAATACCTTATTTACATAAGTATTCAGACCCTTTGCTATGAGACTCGAAATTGAGCTCAGGTGCATCCTGTTTCCATTGATCATCCTTGAGATGTTTCCACAACTTGATTGGAGTCCACCTGTGGTAAATTCAATTGATTGGACATTATTTGGAAAGGCACACACCTGTCTATATAAGGTCCCACAGTTGACAGTGCATGTCAGAGCAAAAACCAAGCCATGAGGTCGAAGTTTCGAGACAGGATTGTGTCGAGACAGAGATCTGGGGAGGGGTACCAAAACATTTCTGCAGCATTGAAGGTCACCAAGAAGGCCTCCATCATTCTTAAATGGAAGAAGTTTGGAACCACCAAGACTCTTCCTAGAGCTGGCGCCAGGCCAAACTGAGCAATCGGGGGAGAAGGGCCTCTGAAAGAGCTCAAGAGTTCCACTGTGGAGATGGGAGAACCTTCCAGAAGGACAACCATCTCTGCAGCACTCCACCAATCAGGGCTTTATGGTAGTGGCCAGACGGAAGCCACTCATCAGTAAAAGGCACATGACAGCCCGGATGGAGTTTGCCAAAAGGCACCTAAAGACTCTCAGACCATGAGAAAAAAGATTCTCTGGTATGATGAAACCAAGATTGAACTCTTTGGCCTGAATGCCAAGTGTCAAGTCTGGAGGAAACCTGGCACCATCCCTACAATGAAGCATTGTGGTGGCATCATTATGCTGTGGGGGATGTTTTTCAGCGGCAGGGACTGGGAGACTAGTCAGGATCGAGGAAAAGATTAACGGAACAAAGTACAGAGAGATCCTTGATGAAAACCTGCTCCAGAGCACTCAGGACCTCAGACTGGGGTGAAGGTTCACCTTCCAACAGGACAACAACCCTAAGCACACAGCCAAGACAACGCAGGAGTGGCTTCGGGACAAGTCTCTGAATGTCCTTGAGTGGCCCAGCTAGAGCCCGGACTTGAACCCGATCGAACGTCTCTGGAAAGACCTGAAAATAGCTGTGCAGCAACGCTCCCCATCCAACCTGGCAAAGCTTGAGAGGATCTGCAGAGAAGAATGGGAGAAACTCCCCAAATACAGGTGTGCCAAGCTTGTAGTGTCATAATCAAGAAGACTCGAAGCTGTAATCGCTGCCAAAGGTGTTTCAACAAAGTACTGAGTAAAGGGTCTGAATACTTAATTTTATTAAATTACGAAACAAAACTGAACCTCTTTTTGCTTTGTCATTATGGGGTATTGTGTGTAGATTGATGAGGATATAAATAAAGAAATAAGGCTGTAACGTAAAACAAAATGTGGAAAAGTTAAGGGGTCTGAATACTTTCCGAAGGCACTGTTTTAACATTATGTTATTGTTTATGACAACTCCATCTAATGACATTGTTACATTGTTATTTTGAAGATTCTAGTCAACTAGGCCTACTGCACACAGAAAATACAGACCAACTAGTCTGAGAGCAGCCATGGGCAGTGTAACAGATACCGTGAGCAGAACGCACCCTCCTAGACTCTGACATTTGCTTCCCTCTCATGTTCTCATCCAATGTTGCAACTATATAACAAGCTGTATTAGAGAGAATGTCAGCGAGGTTTGAGGGCTGAAATTCATGCAAAACAAGCAACATCATGAGGAGCCGTAGTAACTCTGGGGTGAAACTCGACAATTATGCGCGGATGGTTACGAAAACGATACTACGTCACCAGGTGAGTGCACTGTGGGGCTATTCATGACAATATGTTTCCCTTGACATGGTGTGTGTGTAGTAGCCTACTCATTTACATGCGTTCAGCTCATGTAAAGCAAAAAAAAGAATCCCATGACTGACACTTAAAGGGAAACTCCCCTCAAAAACTATATTTTGGTATTATTTTTCATTAGTCCACTGTTGATACAGTCCCAAAATATTTTGCATGTCAGCAGTCAAGTTTCCAAGATATTGATGATGTGGTCGATTATCTAATATTTTGAAAACTTGACTGCTGACATGCAAAACATCTTGGGACTGTGTCAACAGTGGACAATTTATTTTTATTTTTAAGATTGTCTTTGAGTAGAGTTGCCTTTAAGTCGATCTCAGATCGATTGTCTGGGGGTTAACCTCCCTCCCCTTTCATGTAAAAAAGTCATCACCAACATGCTTTTAGAGAAAGAGGATTTTGTAAATGTATTAAACAGTGAGTTTGACCAATTCCAGTCCTCTTGCTTAGGGGGTCCGATAATTTGTATGTAGAAGGACTGAGAGGCTCAGTTCTGGGGATCTTTTAAAAGGACTTTCTACTCTAAAATGAATTTTTATTGCGGTTTTACACTGATCTGAAAAACAAATCCATACTAGGAAAATCTGAGGCCCAGCTAGGCCTACTTACTACCAGACAGAAACTGAAATAACAATTTGCAATTTGATTTAAGATAATTTGTATTTTAAACTGCACTGCTTGCCTGTTGGAGCAATTGATAATTTGCCACATCAGTCAACATAAACGGTGGTTACAATTCATTCACTATGACTGGCTGATTGTGTGTAAATGATCGTGGATTTTGATTTAAAATCTATTGAAATCATAGGAAGAAATAAAATGTCAATAATCATTATTATTTCGATTATTATTATGATTATAATTGCATGTGAATGCTTGCAAATGGGTGATATTGTGTGTAAACATTTATGTTTAGTGTGCGTATGTACACAGCATGTATGTATGTAATCACCAGCTGTATATGTCCAATGATACTGAATGTGATGTTATGTTCCTCTTATGATCAGGATCCGGTGACGGGGCTTCTCCCAGGGGACCCAGATACCCCCCATGCTTGGGTCCGGGACAATGTCTACGGCATCCTGTCTGTGTGGGCCCTCAGCCTGGCCTACCGCAAGAACGCTGACCGAGATGAGGACAAGGCCAAGGCCTACGAGCTGGAACAGGTGGGTGGGCCCTTCCAGTTACCTGTCTGTCTCAAACCAGTATTGTTTTTGAATGGGAGTAACAAATAAGTATATATTTTGTAATACCTGGCTGACAGTAACCCCTTAATCATCTTCACGGCTGTCCTGGGCATAGGAGTGTAGCAGCTGTAAATAGACCTAACTTGGTCCTGCCCATGGTAGGTCAGTGTGTGTGTGTTGATATGAGTGTGTGTGTGTGTGTTCCCACATGGAAATGCCAGGGGGCAGGCCATTACGCTGGGAACGGGTTTCAGGTTACTCTGATTCTGCTGGTAGATGGGGGAGGTTGAAGGTCATGGTTGAGATTGGGTGCTGACTATTTCTCTCTCTATCTCTCCACAGAATGTAGTTAAACTCATGAGGAGCCTGCTGCAGTGTATGATGAGGCAGGTATGCTGGCAAGGATTGTGCCATTCGCAGTTGTAATGTGGGCCATGGAAATAGTTTAATCACACTTCAGCTTGCATGCTGTGGTGGTGGTTTAATGTATCATTAAGCAAAGGAATTCAAAGGAAAGGTCACTGTTTGAAATAAACTCTTAAGATGACATGTTAGTAGATCAACATGCTGTATACAGATGACAGAATATGACCTGTGGCTTCTCTTTTAGGATTAGCCTACAAACTGCAGTTGACCATTTCCTTTTTATTGACCTCAAAGATGGTCTTAAGTCCTGGTGTTTGTGGTTGTTCCATTTTTCTCAGATTGACAAAGTGGAGAAGTTTAAATACAGCAAGAACAAATCTGACTGCCTGCATGCCAAGTATAACTCCCAGACAACTGCCACAGTGGTGGGAGACGATGAGTGGGGTCACCTGCAGGTGGATGCCACTTCCATATTCCTGCTCTTCCTGGCCCAGATGACTGCATCAGGTAAACTCATACTCCACTGTGTGCCCCAGTGGCGTAGTCATGATTTGAACAATGGGGTAGACACATTTTGGCGTGGGGTCTGGGGGTCTTTCCCCAGAAAAATATATAAACTTGAAAATGCATTTTCTGCATTTTAAAGGCCCAATGCAGCCATTTCAATATCACATTATTTTTGGGTAACAATTAAGTACCTTACTGTAATAATAGTTTTCCATTAAAATGGTCAAAAAGAACCAAAAACAGCTTTTAGCCCCAAAATATAATTCAAGCAGTAATTTTGCATGACTGTCTGGGAGTGGTCTGAGTGGGGAGGGGAAGGGCACCAAAGCAGTGCATTAACCACAATGTGGATCAATCCACCAGCATAGAGGTGTGATGGGCCCCCGTGTAGCTCAGTTGGTAGAGCATGGCGCTTGCAACGCCAGGGTTGTGGGTTCGTTTCCCACGGGGGGCCAGTATGGAGAAAAAAAATGTATGCAATCACTAACTGTAAGTCGCTCTGGATAAGAGCATCTGCTAAATGACCCCAAAAAAAAGGGTGATTTGAAGGAGTCAGGCACAGGAGGGTAAATCACAGAATACAGAGTTTATTCTGTAATACAGCCTTACGCAGAATAGCGTCAACCAGTCCAGTCCGCAAAACACCGCACTGGAACAAAACAGGCACACGGGGAAAATATACCCCGGCAATACAAAATACATGGAGCTCAACCGAGGTACACTCACCTCACATTAAACAATCACCCACAAGGACAAGGGGGCAGAGGGAACACTTATACACATACTAATGAGGGGATATGAACCAGGTGTGTGTAATAGACCAGACAAAACAAATGGAATGATGAGATGTGATGCGGCAGTGGCTAGAAGGCCGGTGATGACGAACGCCGAAGCCTGCACAAACAAGGAGAGGAGGCAGCTTCGGAGGAAGTCGTTACAAGAGGGGCCTAATAGGAGGGATATGTAACCTGGAAATGAGCTGTTATTGACAGAGAAGTTTCGAACTCTCTTTGTTATTGGTGTATTAACTTATGCCACCTGGTGATGTCACCTGGCAAGCCAAAATTCCACCCATGCAAAACCTGCTGATGCGAAAGTCCTGTGTAGATAGAATTTTCAACCAGCAACTATTACATATCACATTATAACATTTTCACACTTTTAAAGTGTTTGTTTCTTCAGCTGTTGTATAATATGATACAAAACACAGGAAAAATAGAATTGACCACCAAGATTACCATTTTTGCTAACAATGCCTGCAGTACCGCAGTCGGCCTTGAACTTCTGTGGCTTCAACAGAGGGGGCAGTCATTCTCCCCTGGCTTGCACCCAAAGATATTGAAAATGTGGCAGGTTCCTGTCATGCCAAATAGTGTCAACTGACAAATAGTGTTCAGCCCCTGTGTCACAATGGGCTAAAACAGGGTCATACAGGGTGTTTTTGGGAAGTCTTACAAATCTTCATGGTATCAAAAGTATACACCTCACATATGGTTTTGGTTCAAATTGAAGAAGGCACCTGTCTCATGTCAGATATTGAGTTAAATGTGTTTAAGTTTACATCCCAATATTACACTTTAATATACAGCACAGAAGATTAAAATATAAAAAACAGTTGTTTATTTTTTTAGGTGTATACAGTGAGAAACACTGTACAAATGGAAGAAACACAAAATAACTGTCAATCTCCCTCGGCCTGGGGCTCCATGCAAGATCTCACCTCATGGAGTTGCAATGATCATGAGAATGGTGAGGAATCAGCCCAGAACTACACGGGAGGATCTTGTCAATGATCTCAAGGCAGCTGGAACCATAGTCACCAAGAAAACAATTGGTAACACACTACGTCGTGAAGGACTGAAATCCTGCAGCGCCCGTAAGGTCCCCCTGCTCAAGAAAGCACATATACAGGCCCGTCTGAAGTTTGCCAATGAACATCTGAATGATTCAGAGGAGAACTGGGTGAAAGTGTTGTGGTCAGATGAGACCAAAATCGAGCTCTTTGGCATCAACTCAACTCGCCGTGTTTGGAGGAGGAGGAATGCTGCCTATGACCCCAAGAACACCATCCCCACCGTCAAACATGGAGGTGGAAACATTATGCTTTGGGGGGGGGTTTTCTGCTAAGGGGATAGGACAACTTCACTGCATCAAAGGGACGATGGACGGGGCCATGTACCGTCAAATCTTGGGTGAGAACCTCCTTCCCTCAGCCAGGGCATTGAAAATGGGTCGTGGATGGGTATTCCAGCATGACAATGACCCAAAACACACGGCCAAGGCAACAAAGGAGTGGCTCAAGAAGAAGCACATTAAGGTCCTGGAGTGGCCTAGCCAGTCTCCAGACCTTAATACCATAGAAAATCTGTGGAGGGAGCTAAAGGTTCGAGTTGCCAAACGTCAGCCTCAAAACCTTAATGACTTGGAGAAGATCTGCAAAGAGGAGTGGAACAAAATCCCTCCTGAGATGTGTGCAAACCTGGTGGCCAACTACAAGAAACGTCTGACCTCTGTGATTGCCAACAAGGGTTTTGCCACTAAGTACTAAGTCATGTTTTGCAGAGGGGTCAAATACTTATTTCCCTCATTAAAATGCAAATTAATTTATAACATTTTTGACATGCGTTTTTCTGGATTTTGTTGTTGTTATTCTGTCTCTCACTGTTCAAATAAACCTACCATTAAAATTATAGACTGATCATGTCTTTGTCAGTGGGCAAACATACAAAATCAGCAGGGGATCAAATACTGAAGAGGGCTATTCAAAGATGCTCTGTTGGTCGACATTCCAGTGTTAATTTTGGAACTCATTTTTTTTTTGTCTTAGTCACATTTTTGTCATTTGAGTAGTTATTGTCAACATTTTGAAAACAGTGGGCCATTTTAGTCAACGAAATGCCCTTTCATTTTAGTCACATGTTAGTCACATTACATTTTAATTGCCTCATTAACCTATAGTAAACATAAATCACAACGTATCACATGATTCTCTTCCCAACAGCCAAATTGGCAGAATAACACATTACTCTGTAGCAGATAAAACATCTAACCCCTTGACAGGGCTCCAGACTAACATTTTCTCCTGGTGGCACTGGTGCCACTAACTCTTTCAGTTGGTGGCACCAGCCCATGATTTGGTCACAAATCTTTTTCAGCAGCATCAAGCAATATAATACTTTTTTTAATCACCTTATAAAGTCATTCACAGTGCTTTAGACTGTGCGGTAGACTGCTGAAATGGTAGGCTATTCATGAAATAAGTTTATTCATCTGACATGTCCAAGCAAGAATGCATGATTCAAGATATTTTGATGTGCAACCTAATCCAGTGATTGTCATGAATTGTGGGTTGACAGTAGGGTATTGTTGTTATATTTGACTGTTAAAGTAGGGCTCTATTTGTCTGCATCTTTTTGTGCACTAACAACATCGGCAAATTTATTTTGGGGCTGATTCAGTGAAACCTCAAAGCACATTAGCTAGATCTCTAACACTAAATATAATACCCACTGCTAGTAGTCATGTATTAATCTAACAGTAAATGTAATGTCCTAAAACGATGCAGTTGTAGCCTGCTACTCTATAAGCTCTTGCAGTGGCTGATGCGCAATTGCGCAATTCCTATCTAAAAGCCATATATCAAATCCCAGTTGTAAAATAGTTGCTGTTGAGCTCAATTGGATTTTGAAATGTTCTAGAATCAGAAGCCTTTTTCTCTCTCCTGGAGTGCTATCAAGTCGCTCGCTCATTACAGCAGCAGGCCCCAGGGAAACAGGCCCCTACAGGCCCAGGGGCTGGGCAGACACTTTCATTACAGGACTCATGATGATAATGCAGTTTACTGTTTGACCAAATCATGGTTTTAGCAGCCAAGAAATGTGACCATGTAATGAATGTTCAGCTCGCACTAATGCAACCAATTAAACATTTAACTCACAGCCAAGTCGAAAGGTAGCAAAATGAGATTAAATGGTCCTCTTGACATACAGTGGGGAAAAAAAGTATTTAGTCAGCCACCAATTGTGCAAGTTCTCCCACTTAAAAAGATGGGAGAGGCCTGTAATCTTCATCATAGGTACACGTCAACTATGACAGACAAAATGAGAATTTTTTTTCCAGAAAATCACATTGTAGTATTTTTAATGAATTTATTTGCAAATTATGGTGGAAAATAAGTATTTGGTCAATAACAAAAGTTTCTCAATACTTTGTTATATACCCTTTGTTGGCAATGACACAGGTCAAACATTTTCTGTAAATCTTCACAAGGTTTTCACACACTGTTGCTGGTATTTTGGCCCATTCCTCCATGCAGATCTCCTCTAGAGCAGTGATGTTTTGGGGCTGTCGCTGGGCAACACGGACTTTAAACTCCCTCCAAAGATGTTCTATGGGGTTGAGATCTGGAGACTGGCTAGGTCACTCCAGGACCTTGAAATGCTTCTTACGAAGCCACTCCTTCGTTGCCCGGGCGGTGTGTTTGGGATCATTGTCATGCTGAAAGACCCAGCCACGTTTCATCTTCAATGCCCTTGCTGATGGAAGGAGGTTTTCACTCAAAATCTCACGATACATGGCCCCATTCATTCTTTCCTTTACACGGATCAGTCGTCCTGGTCCCTTTGCAGAAAAACAGCCCCAAAGCATGATGTTTCCACCCCCATGCTTCACAGTAGGTATGGTGTTCTTTGGATGCAACTCAGCATTCTTTGTCCTCCAAACACGACGAGTTGAGTTTTTACCAAAAAGTTCTATTTTGGTTTCATCTGACCATATGACATTCTCCCAATCCTCTTCTGGATCATCCAAATGCACTCTAGCAAACTTCAGACGGGCCTGGACATGTACTGGCTTAAGCAGGGGGACACGTCTGGCACTGCAGGATTTGAGTCCCTGGCGGCGTAGTGTGTTACTGATGGTAGGCTTTGTTACTTTGGTCCCAGCTCTCTGCAGGTCATTCACTAGGTCCCCCCGTGTGGTTCTGGGATTTTTGCTCACCGTTCTTGTGATCATTTTGACCCCACGGGGTGAGATCTTGCGTGGAGCCCCAGATCGAGGGAGATTATCAGTGGTCTTGTATGTCTTCCATTTCCTAATAATTGCTCCCACAGTTGATTTCTTCAAACCAAGCTGCTTACCTATTGCAGATTCAGTCTTCCCAGCCTGGTGCAGGTCTACAATTTTGTTTCTGGTGTCCTTTGACGGCTCTTTGATCTTGGCCATAGTGGAGTTTGGAGTGTGACTGTTTGAGGTTGTGGACAGGTGTCTTTTATACTGATAACAAGTTCAAACAGGTGCCATTAATACAGGTAACGAGTGGAGGACAGAGGAGCCTCTTAAAGAAGAAGTTACAGGTCTGTGAGAGCCATAAATCTTGCTTGTTTGTAGGTGACCAAATACTTATTTTCCACCATAATTTGCAAATAAATTCATAAAAAAAGATTTTCCTCAATTTGTCTGTCATTGTTGACGTGTACCTATGATGCAAATTACAGGCCTCTCTCATCTTTTTAAGTGGGAGAACTTGCACAATTGGTGGCTGACTAAATACTTTTCTTCCCCACTGTATTATAGCTATTGTAATCAAAGTTCTGTCATAAGTAGTGGTCTGATAGGTTGCAGCAAGCTAAGTATCATTATCAATCTGTTATTACCTGAGCATATATATTGGGATGATACACTTTCAGATGTCTCTTGAGGTTGGTAGTATTTTATATGGTTCCTTTTGAAAGCCCACTCCTTTCGAAACCCCCACTTTTCCTGAGAGATGACATATCAGTAGATGGCAGCATAGAGACCCTGAGGGATGACTGCTCTGAGAGATGACATATCAGTAGATGGCAGCATAGAGACCCTGAGGGATGACTGCTCTGAGAGATGACATATCAGTAGATGGCAGCATAGAGACCCTGAGGGATGACTGCTCTGAGAGATGACATATCAGTAGATGGCAGCATAGAGACCCTGAGGGATGACTGCTCTGAGAGATGACATATCAGTAGATGGCAGCATAGAGACCCTGAGGGATGACTACTCTGAGAGATGACATGTCAGTAGATGGCAGCATAGAGACCCTGAGGGATGACTGCTCTGAGAGATGACATATCAGTAGATGGCAGCATAGAGACCCTGAGGGATGACTACTCTGAGAGATGACATATCAGTAGATGGCAGCATAGAGACCCTGAGGGATGACTGCTCTGAGAGATGACATATCAGTAGATGGCAGCATAGAGACCCTGAGGGATGACTGCTCTGAGAGATGACATATCAGTAGATGGCAGCATAGAGACCCTGAGGGATGACTGCTCTGAGAGATGACATATCAGTAGATGGCAGCATAGAGACCCTGAGGGATGACTACTCTGAGAGATGACATATCAGTAGATGGCAGCATAGAGACCCTGAGGGATGACTGCTCTGAGAGATGACATATCAGTAGATGGCAGCATAGAGACCCTGAGGGATGACTGCTCTGAGAGATGACATGTCAGTAGATGGCAGCATAGAGACTCTGAGAGATGACGCTATTGGTCCTTCCTAACTCAGTTGCCAGAGAGGAAGGAAGCTGCTCAGGGATTTCACCAAGGCCAATGGTGATTTTAAAACAGTTACAAAGTTTAATGGTTGTGATATGAGAAAACTGAGGATGGATCAACAACCTTCTAGTTACTCCACAATACTAACCTAAAGGACAGAGTGAAAAGAAGGAAGCCTGTATAGAATACAAATATTCCAAAACATGCATCCTATCTGCAACAAGGCACTTATGTAATACTGCACAAAATTTGGCAAAGAAATTAACTTTTTGTCCTCAATAAAAAATGTATGTTCCAACACAACACATCACTGAGGAACACTGACAGGGCTTGAATAATTTAAAAAAGAATAATGGGCAAATATTGTACAATCCAGGTATGCAAAGCTCTTAGAGACTTACCCAAAAATACTCACAGCTGTTAGGCGTTTCTAACATGTAGGGGGGTATCAGGGGGTGAATACCTATCTAATCAAGATACAGTGGGGGAAAAAGTATTTGATCCCCTGCTGATTTTGTACGTTTGCCCACTGACAAAGACATGATCAGTCTATAATTTTAATGGTAGGTCTATTTGAACAGTGAGAGACAGAATAACAACAAAAAAATCCAGAAAAACGCATGTAAAAATTTTTATGAATTAATTTGCATTTTAATGAGGGAAATAAGTATTTGACCCCTCTGCAAAACATGACTTAGTACTTGGTGGCAAAACCCTTGTTGGCAATCACAGAGGTCAGCCGTTTCTTGTAGTTGGCCACCAGGTTTGCACACATCTCAGGAGGGATTTTGTTCCACTCCTCTTTGCAGATCTTCTCCAAGTCATTAAGGTTTCGAGGCTGATGTTTGGCAACTCGAACCTTCAGCTCCCTCCACAGATTTTCTATGGGATTAAGGTCTGGAGACTGGCTAGGCCACTCCAGGACCTTAATGTGCTTCTTCTTGAGCCACTCCTTTGTTGCCTTGGCCGTGTGTTTTGGGTCATTGTCATGCTGGAATACCCATCCACGACCCATTTTCAATGCCCTGGCTGAGGGAAGGAGGTTCTCACCCAAGATTTGACGGTACATGGCCCCGTCCATCGTCCCTTTGATGCGGTGAAGTTGTCCTGTCCCCTTAGCAGAAAAACACCCCCAAAGCATAATGTTTCCACCTCCACGTTTGACGGTGGGGATGGTGTTCTTGGGGTCATAGGCAGCATTCCTCGTCCTCCAAACACGGCGAGTTGAGTTGATGCCAAAGTGCTCGATTTTGGTCTCATCTGACCACAACACTTTCACCCAGTTCTCCTCTGAATCATTCAGATGTTCATTGGCAAACTTCAGACGGCCCTGTATATGTCCTTTCTTGAGCAGGGGGACCTTGCGGGTGCTGCAGGATTTCAGTCCTTCACGGCGTAGTGTGTTACCAATTGTTTTCTTGGTGACTATGGTCCCAGCTGCCTTGAGATCATTGACAAGATCCTCCCGTGTAGTTCTGGGCTGATTCCTCACCATTCTCATGATCATTGCAACTCCACAAGGTGAGATCTTGCATGGAGCCCCAGGCCGAGGGAGATTGACAGTCCTTTTGTGTTTCTTCCATTTGCGAATAATCGCACCAACTGTTGTCACCTTCTCACCAAGCTGCTTGGCGATGGTCTTGTAGCCCATTCCAGCCTTGTGTAGGTCTACAATCTTGTCCCTGACATCCTTGGAGAGCTCTTTGGTCTTGGCCATGGTGGAGAGTTTGGAATCTGATTGATTGATTGCTTCTGTGGACAGATGTCTTTTATACAGGTAACAAACTGAGATTAGGAGCACTCCCTTTAAGAGTGTGCTCCTAATCTCAGCTCGTTACCTGTATAAAAGACACCTGGGAGCCAGAAATCTTTCTGATTGAGAGGGGGTCAAATACTTATTTCCCTCATTAAAATGCAAATCAATTTATAACATTTTTGACATGTGTTTTTCTGGATTTTGTTGTTGTTATTCTGTCTCTCACTGTTCAAATAAACCTACCATTAAAATTATAGACTGATAATTTCTTTGTCAGTGGGCAAACGTACAAAATCAGCAGGGGATCAAATATTTTTTTCCCGCACTGTATCAGTTTTTTATTTTTCATATTTTTAAAAATAAATGTTAGAATTTATCTTCCACTTTGACATTACAGAGTATTTGGTGTAGATCATTGACCGAAAATGACAATTAAATCAATTTTAATCCCACTTTGTAACACAACAAAACGTGGAAAACGTCAAGGGTTGTGAAAACTTTCTGAAGGCACTGCAGGAACCTGGAATACAATATGCAGTACATATAAATAAATACTCACCAATACAATTTAAATAAGGGGCAATGTTCAAATGTTCAAGTGAGGATGTGTTCGCATCACAGGTGCTTTCATTGGAATGAAAATTATTGGAGGGGTGGGGATCAAATAGCCCTCTGGAAAAAAATTTTGGGGGGTACAAGTCCACCTCTCTTATATACCGACTGCTCCTTTGGTGTACCATCTCCTCCCCTCCAGTATTGCTGCAACCTTAATAGATGCAGTCCGGGATAAGCACTTACAAATTCATAACATATTGTATGAATTGGAATTCGGAACATATCATATGAATTGCACACAAACAAACACAAGTACATTTGCAGGACGTAACATATGAAATGATTTTGGAAGCTATAGAAATGCATTTATTAATTTCATTTGTTTTTGACAAGTATATTCTATTACGGAGACCTTAATGCATATTTTTTTATGATATTATATGAACTGAAGAAAAACATAAAAAGATATGTAAAAATCTATTCCTTAAAGTATTTTTGAATCATGTCTGCTGTCATTGGCAGGCCTTCACATCGTCTACACTCGGGATGAGGTGGACATCATCCAGAATCTTATGTTCTACATTGAGGCCGCATATAAAGTGGCAGTAAGTTATCTTTTTGACATGATGTTGATGATCAGTGCATTTGCTGAGTGCTACAGTAGTCACGTGTCTTTGACCTAGAAGTATGAACCAGTTGTTCTTCAGTTTGATTTGTCTTGATTTTCTCAGGATTTTGGAATGTGGGAACGTGGGGACAAGACAAACCAGGGGATTCCTGAGATCAACGTCAGCTCAATCGGCATGGCAAAAGTAAGTTGTCCCTTTACGCAATATATACATTTACGTCATTAGCAGACGCTCTTATCCAGGGGGTAGAAGGATTACTTTTATACTATTCCAGGTATTCCTTAAAGAGGTAGGGTTTCAAGTGTCTCCGGAATATGTACTGTATATCAATATTTACATTTTTTACATTTTAGTCATTTAGCAGACGCTCTTATCCAGAGCGACTTACAGGAGCAATTAGGGTTAAGTGCCTTGCTCAAGGGCACATCGACAGATTTTTCACCTAGTCGGCTTGGGGATTAGAACCAGCGACCTTTCGGTTACTGGCACAACGCTCTTAACCACTAAGCTACCTGCCGCCCCTAATATCTGTCGCCCCCTAATATCTGTTGACTTTTTGGAATTATACTTATGGAACACGGTTGATAGTATTGAGTAGGCACAAATCACAGACACCAATAACACTCAGCCAATTATGTATGACCTTCCCTCCTTTCTTTCATCAACTAGCAATACATGTGACCTTTACTGTGGGTGATACCCATGGGTATAATTTCAGAATCATAGTAATGTGTGCGCGCTAACAAAGTGATATTGACCACAGCCATCTATTTTCCTATGTGTGTCTGTAGGCTGCACTTGAGGCCCTGGATGGGCTCAATTTGTTTGGAGCCAAGGGGGGTCATGAATCTGTAGTCCATGCATTAGCTGATGATATTCAGCGTTGCACGGTAAGGCTTATAATGACCATAGAGAGGACAGGAGCCCAAGCTCCCAGCAACATGTTTTCTCTCACTTTCTCAAGTCTTTGAAGAATAAATAACTCTCTCCCTCCCCCCTTTTCTCTCTCCCTTTATACGGTCAGTCTATCCTTAGTTCCATGTTACCAAGAGCTTCCACATCCAAAGAGGTGGATGCTGGGGTTCTGTCCATTATCTCGTACCCAGCGTTCGCTGTGGAAGACATTGACATCGTTAATATGACCAAGGAGGAAATCATTTCCAAGTTGCAGGTGAGGTTGTCCTCTACCATTACGTTTAGTGCTGTCCTTGTTTGGAGTTTATCTATTGAACAGTTTGTGTTATATATTAGCCTTTTAATAGTCTAGTATTAACTGTCGAGGAGAGTACTGTATATGAAACGTGTGGTGTATTGGAATAGGAAGGTAATGATAGGGCCAGTCAGTGCAGTACGCCGACATTCTCTGTCTGTTAGAGCAGACCACTGTAATGATGACTGTAGCATGAAAGCACAGCCCATATGGTTGATGTGTCACTAGGTGTCTCTCTATCTTTCCTCTTAGGGGAGATATGGATGCTGCAGGTTCCTCAGAGATGGACACAAAACCCCCAAAGAGGTGAAAATGATATTTAATATTTATGTTTTGTCTCTCTTTTTGACTGGCCAAAATATCTACCCTCACAGCCTTCTCCCACCCCCAACTGATGAACGGATTCCTTTGTGTATTTTGATATATTGTTTACATATTCCTCCAGGACCCCAGTCGCATATATTATGAGTCATCTGAGCTGAAGCTCTTTGAGAATATTGAATGTGAGTGGCCACTTTTCTGGACTTACCTCATTCTGGATGGGGTCTTCATCAACAGCCCTGAGCAGGTCAGTCAGGGGGGATGTGGACATATAATGGCCAGCAGGTTATTGGCACCATTCTGAGACCGCATCCATTCATCCATCAAGAGTTTGTCCTGTATCATCAGGTGCAAGAATACAGAGACGCTCTGGAGGCTATTATGATCAAACAGAAGGATGGCCTTAGCCTGGTGCCTGAGCTCTATAGTGTCCCTGCAGACAAGGTGAGGGCCACACTCATCTTAATTCATTATCATAATAATAGATTCCACATAGAATATACAGCAGGTCAAATTAGCACTGTGTGTGTTGTTTTAAACAGGTAGACGAGGAGTATGTGAATCCCCATTCTGTAGAGAGAGTTCCCATGGGCAAGTTACCTCTGATGTGGGGACAGTCTCTGTACATACTGGGAAACCTGCTGGCTGATGTAAGTTCATTTATTCAATGCTTTCGGTAACATTTTGTTTGGATAGTCCATCTCTACAGACTATCTACAGACTAACTTTAACCCTTATCCTAACATTAAACTTAACCCTTACCCCAACCCTAGCCCTAACCTTAACCCTTACCCTAACCCTGATTCTAAACCTAACCCTAACTGTAACCTTGGCAAGCAGTTGCTTATCAACAGATAGTTTGTTGATAGTATGTCCATCTGTAGAGCATCTATAGATGGAAAATCTGGACTATCCAAATAAAGTGTGGCCCTTCTTTCTTTTATTACACTACACAGGGGCAAGATGTTCATTATTCTTGAAAATTGATCATTATTTCTCCTTGATGGATGAGGTGTTAACAGTACCCCAACACAATGTAGAGCTCATTGAAATCTAAATGCAATTTCAGTAACTACTATGATCAATCAACATTATTAGGGTTGCTCGTCAGTCAGAGGGTGAATGGCACAGATACACAATCCATGTCTCAATTGTCTCAAGGCTTAAAAAGCATTATTTAACCTGTCTCCTCCCCTTCATCTACAGTGGGGAAAAAAGTATTTAGTCAGCCACCAATTGTGCAAGTTCTCCCACTTAAAAAGATGAGAGAGGCCTGTAATTTTCATCATAGGTACACGTCAACTATGACAGACAAATTGAGATTTTTTTTTCAAGAAAATCACATTGTAGGATTTTTAATGAATTTATTTGCAAATTATGGTGGAAAATAAGTATTTGGTCACCTACAAACAAGCAAGATTTCTGGCTCTCACAGACCTGTAACTTCTTCTTTAAGAGGCTCCTCTGTCCTCCACTCGTTACCTGTATTAATGGCACCTGTTTGAACTTGTTATCAGTATAAAAGACACCTGTCCACAACCTCAAACAGTCACACTCCAAACTCCACTATGGCCAAGACCAAAGAGCTGTCAAAGGACACCAGAAACAAAATTGTAGACATGCACCAGGCTGGGAAGACTGAATCTGCAATAGGTAAGCAGCTTGGTTTGAAGAAATCAACTGTGGGAGCAATTATTAGGAAATGGAAGACATACAAGACCACTGATAATCTCCCTCGATCTGGGGCTCCACGCAAGATCTCACCCCGTGGGGTCAAAATGATCACAAGAACGGTGAGCAAAAATCCCAGAACCACACGGGGGGACCTAGTGAATGACCTGCAGAGAGCTGGGACCAAAGTAACAAAGCCTTCCATCAGTAACACACTACGCCGCCAGGGACTCAAATCCTGCAGTGCCAGACGTGTCCCCCTGCTTAAGCCAGTACATGTCCAGGCCCGTCTGAAGTTTGCTAGAGTGCATTTGGATGATCCAGAAGAGGATTGGGAGAATGTCATATGGTCAGATGAAACCAAAATATAACTTTTTGGTAAAAACTCAACTCGGCGTGTTTGGAGGACAAAGAATGCTGAGTTGCATCCAAAGAACACCATACCTACTGTGAAGCATGGGGGTGGAAAACATCATGCTTTGGGGCTGTTTTTCTGCAAAGGGACCAGGACGACTGATCCGTGTAAAGGAAAGAATGAATGGGGCCATGTATCGTGAGATTTTGAGTGAAAACCTCCTTCCATCAGCAAGGGCATTGAAGATGAAATGTGGCTGGGTCTTTCAGCATGACAATGTTCCCAAACACACCGCCCGGGCAACGAAGGAGTGGCTTCGTAAGAAGCATTTCAAGGTCCTGGAGTGGCCTAGCCAGTCTCCAGATCTCAACCCCACAGAAAATCTTTGGAGGGAGTTGAAAGTCCGTGTTGCCCAGCGACAGCCCCAAAACATCACTGCTCTAGAGGAGATCTGCATGGAGGAATGGGCCAAAATACCAGCAACAGTGTGTGAAAACCTTGTGAAGACTTACAGAAAACATGTCATTGCCAACAAAGGGTATATAACAAAGTATTGAGAAACTTTTGTTATTGACCAAATACTTATTTTCTACCATAATTTGCAAATAAATTCATTACAAATCCTACAATGTGATTTTCTGGATTTTCTTTCTCATTTTGTCTGTCATAGTTGACGTGTACCTATGATGAAAATTACAGGCCTCTCTCATCTTTTTAAGTGGGAGAACTTGCACAATTGGTGGCTGACTAAATACTTTTTTTCCCCACTGGTTGAAGTGGATTTAACAAGTGACATCAACAAGGGATCATAGCTTTCACCTGGATTCACCTGGTCAGTCTATGTCATGGAAAGAGCAGGTGTTCTTAACGTTTTGTACCCTCAGTGTATATAAACTCAGCAAAAAAAGAAACGTCCTCTCACTGTCAACTGCGTTTATTTTCAGCAAACTTAACATGTGTAAATATTTGTATGAACATAACAAGATTCAACAACTGAGACATAAACTGAACAAGTTCCACAGACATGTGAAATTGTATAATGTGTCCCTGAACAAAGGGGTGGCCACCAGCTGCATTAAGTACTGCAGTGCATCTCCTCCACATGGACTGCACCAGATTTGCCAGTTCTTGCTGTGAGATGTTACCCCACTCTTCCACCAAGGCACCTGCAAATTCCCGGACATTTCTGGGGGGAATGGCCCTAGCCCTCACCCTCTGATCCAACAGGTCGCAGATGTGCTCAATGGGATTGAGATCTGGCCTCTTCGCTGGCCATGGCAGAACACTGACATTCCTGTCTTGCAGGAAATCACGCACAGAACGAGCAGGATGACTGGTGGCATTGTCATGCTGGAGGGTCATGTCAGGATGAGCCTGCAGGAAGGGTACCACATGAGGGAGGAGGATATCTTCCCTGAAACGCACAGCGTTGAGATTGCCTGCAATGACAACAAGCTCAGTCCGATGATGCTGTGACACACCGCCCCAGACCATGACGGACCCTCCACCTCCAAATCGATCCCGCTCCAGAGTACAGGCCTCAGTGTAAAACTCATTCCTTCGATGATAAACGCGAATCCGACCATCACCTCTGGTGAGACAAAACCGCGATTCGTCAGTGAAGAGCACTTTTTGCCAGTCCTGTCTGGTCCAGCAACGGTGGGTTTGTGCCCATAGGCGACGTTGTTGCCGGTGATGTCTGGTGAGGACCTGCCTTACAACAGGCCAACAAGCCCTCAGTCCAGCCTCTCTCAGCCTATTGGGGACAGTCTGAGCACTGATGGAGGGATTGTGCGTTACTGGTGTAACTCGGGCAGTTGTTGTTGCTATCCTGTACCTGTCCAAAGTTTTCATAACTGTGACCTTAATTGCCTACCGTCTGTAAGCTGTTAGTGTCTTAACGACCGTTCCACAGGTGCATGTTCATTAATTGTTTATGGTTCATTGAACAAACATGGGAAACCGTGTTTAAACCCTTTAAAATGAAGATCTGTGAAGTTATTTGGATTTTTACAAATTATCTTTGAAAGACAGGGTCCTGAAGAAGGGACGTTTCTTTTTTTTGCTGAGTTTATATATTGTTTGTGTGTATGTGTTCACCTTTATGGGTTGTTTATTTGTATGTATTGGGCTTTAGTTGAGATTATTCTTTACAGAGTCAAGTATATTTGTCCAGGCCTCAATTGTTCCTTGACTAGCACCATTCATTCTCGCTGTTGATAATTATAATGTTACAACTTCTAATAGTAACTGTATCCACTGGCGAATTGGAAGAGAGTGAAGTGATTGACATCTAGGAGCCAACATCTTTTTTGCGGCAGTGCTGCCTGCCAGCAGTAATCGTCTCTGATTGATTGAGATATTCAAGGTGCTATCATCGTTAAGTCACATAATAGATGCAAAGCATAGAACATTTATATGAATTTTGTAACTTTGCCCCAGGGATATATCAGTGAAGACCACATCTTCCAGGGCAATAGGAAACACCATATTTCTCTCTATACTCAGCCAGGGGGCGGAATAATCATGTCTAAAACAATTTAGGATGGGGTGAAATGCCTGGAAATACAATTTAAAGTTTGGAACAGTCCTCCTACGTCTTTCCCTCTTTGCAAGTTTGTTAATTTTATCCAGGCTCGCTTACCTTGCCATATAGAGTGCCTTCGGAAAGTATTCAGACCCCTTGACTTTTTCCACATTTTGTTAGGTTACAGCCTTATTCTAAAATTGATTTAATAGTTTTTTCCTTCATCAATCTACACACAATACCCCATTATGACAAAGCAAAAACAGGTTTTTAGACATTTTTGCTAATTCATTACAAATAAAAAACTTAAATATCACATTTACATAAGTATTCAGACCCTTTACTCAGTACTTTGTTGAAGCGCCTTTTGCAGCGATTACAGCCTTGAGTCTTCTTGAGTATGACGCTACAAGCTTGGCACACCTGTATTTGGGGTGTTTCTCCCATTCTTCTCTGCAGATCCTCTCAAGCTCTGTCAGGTTGGATGGGGAGTGTTGCTGCACAGCTATTTTCAGGTCTCTCCAGAGATGTTAGATCGGGTTCAAGTCTGGGCTCTGGCTGGGCCACTCAAGGACATTCAGAGACTTGTCCTGAAGCCACTCATGTGTTGTCTTGGCTGTGTGCTTAGGGTCGTTGTCCTGTTGGAAGGTGAACCTTCGCCCCAGTCTGAGGTCCTGAGCGCTCTGGAGCAGGTTTTCATCAAGGATCTCTCTGTACTTTGCTCCGTTCATCATTGCCTCGATCCTGACTAGTCACCCACTCCCTGCCACTGAAAAACATCCCCACAGCATGACGCTGCCACCACCATGCTTCACCGTAGGGATGGTGCCAGGTTTCCTCCAGATGTGACACTTGGCATTCAGGCCAAAGAGTTCAATCTTGGTTTCATCAGACCAGAGAATCTTATTTCTCATGGTCTGAGAGTCTTTAAGTGCCTTTTGGCAAACTCCAAGCGGGCTGTCATGTGCCTTTTACTGAGGAGTGGCTTCCGTCTGGCCACTCTACCATAAAGCCCTAATTGGTGGAGTGTTGCAGAGACGGTTGTCCTTCTGGAAGGTTCTCCCATCTCCACAGAGGAACTCTAGATTTCTGTCAGAGACCATCGGGTTCTTGGTCACCTCCCTGACCAAGGCCCTTCTCCCCCGATTGCTCAGTTTGGCCGGGCGGCCAGCTCTAGGAAGAGTCTTGGTGGTTCCAAACCTCTTCCATTTAAGAATGATGGAGGTCACTCTGTTCTTGGGGACCTTCAATGCTGCAGAAATGTTTTGGTACCCTTCCCCAGATCTCTGTCTCGACACAATCCTGTCTCTGAGCTCTACGGACAATTCCTTCGACCTCATGACTTGGTTTTTGCTCTGACATGCACTGTCAACTGTGGGACCTTATATAGACAGGTGTGTGCCTTTCCAAATCATGCCCAATCAATTAAATTTACCACAGGTGGACTCCAATCAAGTTGTAGAAACATCTCAAGGATGATCAATGGAAACAGGATGTACCTGAGCTCAATTTCGAGTCTCATAGGAAAGGGTCTGAATACTTATGTAAATAAGGTATTTCTGTCTTTTATTATTAATACATTTGCAAAAATTCTAAAAACCTGTTTTCGCTTTGTCATTATGGGGTATTGTGTGTAAATTGCTGAGGATTATTTATTTTTTAATCTATTTTAGAATAACGCTGTAACGTAACAAAATATAGAAAAAGATAAGTGGTCTGAATACTTTCTGACGGCACTGTACATTTTGAAACCACACTATGGATTTTATCCCAGTAGCCAGAAGGGAGAGCATTTGGTTATTTCTGATCAATTTATACATCTGAAACTGACTGTAAATACTCTAAATGATTTCCTTGTCCTTTGTAGGGCTTTTTAGCCCCAGGAGAGATTGATCCTCTGAACAGACGGTTGTCCACTGTATCCAAACCTGATGTTGTGGTTCAAGGTAAGATGGTTTCACCAGGCAGTCTGGAAGAAGAGAAGATATTGACCTCAGCAGGAGAATACACATATTTGTAGTCATAATGTGTGCAGTGGATGACTGTGTAATAAATTGCAGTACAAAATGTGCAATTTAGAAGAGATTGTGCCTAATTGAGTCTCATAAACCTGGTTCAAATAATTAATTCTCTAGCAGTTAATTGTTTTGAATTACTTATAGCATACACTAGAGACTCCTTCGTTAAGCTCTTGAGGCTCCTCCAAACTAGACAAAATTGAAGTGTTCTTTCTTGTCTGATTTGCTTTCAGTGTCCATCCTAGCTGAGACGGACCACATCAAACATCTGTTGATGAAACAGGGGATAGATGCTGAGACCTTGGAGGACATCCATCCTATCAGAGTCCAACCCTCCAGGGTGTTGAGCCACATCTATGCAAGGCTAGGTGAACTGAACACTGCACCTAGAGATACATGAAAAGGATAAAGATACAGCCTTATGCTTGTGCTAATAGCTTTTGTTGTTTATTATGTTAATTTGACCCCTTGCCTTTAAGAGCCCATTTATGTGATGTGTAAGGCATGTTTAGAAATATAATGTATGCCATGATTGTCCGAGTAACTCTTCACCTTGTTGGCCATGCAGGTCGCAACCAGAGACTAGGCCTCACTGGGAGACCATACAGACGCATTGGCACTCTGGGGACATCTAAGTTCTACATCATCCGTGACACCGTCTTCTCCTTCACCCCTCAGGTGAGATAAAGCCCTGTCAGAATATGTTGTGTGTTAGCTACCAGCTGTTGCTTACACACAGCACTGACATCTCCCTGTCTCTCTTGTTATGTTCAGTTCATTGACCATCAGGAATTCTACTTGGCATTGGACAACCACATGATATTGGAGATGCTGCGTAATGACCTGTCCTACCTGGCTTCCCGCTGGAGAATTACTGGCTGTCCCACTGTCTCCTTCCCTATCTCATCCAATATGCTCAGTACGTCACTTGACCTGACCACCGCCCCATCATGACTCTGCAGCCTAATCAAATAGTATACGTAACGTACTCCTGACAATCTACTCTCTGGAACTCTATTGCAGCTGATGACCATAAAGAGCTGGACCCTGCAGTATTAGCCGTTCTGAGAAAACTACAAGATGGTTACTATGGAGGAGCAAGGTGAGGTGTTCCTCATAGAAGAATGGCTAATTAGATAATAGGATTGAGTTCCATTGACTGGCCTATTAGAATTATCAATATCAGTGTCGAAACCAGAAAAGGACATTTCCTTCCGCTTGCTTGTCTTTTTTTTTAGGTATTTATGGTTGTGAAATAGTAGTAGTGGTAGTGGTAGTGACGGCAGTAGTAATGGTAGTACTACTAATGGTAGTTTTCATAGGCTATGTGTAAGTTCTAGTGCGTTATTTTGGGGTAGTTGGTAGGTGTGGAGTTATTATAGTGGGTTATAGTAGGCTAGTATAGCAGGCTAGAGTGAGTACTTAAGCTCTGAAAATGTTTTAGTTTGAACATTCTGATAGTTCTGTGGCAGTGATTTCAGTTTAGAATGTTGAAGCCTTTATTCCGCCATTGAAATGAATGGGGATACAACAAGCTTTATAGTTTATAAAGTGTGAATGGTAGCAAAAAGCTGTATTGAAGCAATCTAAGTTGAGTCAGTCTGCACATTTCAACATTGGGTTGGTGTTTGTAGCTGAAACGGATCAAGAGCAGTGGCGAATCCAACATTTGCCTTTGAAGTCTATGGAGCTTTTATGCAAATGTTGAATGGTTATAGTTTATAAAGCACAAATAATATCAACAATCTTTTGATAAGAAATATACATTGGTTCAGTATGTTGGTTTGGAGTTTGTAGCATAAATGGTTCAAGAGCAGGGGCGAATCCAAAAACATCCTATTGTAGCCTGTGGATCGTTTATGCTAATATAAAATCGTTGTAGTTGAAAAAGTATAATCAGTATAAAAATTATTTTGACAAGCAATTAATTGTTATTAATTCAGCACATTTTAACATTGGTGTAGTGTCCAAATTTACCATTGAAGTCTATGGAGCGTTTATTAAAATGTTAAATGGTTATAGTTCAAAAAGTATACGTAGTATCAACACACTTTTGACAAGCAATGTAAGTTGAGTCAGTCTGCATATTTCAGAACTGGTTTAGTGTTTTTACCATAAACGGTTCAAGAACAGTGGCGAATCCAAATATTTTCAATTGAAGCCTATGGAGCTTTTATGCAAATGTGAAACGGTTATAGTTCAAGAAGTATACATAGTATCAGAAAGCTGTATACAAGCAACCTATTCCAGTTTTAAAGTTTGAATGCCGTTTCTAGCTTAAACAGTTAAAGACTAGTTACGACCAGAATTTTTACGATTCAAACCAATGACCATTGAAATCCATTGGGAGTAATGCAAATATGGTTGTAGTGTGAAAATTACAAGTAGTATCAAAAAGTTGTTTTCAAGCACACTGAAGACAGTCAGCCTGCACGTGTTGTTCAGGTGTTGGTAGCTTTTACGGCTTTGGCGCTACAGGTGGCAGCGGAAGGCAAATAATAAGAGTAAGTGTCAGATTTCCAAAGTTGTTCTTGCTTTCAGCAAGCACACCTAATGACATGGGTTGCTCTTCCCCTCCTCATGCAGGGTTCAGACAGGGAAACTGTCCAAGTTCATGAACACTTCCTGTTGCTCTCAACTGTCCTTCATGGACGATGGTGAGCAGGGTGGTGACTGCAGTGGTCACCATGACAACAGTATATGTGTGGTTACAATGCTGTTGGAGCTGTGCATGGCCTGCTAGTGTAATGATGGTAGGGAGATGGGTTAGAGTGGGTAAAGCCTAGGAAAATGACTGGTCTCAGGCAAAACACCCCGAGATCCTAAAGTTAGCAAAAAGATACAGTTGGTCGGAAATTTACATACACCTTAGCCAAACACATTTATACTCAGTTTTTCACAATTCCTGACATTTAATCCTAGTAACAATTACCTGTCTTAGGTCAGTTAGGATCACCACTTTATTTTAAGAATGTGAAATGTCAGAATAATAGTAGAGAGAATGATTTATTTCAGCTTTTACTTATTTCATCACATTCCCAGTGGGTCAGAAGTTTACATACACTTAATTAGTATTTGGTAGCATTGCCTTTAAATTGTTTAACTTAGGTCAAACGTTTAGGGTAGCCTTCCACAAGCTTCCCACAATAAGTTGGGTGAATTTTGGCCCATTCCTCCTGACAGAGCTGGTGTGACTGAGTCAGGTTTGTAGGCCTCCTTGCTCCCACACGCTTTTTCAGTTCTGCCCACAAATGTTCTATAGGATTAAGGTCAGGGCATTGTGATGGCCACTCCAATACCTTTACTTTGTTGTCCTTAAGCCATTTTGCCACAACTTTGGAAGTATGCTTGGGGTCATTGTCCATTTGAAAGACCCATTTGCGACCAAGCTTTAACTTCCTGACTGATGTCTTGAGATGTTGCTTCAATATATCCACATAATTTTCCTTCCTCATGATGCATTTTTACATTTACATTTTAGTCATTTAGCAGACGCTCTTATCCAGAGCGACTTACAGTTAGTGATTAGTATATATATATATATATTTTTTTTTTATATATTTTTTTTTTTTTATACTGGCCCCCTGTGGGAATCAAACCCACAACCCTGGTGTTGCAAACACCATGCTCTATCAACTGAGCTACATCCCTGCCGGCCATTCCCTCCCCCTACCCTAGACGACGCTGGGCCAATTGTGCGCCGCCCATGAGTCTCCCGGTCGCGGCCGGCTGCGACAGAGCCTGGATTCGAACCAGGATCTCTAGTGGCACAGTTAGCACTGCGATGCAGTGCCTTAGACCACTGCGCCACTCATGATGCCATCTATTTTGTGAAGTGCACCAGTCCCTTCTGCAGCAAAGCACCCCCACATCATGATGCTGCCACCCCCGTGCTTCACGGTTGAGATGGTGTTCTTCGGCTTGCAAGCTGCCCCCCTTTTCCTCCAAACATAACGATGGTCATTATGGCCAAACCGTTCTATTTTTGTTTAATCAGACCAGAGGACATTTCTCCAAAAAGTACGATCTTTGTCCCCATGTGCAGTTGCAAACTGTAGTCTGGCTTTTTAATGGCGGTTTTGGAGCAGTGGCCTTTTCCTTGCTGAGCGGCCTTTCAGGTTATGTCGATATAGGACTCGTTTTACTGTGGATATAGATACTTTTGTACCCGTTTCCTCCAGCATCGTCACAAGGTCCTTTGCTGTTGTTCTGGGATTGATTTGCACTTTTCGCACCAAAGTACGTTCATCTCTAGGAGACAGAACGCGTCTCCTTCCTGAGCGGTATGACGGCTGCGTGGTCCCATGGTGTTTATACTTGCGTACTATTGTTTGTACAGATGAACGTGGTACCTTCAGGCGTTTGAAAATTGCTCCCAAGGATGAACCAGACAGATTTTTTTTCTTAGGTCTTGGCTGATTTATTTTCATTTTCCCATGATGTCAAGCAAAGAGGCACTGAGTTTGAAGGTAGGCCTTGAAATACATCCACAGGTACACCTCCAATTGACTCAAATTATGTCAATTAGCCTATCAGAAGCTTCTAAAGCTATGACATCATTTTCTGGAATTTTCCAAGCTGTTTAAAGGCACAGTCAACTTAGTGTATATAAACGTCTGACCCACTGGAATTGTGATACAGTGAATTATAAGTGAAATAATCTGTCTGTAAACAATTGTTGGAAAAATTACTTGTGTCATGCACAAAGTAGATGTCCTAACCGACTTGCCAAAACTATAGTTTGTTAACAATAATTTTGTGGAGTGGTTGAAAAACGAGTTTAAATGACTCCAACCTAAGTTTATGTAAACTTCCGACTTCAACTGTAGGTTTTCCTATTTTCACATTGCCGTAAACCATTGTCAATACAACAACAAAGCCTGTTTTGATTGTGTTGCTTCCTTTCCCTGTTGTCAATTCCCACACAACTAACCATCTTAAAATCTGCCTACCATCTCGGTAAGGAGACTGAATTCCTGGTTGTCTGTGACCTTTTCTTACATTTTAGTAATTTAGCAGACGCTTTTATCCAGAGCGACTTACATTAGTGAGTGCATACATTTGTCATGCCTTTTCTTCCTTGAGAAGTTGTATTGAAGTTCTAGTAGAAGGAAGTCCATATTTAGTGGATGTTGGCTTTCATGCTAGTTTTGTATCCAAGTACCTTCTGTATTGCTGGATTCTTGATGATAATAAGTGAACTTACCTAACTGACAGTGTACTGGCTGGCTGCACGTGTCGCTTATTTTGTAAGCATGCTTATAGGTTCCTTGAAAGATAATTTACGTGTGTGTGTGTGCGTGTCTGTGTTTTTCGTGTGTGTGTTTCGTGTGTGTGTCCCACTCTTTTCAGAGGTGGATGACTTGGCTCAGTACCTGGACCAGTTGCTCTCCATACCGAAACACAGCGAAAAGATCAGCTCCCATAAAGGCGGACTGAACCGCTTCCGGGCGTTGGCCAGAAAGACCCGTGAGATGGTCTCACTTGTGCACAAAGCACGGGAGCTCGACATCCACAGTGAGCCGCATGCCTTCTACTCTATCTGTCATTTGTGGAGGATTTTGATCTTGAAATGTATTTCAGATAAACCCCACACACACATCTGTGTATCATGACAATGTTCCTCTGACCCCTCCCTTCACAGACGTGCACATGTACCTCCCTACCAAACTGTTCCGCTCCCCTCAGCCAAGCCTTCATCTGATGGATGCAGATAGCATGGTATGATGTTGTACCTTGTGAATGTCATCTCTGTGGATTATTAACCAGCATGATGTTGTACCTTGTGAATGTCATCTCTGTGGATTATTAACCAGTATGATGTTGTACCTTGTGAATGTCATCTCTGTGGATTATTAACCAGTATGACGTTGTACCTTGTGAATGTCGTCTCTGTGGATTACTAACCAGTATGATGTTGTACCTTGTGAATGTCATCTCTGTGGATTATTAACCAGTATGATGTTGTACCTTGTGAATGTCATCTCTGCTGATTATTAACCAGTATGATATTGTACCTTGTGAATGTCGTCTCTGTGGATTATTAACCAGTATGATGTTGTACCTTGTGAATGTCATCTCTGTGGATTATTAACCAGTATGATATTGTACCTTGTGAATGTCATCTCTGTGGATTATTAACCAGTATGATGTTGTATTGCCTGTTGTATCCACACAACACTGAGTTGTACGTACAACATGTTTCTGTCTCCCAGCGCTCCAATGCCACCCCTCCAGCCCAGATTAATCTTCCCAGGGACACGAATGGAGGTATAGACTACCAGGCCCTGGTGCAGGTGCTGAAGCAGACACAAAACCTTCAGGACCAGGCAGACATCCTCTACATTTTCTTCAAAGACAAGTAAGGACCCATTCTAAACCATTAATCCCCTATACCCAATGAGTTTAGCATGGTTGATTTTCCTGGTAGATTCATGCTAGCTAGGTAGATTTAGTAGAGATAAGCTGATTTGTGTTTGTGTGTGTGTGTGTGCATGTGCGTGCGTGTGTGTGTCAGGGGTATGGACTGGGACACTAAGATGCACGGTAAAGGCTCCACCGTTAGACGGCTGCTGAGCAATCTGTATGACAAGGCTGGGAACCTGAGACACTGGGGCCTCGTCCGCATGATCTCTGGCATGCTCCGGAAGAAAGTGGAGGAGCTCGACGAGGTATCTATGCGCTCACTGCCCATCTCACTGTCACACTACATCATTAATCTGTGGTCCTCTGTAGCTCAGCTGGTAGAGCACGGCGCTTGAAACGCCAAGGTAGTGGGTTCGATCCCCGGGACCACCCATACACAAAAATGTATGCACGCATGACTGTAAGTCGCTTTGGATAAAAGCGTCTGCTAAATGGCATATTATTATATTATATTATTAATAGGACTTGTAACACTTGAACTTGGTGTCGGAAATTGGCCGCAAAACCACAGTGTGACACATTTCAAATCCATTCATAACGGTTTATCCTTCTTACTCATGTTGATTCATGCACTGTTATTTAGGTTAGCCAACATACATGGTTGATCAAATCTGAGTTCTTAAATGACAGGAAGGTAGTGCCACGTCTCAGGTGATCAGATATACTATTCCAATGTTTTTTTGACCTATGAACTTTAGGTGTTTTGCTTTGTTGACAGGCCTGTTCAGATCTGCTGGCCCACCAGAAGCACCTGACAGTGGGTCTCCCCCCTGAGCCAAGGGAAAAGACAATTTCAGCGTGAGCTCACCGTCGTCAATCCCTCACACACCATCCTCATGACAGTATTCCGCATATATTTTAGAAAGAGACAAAATAGAGACAAGACAGAAACAAGCTCTGCTTTGTGAGTGATAAACAAGATGTTATCAATGTATCCACACAGCCCCATGCCCCCTGACAAGCTGGCAAAGCTAATTGATGTGGCCAGTGAAAATAATCTGACCATCGCCATTCTCACTCAGGTAAGGAAAATATGAACGCTCATTGATCAGATATACAAATGATAATTCTGAATGTAATGCTTACTACTAGTCCCAGCGGTATGTTATGTATTGGTTTGTGACGCAGCATGCTGTAAACAGGTGTTTGTGTTCCCCCTGCAGGAGATCATGGTGTTCCTGGCAATGTGTATCCGCACCCAGCCAAAGCTCTTTAGTGAGATGTTCCGTCTCAGAATCGGACTGATCATCCAGGTTATGGCTACTGAGCTGTCCCAGTCTCTCAACTGCTCTGGTGAGCTAACATAACACTAATGCTAGGGTCAGATGTTATAACCTTTGGATTGATCTTAATAATGGTTTCTTTCATTATGTTATACAGTATATTACGTTATCACTACATTAGATGTTTGCAGACAGTCGGGCACATTTTAAAACAACAATTTCTATCATCTGTATCTGCTGTATCTTTTTTTTTAATATTCTTTTAAATAAAAATGTTTGGGTGGTAGATTAGCTTTAATATTGCAGATAGATTGTAACTTCCATCAATGTAATTGTCTGCATCACTTCCAATCCCCCATGGGTTTTTTTCTCGCAAATATATATATATATATATATATATATATATATATATATACATACATACAAATAAATACATATATAATATATATATATATATATACATACAAATAAATACATATAAACACATAAACATACATACAGTTGAAGTCGGAAGTTTACATACACCTTAGGGCAAATACATTTAAACTCAGTTCTTCACAATTCCTGACATTTAATCATAGTACAAATTCCCTATTTTAGGTCAGTTAGGATCACTACTTTATTTTAAGAATGTGAAATGTCAGAATAATAGTAGAGAGAATGATTTATTTCAGCTTTTATTTCTTTCATCACATTCCCAGTGGGTCAGAAGTTTACATACACTTAATTAGTATTGAGTAGCATTGCCTTTAAATTGTTTAACTTGGGTCAAACATTTCGGGTAGCCTTCGACAAGCTTCCCACAATAAATTGGGTGAATTTAGGCCCATTCCTCCTGACAGAGCTGGTATAACTGAGTCAGGTTTGTAGGCCTCCTTGCTCGCACACGCTTTTTCAGTTCTGCCCATAAATGTTCTATAGGATTGAGGTCAGGGCTTTGTGATGGCCACTCCAATACCTTGACTTTGTTGTCTTTAAGCCATTTTGCCACAACTTTGGAAGTATGCTTGGGGTCATTGTCCATTTGGAAGACCCATTTGCGACCAAGCTTTAACTTCCTGACTGATGTCTTGAGATGTTGCTTCAATATATCCATATAATTTTCCTTCCTCATGATGCCATCTATTTTGTGAAGTGCATCAGTCCCTCCTGCAGCAAAGCACCCCCACAGCATGATGCTGCCACCCCTGTTCTTCACGGTTGGGATGGTGTTCTTCGGCTTGCAAGTGCCCCCTTTTTCCTCCAAACGTAACGATAGTCATTATGGCCAAACAGTTCTATTTTTATTTCATCAGACCAGAGGACATTTCTCCAAAAAGTATGATCTTTGTCCCCATGTGCAGTTGCAAACCGTAGTCTGGCTTTTATATGGTGGTTTTGGAGCAGTGGCTTCTTCCTTTCTGAGCGGCCTTTCAGGTTATGTCGATATAGGACTCGTTTTACTGTGGATATAGATACTTTTGTACCTGTTTCCTCCAGCATCTTCACAAGGTCCTTTGCTGTTGTTCTGGGATTGATTTGCAATTTCCACACCAAAGCTGAAATAGATAATTCTCTCTACTATTATTCTAACATTTCACATTCTTAAAATAAAGTGGTGATCCTAACTGACCTAAAACAGGTACTTTTACTTGGATTAAATGTCAGGAATTGTGAAAAACTGAGTTTAAATTTATTTGGCTAAGGTGTATGTAAACTTCCGACTTCAACTGTACATATCCTTTAAAAAAAAATATTTCCCTTTATTACTTTTCAACCCCACCACCTCTTCCCTAATTGGAGTAAACTAGTGAACAACAATGCTTAGGCCTCTACTTCCAGCCCATACATACTATATACATTTTATGGACACAGTCAATTTTACAATAATTCCATTTAGTTTGTTTTTACTCCTGAACTTCCTCTACCCTCAACCTCTCCGATCATTTTCATGATGTCCATCCGGTTTGCTTCTATATGCCATATCTCTCCAACTGTGCTCCTCCATAAAAGCTCTCAACCTATAACCTATATACATTTACATTTTAGTCATTTAGCAGACGCTCTTATCCAGAGCAACTTACAGTTAGTGAGTTCATACATTATTATTTTATTTTTCATACTGGCCCCCCGTGGGAATTGAACCCACAACCCTGGCGTTGCAAACGCCATGCTCTACCAACTGAGCTACATCCCTGCCAGCCATTCCCTCCCCTACCCTGGACGACGCTGGGCCAATTGTGCGCCGCCCCATTGGTCTCCCGGTCGCGGCCGGCTACGACAGAGCCTGGATGCCCTATCTGCTGTATCTTAGTGATGTGTCTTGTTGAGATGTAAGGTCAGCGGAGGGATCATGTGTAAATAAGTGTGTATTCTCTGTGTGTGTCCCAGGTGAGGAAGCCACTGAGTGCCTGATGAACATGAGCCCTTCAGAGCTAAAGAGCCTCCTGCACCACATTCTCAGTGGGAAAGAGTTTGGGCTGATGAAGAGTGGTGAGTGACAATGGCTTCAATCATCATTGCTATTAGTAGCCTAATGCAAAGCTACTCAAAACCAGCACGTACGTTTCTGTGTTTCATCTTAACATTATTTTGTTAAGTAGCCATTTGGCTGTGGTGTTCTTTATTTGAAGTGAATAATTGTTTCTACTGTATATTTGCAGTGCGTTCGGGTGCCACAGGTACAGACTCCATTGCCATCCAGGAGATTTCTCCTACCTCTAAGAGTGTGGGCGGGGGCAAACGTAAGAGTAAAATGGGGAAAATGGTAAGTACACTATACTGTGTTATGACTGCATACAGAAACAGTAAACATGACAGAGATCCAACAGCCTCCAACTGTATGGTGATCTATGTAATCAATACTAATCAATACAGATATATCATTAAAGATATATGAATGTACACACTGATATATTTGCTTTTTACTTGTGTGTTGCAGTCCTTATCAGTGCATTCCCTTGACATCGAGAACATCGAATCAGGGGTGAGTGGCTTGGGTCAGAGAGTACAGAAAGTAGACATTGAGCATGTATGTATATACACGGAGTGTACAAAACATTACGAACACCTGCTCTTTCCATGACATAGACTGACCAGGTGAATCCAGGTGAAAGCTATGATCCCTTATTGGTGTCACCTGTTAAATCCACTTAAATCAGTGTAGATGCCTTGAGACAATTGAAACATGGATTGTGTATGTCTGCCATTCAGAGGGTAAATGGGCAAGACAAAATATTTAAGTGCCTTTGAATGGGGTATGGCAGATGCCAGGCGCACCGGTTTGAGTGTGTCAAGATGTGCACCGCTGCTGGGTTTTTCATGCTCAACAGTCTCCTGTGTGTATGAAGAATGGTCCACTACCCAAAGGACATCCAGCCAACTTGACACAACTGTGGGAAACATTGAAGTCAACATGGGCCAGCATCCCTGTGGATCGATTTCGACACCTTGTAGTCCGTGCCCAGATGAATTGAGGTTGTTGAGGTCAAAAGGGGGTGCAACCCAATATTAGGAAGGTGTTCCTAATGTTTTGTACACTCAGTGTATATATTTTAATAGATAGAGAGTCAGGTCCCAAATGATTGCCACCCTTGATAAAGATGAGCAAAAAAGACTGTATAAAATAAATTATACAAATACTGAGCTATATTGTACGTAAAAAAAATATATATATATATATATAATAAAAAAAATTATTATACTAATACAATTGCTCAGAGAAAGAGATTCTGTTTAACAAGTAATAAAAAAATATATTAAAAAAGATAAGGGTGAAAATTATTGGCACTCCTGTTTTCAATACTCCAGCACCGACACCTTGCGAGGATAACGGCACTGAGCCTTTTTCTAAAATATTTTATGAGATTGGAGAACATGTTGGGAGGGATATTAGACCATTTCTCCATACAGAATCTTTCCAGATCCTTGATATCCTTCGCCTGCGCCTATGGACTGCCCTCTTCGATTCAAACCACAGATTTTCATTTTTTACATAGGCAAAAACAATAGACAACTTAACATTTACATACATTGATGACCCACTTGCTCAGACCCACATCTTCCGACCGTATACACACCCAATGTTGTTTCTAATGCTTGTAAGACTCTGCCCCATATAACTTCAGATCATGTTGTTTCTGTCTTTTTCTGTCTATATGTTTTTCAATATTTTAATAATAAAGCATTTGATTCTTCCATTGTCTTAACGTAAACCACAGGTTTTCAATGGGGTTCAAGCCCGGAGACAGATGGCAATTGCAAAATGTTTATTTTGTGGTCAAAGGATCTGGAAAGATTCCATACGGAGGAATGGTCTGAGGTCCCTCCCAATGTGTTCTCCAATCTCATACAACATTTTAGTGTCTTTATCCCCATAAGAGGAGGGTGCTAAAATACTCAAAACAGGGGTGCCAATAATTTGGACCCCTCTTTTTTAGATGTATTTCTATTACCTGTTGAACAGAATCTGTTTCTCTTAGCAATTATATCAGTATAAAATCATATAATTTCCCCTTTTTTTGCATGCAATATAGCTCAGTATTTTAATTTTTTATTTTATAGTCTTTTTTGCTCATCTTTATCAAGGGATCCAATAATTATGTACCTGACTGTATATATGAATATGTATATAACGTCTGGGAATACAATACCACAAATATGTATTATATGTGATAAACTCAAGTGGTTTTATACGAACTAGCAATGAAGAGAAAGCTTAACTATAAGTGTTTGTTTTCCCCCTGGTATGCTCCAGCGGTACAGACTCCCCTCCATCGAGTCGTTCCACAGCGCTACAGAAAAGATGGGAGTAAGAGACAGCCGCCATGGCCAGTGGTTACGTAGGAGACGTCTAGACGGAGCCCTCAACAGAGTCCCTGTTGGCTTCTACCAGAAGGTCTGGTCCATCCTCCAGAAGGTGAGATGTTGTGGGTGCTGCGCTCTTATTCTTCTATAGTAGTCCAAACACTGTTCTAGCTGGTACATATCGAATTAGCATCCACCGCACATGAAACATGTTTCTACCTGGTGCATAGATGTAATTGTCATACGTTTTTTTCAGTGTCATGGTCTGTCTATTGTGGGATGCATTCTTCCAGCATCAACTACAAGAGAGGTAAGCCAAAAAAGATCTACAGGCTGAGCCATATCAACTTCATGTTGCTCTGTAGAATACTCCTTAATCTAAATGATTTCATCTTCCTGTACTCGTTCAAGCACCTCTGACCAGATTTCAATATCACACTACATGTATTGTCTATTTCCTACCCATTCATCTCTCCTGGGGGTTGTTGATAACAGATGACCCCTGGTGAGATCAAGTTTGCGGTTCACGTGGAGACAGTGCTGAACCGTGTGCCCCAGCCGGAGTACCGTCAGCTGCTGGTGGAGGCCATACTGGTGCTCACCCTGTTGGCCGAGGTGGAGCTGGAGAGCATCGGCAATGTCATCCATGTAGATAAGATAGTCCACATGGCCAGCCAAATGTTCTACGACGACCAGGTCAGTCAGTGGCCATACAGTAGTTTCACCTCTGCTGGGAGTGGGACCGCTGTTCTTAACAGCATTGATTTTCACAGTGGAACATATTGTTATTTATTTTACCTAATTTATTGTGCTTGTCATTCAGTTACATGTACTATTTATTTCATATTTATCTATTCATTTACTATTGATCTATTTGCTACTATTCAGTTACATTTCCTGTAAACCCCTACATGATAATTTAGTTAAAAGACAGTAAATAGCACAACAGGCAGTCTTTGCAATGTCACCCTTACATTGTGTCCATATTCCCCACCTCTGCAGAAAGTGCTGGGGGCTGACGACACCCTTCTGGAGATAGATCAGTCCAATGGGATCTGCAGGCTGCTGTATGACAGTGCCCCTAGTGGCCGCTATGGCACTATGACCTACCTCTCTAAAGCTGTGTGTACCTACGTCCAGGACTTCCTGCCCAGCGGTGCCTGTGCCATCCAATGAGCTTCTATGTGTCTGTGCCCTCCAATTAGCTTTCAGCAACACATACTGTACTAGGGCTCAGAACCTGAGAAAGGATGATTTTATCGTAGTCAACCAACCTTTTCCTCATGGAGGTTAATTTGTTTTGATATATCACATAGCCCAACAAGCTTGTGCCTGACATAGACAATCGCTGTGAGAGGTCTCAGTATTTTAAATACCAACTTCCTCTTATAATATGGCAGATTATTCTTATAAAAATCCATGTAGCTAGGTTTCCAGGCTTGTTGTTATTCACATCAGGTAGATGTTTCTTACCAGAAAGATGGCGCACTGTGATTCTATGTCATAGGGAGCGATTGCTGCAATACTAGTGGTAATGAAATTAGTTGTCGTTGCTGCTTTTGAAAATGATAATTCTCCTATTGTGTTTTTGTGACAGATGTATAGTATGGATCTTTGATTAATAAAGTATAGTGACAATCTTCATCTTGTACACTTTGTGAGTGACATAGTGCTTCAAGGCTCTCTCATATCCAACTCATATGATCCGATCTCACAGTTATTCATGAGTATGCATGATGCTTTAACCTGATGATATTAGCTGTCAAGGTGATTATCGGTATATCCAATAGAAACATGCATTGCACATCTACCAACAAGCTGTCTCTACCAACAAGCTGTCTCTACCAACAAGCTGTCTCTACCAACAAGCTGTCACTGGTGAAAGGTACAGAGGCTACAATGAGCAGCAAGATAATAAATAAATTATAATAATAAATAAATACAAATAAGATGAGGACTGCTGCTAAATAACGACATAAAACCTGAGCAACATATGACATTTTATTCAAAAACAACAACCTCTGCATTTAAAATAAGAACCAATTGTTGATAACAATGTAAGTTAGCATTGACAATACAGTGTATTATGTGTTATCAATCCATTTGATGTACAAAAATAAATGAAAAAGGTATGGACCCTCACTTCCAAAACAGGACATCCTGGACAATGCTTTGTTTCATCACAGGAAAAAAAAAAAGACAGTTTTCAGATGGACAATATAGAATAGAATACAGTAGACAATAGATAAGTATACTGTGCTCATATTGTGAAATGCATAAATGTATATTATACATAGCCAGAGTACATCAGGCAAAAAGTGACAATGCATGTTGACATCTTTTAGTGGCTAAAAGATATGGGAGTGGGATTTTCCACTGCAAACGCAAAGGAAGATGACCAATATAGGCAAAGAATGACGTGATCCAATGGAAGAGGGACAAGACTGAACATACTTAGAGATGTCCAAAAATGTTGGCAGAGTACTCAAAAAAAAGAGCAAGCGTTCAACAAAGGTATTGAAAATAGCAACGCTTTAATAAAGAGGGGTTTACAAGACTTTAATGTCTAGCTAGCTAGGTGATGCATAGCCTTTACATTCATGTTGTTTCACATATGTGTGGTCTCATAACTGAGTTGATATTTGATAGAGCTTTGAATTGCTCCAAATTGCATTTCAAATGCAAAACAGACTTACAGTTATATCTGGTGGGACACACACATTTATGAATGCTAATGAATGCTTATGTAAAGAGGTAAGTAAAATCTCATGGAGAAATTCCTAAACATTTGCAAACACACCGGTAAGTGAAATTTCACATATGACCATGCTTTTTACCGGGCACACAAGTCAATAAAAAGACAACACTAATCATGCAAAAAGACTTGTCGCTGAAATCAAATTCCTCCAAATTGGATATCAGCAATGTGACCTTGAGAAAAGCTGCGCTTGATGACTTTGGTGCAAAATGTTCCTGTACGGAGATGACAGTGTCCACTGCCACAATGAAGACACTCTTGGTAGACCAGTTTTGATACTGTTGAACCTAACCCCCATCCCTCATCAAGATGTACACAAACGTTACAGACGTAGACCCCATGACACTGCCAAACACAATCACCCCACCACAGACACAGCAATTACAACCCATGTCTCCCAATAGGCTATCACTTTCAGAGCACATGTCAAAAACACACAAGGTTATATACAGAGGACAGCGTAACAGTCAGAATTGGTCTATGGGACTGCATGAACTTGCATAAAAGCATTCAATTGACACAGATGACATTGAGACAGAACTACGTTTCAAAGAACATCTACAAAATGTGGGCTGGTCACAGGGCATCAGAATACAGTAGTCCGACAGAGCCAATGAATAGCAGAATGAGAGGTTCTATAGCAATCTAACAGACGACGGACATGTATTGAGACACGTTACGACACTTGACTACTCCTTGCTAAATACACACTACCGGATGGCCTGGATGACTTCAGTGACCCCACTGACCTCGGAGGACCCAGAAGCTGGGAGGCCTCGTTGAGGAACACTACCCTGTTTATCTCACTGGGAAGGCATGGACATATAGAAACACAATCAATAGAAAACAAGGATTTCCCCGGCCCCTTTGACTGTACATCCCAGCAATGGTTTTAGTTTTGTGCATTAGAACGCTCACCCCTCCAGGGTTTGTGCTATATATGCTGTCTGTCTGTCACCGTTACGTACATTGGGGAGTTTCTGACAGACATGACCCTCGATCACATTTACAGATCTCTCTACTTCCTCCTCACTTGTCCACTGCCTTCGGGAAAATGTCCAGGACAGAAAGCTAGGCTCTCTCTGGGGCTGGAGTTAGAATGTGGCAGATAGTTGCTGATTTACTAGAGCGAGTGTCAGTTTTACTGTCTCATGAAGCAGTCTCAGAAACCGCTCCTCAACAACATTCTCCAGTGGTTCGTGAGGAGCTACACTAAAATAACTGCCACTCAGAAACACAACAATGACACATGCAACAACTCATTGGGTATCAACCTGGAGCAATACGGTTAGCTAGAGAAGAAACACAAAGAACTTACTCTCCCAACGTTTACTCACTGACAGGGCAAGACTGGTAGGACCATTACAAGAACAGCATATCAACAAAAAAATACGTAACCGGTTTCAAAGAGCAGAATCGAATGAGATGGCGGGAAGTTTCATGCACTGTTGTGGTAGCTAAAGAAACATGGATCACGTATAAAACAACCTCGAATAGCATCAAGCAGAGTGAACAATGGGCGGCACAGCAGAGGCAGAATGTGTTATGACTTATGACGGTTCCGTATGAAATGAGTGGGCCTTCTTCATTTCTTTCCTAGGAGTATACTGTAGGTCTATGTAGGCATGGAGTGCTCCATTTAAAACTAGCGCAGTGGTCAACCCTTGCCACACAGATCATAGCTTTCACAGGAACCTATGAAAACATTACACAATAGCTTTTGTACATTTAGATCTGAGTGCACTGCAAATTAACATACAGACAGATATACTGTACATGCACACATACACAAACCATGTGTCTCCAAGCCATTTATCCAATGTCTTACTATAACAGGTTGTGGAATTGGCAGTTACAACAAAATGAAACGAATACTGAGTCAACTCCAGAATGTTGGTGAACATTGATTGAAATGCATGAAAAGGGACACACTTTTCCATGTTACAATGGTGGCAACTGCAACTCTGACATTAACATTAGAGAGAAAAGACGTAGCAGTATTGTAGTGGTTTGTATGAGATTCTAATTGGACAATGCATATGTACACCCTTGGCAAAGTTCACATTGATTAAAGTCCATTGACACTTGTGGATGGGGGTGATGGCAGTTTTCTGGAATTCACTGCAAAGGGCCAAGCTCCAAACTGGAATACAGCCGTCATCATAGCATGGGTTTAACAGACGGAACAATACCCATTCAAATGAGCAAATCAAATACAGAATGAATGTGAGCTATGACTTGGCAAAGGACTTGGATGGGACTCTTATATCAGCCATGATGCAGAATGTAACAGAGGTTCTATCCCACAGAGAGGCCACTGAAAGAGCACTGACACCAACACATCTCCAGTCTGTCTCCACCACCATCTTCTGCTCCTTTCTCTCCTCCATCTTGCGTTGTATTTGGTTCTGGATTGGTTTGTTTTGTCTCTCTGCTTTACTGTCATGGTAAGATACTCCCAGTCCTACATGAAGTGCATCTGCATAGGAAAATAAGCCTGTTACGGTTTAATAATATCTGTCTAGTTGTAAAAGGTTTTAGATTGTCGATTCTAGCCTCTGGAAATATTTCAGTGAAAGAAAACAGGGTACTGTAATACCACAAAAAAAGGTTTTATAGTAACAAGATCTTAAATAATTCCAGAACCTACTGGCAAACAAACAGTAATTAGCATTGACAAATTAAGTATTAAACAGTAACTGATACATTATAAAGCAGCAGAGACAGCATTACAATTATGATTATGATTAGCCTACTTAGGAACTGATGCCTTGAATCATGATTCACGTGTCAGAAGTGGTTGGGGAATGAACAGTGAGGAGTGGAGAGTGAGGAGTGGAGAGTGAGGAGTGGAGAGTGAGGAGTGGATCGTGAATAGTGAAGAGTGGACAGTGAAGGGTGGAAAGTGTAGAGTGGACAGTGAGGAGTGAACAGTGAGGAGTGGACAGTGAAGGGTGGACAGTGAAGGGTGGACAGTGAAGAGTGGACAGTGGATAGTGGACAGTGAGGAGTAGGCAGTGAGGAGTGGACAGTGGATAGTGGACAGTGAGGAGTGGACAGTGGATAGTGGACAGTGAGGAGTAGACAGCGAGGAGTGGACAGTAAGGAGTGGACAGTGAGGAGTGGACAGTGGATAGTGGACAGTGAGGAGTAGACAGTGAGGAGTGGACAGTGAGGAGTGGACAGTGAGGAGTGGACAGTGAGGAGTGGACAGTGAAGGAGTGGACAGTGAGGAGTGGACAGTGAGGAGTGGACAGTGAAGGAGTGGACAGTGGATAGTGGACAGTGAGGAGTGGACAGTGAGGAGTGGACAGTGGATAGTGGACAGTGAGGAGTAGACAGTGAGGAGTGGACAGTGAAGAGTGGACAGTGAAGGGTGGACAGTGGATAGTGGACAGTGAGGAGTGGACAGTGAGGAGTGGACAGTGGGATTACCTGGGCTCCTGGCATGGGGGCGAATGGATTGGTGTGCCGAAGGACAGGCTGGTTGTACATCATATGCTGTGGTGCCATCATAGGGACTCCACCCATCTGCCCCATCTGATGAGGAGGCATCTACGACAGGGAGAGAGAGATGAAATGTAAACTGGGGATCAATGGTCTTGGTGTGCAGATCCCCCCTCAGACCCGACCTCATATTTGTATTGTTATTTTATTGTGTTACTTTTATTTTTTTATTTTTTTACTTTAGTTTATTTAGTAAATATTTTCTTAACTCTATTTCTTGAACTGCATTGTTGGTTAAGGGCTTGTAAGTAGGCATTTCACGGTAAGGTCTACACCTGTTGTATTCGGCGCATGTGACTAATAAAATGGTATTTGATTTGATTGTTAGGCCTGGGTACTGTACCATAGTGCAGATCATTCCTTACCATTCCATAAACAGGCACTTGAGGTGTCGTCATTGGAAAAGCCACTGGAGCTGGAGCCTACGGAGAGAAAGGGTGAAATGGAACAATGGAAGACCAGTAGAGCACACTGAGGAAAACACTTCTGGTAAATGCAGTGACTCTCTCTACAGATAGTCATGTACTTACATAGCCAGTATAGATCATTCCATTCTGCAGCATTAGGGTTGAGGAAAAGAGGAGGAGGGAAAGAGGCAAATGCAGATAGGAATGGATGGCGGATAATTCAGTGGAAAAGTAAGAGAGACGACGGATGAAAAACAAAGTGAAAAGAGAAGACAAACCATTAGAGTGCAAACGGATTGAAATAGACAGAGGGCAAAAGAGAATCGCCAGCGCTCGTGAAGAACCGCAATAACCACTTCCATTTTCCAAGATGTGATTTGCAGCCAATCACAGAGTTTCTAATGTGTGCTACTAGATTCCATAAGGAAAAAGTACATATCAAAGCTACCTTTTGCATTGCTGGCTTGTCCTCAGTTTTATATTTCGTGAGCGTGTGCAGGAGTGTATGTCTCACCATTTGTGGTATGGGCATCGGTTGAGGAGCCATGGGAGCGTGATGGTTCCAGTTGGGGGTAGTGCACATTGTTTTGGACTGCCAGTGAGTCCCCCCTGTTGGCTTCTTCTCTACCAGCTGGGTCCACTGGAGCTCTGGCCTGAGGGACAAACACAGGGGTCAAATACACTCACCACATTAGAGCAAGACAAATTAGATCAGGATTCACAAATGCTTGAGGATGAATAACTAACTCCAAATATATTATATTTGCTCTCAGCTCCTTTTCAAATATCATATACTCACTTTTTGGCTGATGTTCCTCCGAACTGCAAGTCTGGAAAATGAGCGATTATGATATGTTACATGTTCAGATGCTGTTACAGAGCATTACTGTGTATTACCATTTTATCACTACTGAAAAACAAAAGAATACGCAAAGCTACATGTAAAAGAGAGAGAAAGACTCACTGCCAACAAGGTTGGCTAAGGAGGAGTCCAGGTCAGTGGGCATCATCTTCCCCCCAGATTGCAGTGGTATCCCAGGGCTGTGGATGTGGGTGGGCTGAGCTGGCTTCAGCAGGTCACCTGGGAGCCCCAAACCTGAGGACAGAGACATACAGGGAGAGCGAATCAGGCTCCAGGTCTCACAGGGAGAGAGAGTCAGGCTCCAGGTCTCACAGGGAGAGAGAGAGTCAGGCTCCAGGTCTCATAGGGAGAGAGAGAGAGTCAGGTCTGGCTAATGCTGAGTGATTAGTGCTTTTTGAGGTCAGTTCAGTTTCGGTTTCGATTATTATTTTTTACATGAAATGTATTATTAAATAATGACATTAAAATTATTTTTAAAAATAGTGAACATTCAATTGCCAAAACATTGAAAATATTCCATAGTCTCTGGCAGGTCCACATTGTGTAGACATCAATAGAAAAATAGGAAATTCAGTTGTGTATATTACTATTAGTTTTTATTTAATGACTTCATTATTTTTCATTCAGTCATCATCTCATCTCAGCTTAGGTAGTAGCAGCCAGGCAGCCAGAACATCTAACGCAGTGGTATTCAAAGTAGGGGTCATGACCCCAACTGCAGTGCGGTTGCCAAAATTAGGAACAAAACATTAAGAGTACATATTATTGTTTTTTTGAGAAATATATTTTGAAAGATACAATTCTATTGAGTAAATGTCTATTGGTTTATTTTGCTTTTGATAAGAGATGAAAATGCAACTAATTGAAGGTTATTTGTTGATGTAAAAATCAAAATGTATCAATTTAAAGGTTGCTTCATTAGATTTGGGGTGGGGTCGTAATAAATTATTTGGAAAACAATTGGGTCCCCAGGAATTATTGGGGAAAAAAATAAAGTTTGTGTACCACTGATCTAATGTTATCTCTGTTCTCCCCATACTGTACTGTCTTTAGTCATCCTATTTAGCTATGCTAGCCTGCCTAAGTATGCTGCAGAACTGTCTAACTAAATCATTTTACTAGTTTGATAAGTAGATAAGGCATACTTTCACAAACTCTCTATTCCTCTCTTCGTTCTGTTGTGTACATTCCTCTCTCATGTGATTTATGTTGTCTGTGTGTCTCCTAACGTAGCAGGCGTAAAAGTGCAATGGATTATTGTCATTGTAATTACTTACCACATTTCGGCGCTGAACTAGGTTGAATATTTGCTTCATGAAAACTACAACTCAGACCAGCGTCGCACATAGTTCTTTACATTATTTATCTCGTGATTGATTGGATTTCTCTCTAGAGAAACAGCGCATTGGGATCACAAAAAAAACAGAACTAAATGGAATTCAAGTAACTGAACCGACATCGGTCAATTAGTTGTTTAATAACCCCAACAACAACAAAAAAGATGGTTAATCACTCAGCACTAGGTCTGGGTCACACAGGGAGAGAGAGTCAAAGTCAGTATCAGGTCAGAGTGAGAGAGAGAAAGAAAGAGAGAGAGGGAGAAAGAACGAGAGAGAAAGAGGGAGTGAGAGAGAGAGAGCGTCAGGCTGCAGGTTACACAGGGAGAGAGCGAGTCATGCTACAGGCAATAACCCTAGCCTCAGGCATATTGTAATGCCATTTCAGTTCTGTCAGCTATCCAGTAGAGTGATACAAGCCATGTTGACTCACCAATCAGAGAGAGAGGGCATCCAGCAGGGATAGGTATCATAGGTGGGAAGAGGAGAGGAGGAAATTGCATTGGGGACACAACTGGACATTTCACTTCTTCTCATAAAGGTTGGGGTTGACATAAATTCATATCTTATTTATGTCCTGCAGTGACTGATTTCTGTCCATCACAATCTGCTTAATGTACCTGCCTTCGTTTTAAATACACTCAATCGTTCTCAAGAGTATACATTGTGTGTGTGCGTGCGTGTGCGCGCGTGTGTACGTGGAGTCTGTGTGTGCTTCTGTGTCCCTCACCTCCCCAGGCGTTGTTGTTAGACGGCACAGTGTGTATGGTCTGGATGTTTGGGTTGAAGGTGGGCTGGAGGTTGAACAGGTCACTGGTGAGATTTGGCACGCTGGGGAAATAGAGAGACAGGGATAAAAAGCACAGCAGAGCAGATCCCTTCAGGCCACAGGGCAGAGAGAGAGTTACAGTGGACAGGACCAAACGCTTGGAACACTGCCATACAGACATCCATTTTAACTTGGCTCACAGGTCCTTTCCACTAATAACCCAACTAATACACTATGAAGTGATTTAACTAGCTGCCATTTTTAATAAGATACATACAGTATATATTATACAAATCGAACAAACGTGGGTGAAACATACCCATAGGTTTTAACTTAAACACAAGGATTATCAGACAGTAGGTCTGCTTACTTATTTGTAACGGATCCAACAGATGAGTTGGAGAAGACATCTGTGGCCCCGCTGCTGCTGTTGGCACTGCCCACTGACTGGGCGCTGGGAGAGACGGTCGGCGTCTGCATGTCAATCACCTTGGCTCCCTCATCCTGTGGGACAAACACATAAAGTGAAGCCGCAAAAAGTACAACAGGGTTGAAAAAACATTCATACATCACTGTATCTACACTGTAATGAAAACGTGTTATACAGTGACCCTGTCTGACCTTCAGCCTGTTCTCGTCCTCCTTCTCGTCCATGCGGCTGAGGGAGATTCCAGTGCTGGACAGTGACGACACAGCACTAGACAAGGTGTTAGCTCTGGAGAGACCACACAGCACTTATCAGTGACCACCACGCACACTCACTGTCACACACACAGCACTCTGGGACTGACCACTAATGAATCATTCATGTATTAGTGAATGTTTCTGACTCTGTGTGCCATTATTGCAATGTAATAGACAGGTCTGACATACACACACACAGCCGATGATGATCAGCACTGACAGTAAACACTCCCAATTGCATGATAAATGAGGTTGCATTTCTGTTGTAGTCCAGAAGAACTACTAGCTGATGGTGGATCACTGGTACAGTATCATTTGCATATTCATCCTCATATCTACCAAAGCTTCAGTGAGTGATACATGTTTTGAAAAGCCTCCTTCGGACGCAAAGCCTGAAACATTAGCATCAGTGTGTGTGTGTGTGTGTGTGTGTATGTCTGTTTGTTGGTTACCTGGTGGCTGTGGAGAGCTCCTTGATTTTCCTGCCCTCCAGAGAGGCCAAATGCTGCTCCAGGGCTTCCAGGAGGCTACTAGGGGCCTGGTGGAGAGAGAGAGGGGGAGGGTTGGGCATGGAGCAGCATTAATGCACAAGGTGAGGATAGCACTGTGTAGAACAATTGGGAAAACAACAGCGTGCACACACATCCTACATTTGCATACACTCGCGTACAGGCACACAGACATTTGTGCACGCACAAGCACACAGACGCGCCCGCACACAGACAAACACGCCCGCACACACGCCACGCACATACACACAAACACAGCGGCCAAGTGGCACATTGTCCTAAGCTTATTCATGTTCAGTCTAGTCTCCATATTTGCAGGTATTTTACATAAGACAATACATCTGGTATAATTAGGTTTGGCTCCAAGCCAGACATGCACAGATCAGTCCTCTCTCATGCAAGCAAGTACACAGGCCTGGGAGGTCATTTGTACAGTGTATCGGCTCCTGAGGTGTTCAGAACACATCACATCGTCTGTTGGCATACAGAAAGGAGCTTAGAAGCCCATTCACAGGTGTGTATAAATGCTCTCACACACACAGAAATCACAGTCCATAAATGGTGAGTTAACCAATGGATTCCGTTTGATATAATAATTTGAGTAACTATTCATTCATCCATGAATATCAATACAATACATGTATTTTACAGGTTAGAGGATAAATTATATTAGCAGACAGTAAAATGTTGTCATTAGCTTAGTGTCTAATTCAAAAAGGTTTGGAAGCCAAACGAGTTAACTCACAGAAAGGCAAACATCTGATGAAAATGAGGTATACACTTGGGAAATGAAGCGCATATTTTATAAAGACATACAAAATGATGGTTAAATAAACCAGGTTCAGTGAATTCATTTTCCACATGTAATACCCATGTTTCAACTCAACATTTCCTTTTCATTATAGAATACAATCTTAACACATGCAGTAACTTGCAAAAATAAGAATTTGCATATACTTATTTGGGGGAACAAGAGAGAATAATGACATTCCTTCTTCAGAGAAATCTAGAATATACTAAAAGTTTCAAATTAACAGAAAAAAAATCTCCATCTCAGTAAAGACATGGGTTACTATTTAGTTGAGCAGGGATACATAAGGTCTTCATAAGCACTGCAAACATGACATAAGAATTGACAGAAACATTTGTTCATGTTTATTTTTCCCCATGTGGAGGGAAACACCATTAGTGTCATTGAAGAAAGATTCAACAAGTTTTTGTAGCATCACATCAGATGTTATGCAGTGCTTAGGATTGCATTATGTACACCATTCAAGTAATATTTGCAGAAACCTATTTGGTAGAAACCATTCACTGCTCTCCCCACAGCTATTTTGATGGGATATCTTTTCAGGAAAAAGATATACAATAGTGTTAATTTTGAGGCAACACAAAGTTAAACTGTAGGAGAAATCAAGAGCTTGATTCCTCTAAGCTATTCTATCAAGGGATGTCATCCTCACACAAGCACCATACGACCATATTTGGACAGAGGCTGAAGGTGCCTGACTTTTCAGCTCCATTTCAAAATCAAACAAACAAAACTTTTTTTTTTGTAGGTTAACTTTAGAAAACTGTGATTCAACGATACAAAAGACTAAAATCAAAGTAAAGAAATAAAGGATCCGTCTACCTAAAATCTGCTGAAAGACGTAAGACCAAGGAAGACTATGTTTTGCACAATCTCCAGAATTAGGATATGAAATATGGCGCAGCAGAATCCAAGGTTCACATATTAGAAATTCATTTTGAGTGTAGGCCCTCACTATCCTAGAGCTCAGAGAGAGGGAGGTAAATCAGGTAAAAAGGAGGGGGCGGTTGGAAGCCTGTAGGGTGAGTAGGGAATGAGAGTGTTTAGAATGGAACTACATGGGAGATATTGAGATGAAATGCACCACTGACCTGTGTGAGATCTGGGATGTCACCCTGATCAATTCCAACTTGCTGTGTCACAAAAAAGGAGGGGGGGGGGGGGGGGGGGGGGGGGGGGCAAACAAAAACCAAACATAATAAACAAACAAACTCAACCACAGAATAAAGGGGTAGGTGTGTGGAGGAGGGAGAAAGAAGAATCAAACCAAAGGATCCATTACTCCATGCAGTGACTAGAAACAAAACAACAAAAAGACAACAGAGAGGGGAATTGGCATGCCCACACACACACACACAAACACACACACACTCACACACAGGATCTGAAGACTGGTTTGAAATGAATGTTTACACACTGAAATGCCACTGACAGGTGGGCCGGGTACATTGGGCTGTAATACTCATGTGACTGCAAGGTGAGAAACATCCAAAGAAAACACACAACTAATGTTGACTTTGAACGAAAAAGAAAGGGGCATAAATGACAAACACATTGTTAAACAAGTAAATGAATGGGCCCTTAAAGTCAACGTTAGCCAGTTTTTGGATAGAACCACACCCCCATCACCCCAAACCTTCCTCCAAATAGTTACCAAATCAGTAAAGACAGCAGGAAAGCCTTTTAAAAGAATGCACAAGAAATTATAAAACTACAGAGAGATACTGATTATCTTTGCAATAAGGCCTTATGAATTGCAAGTAGTACTTTATTTGGATAACAGCAGACATTCATCAAGTAGTACATTACTTGGATAACAGCAGACATTCGTCATTGAAAAAGTGAGAAAGGGAAGGAAAGACTAAGAGAAAACATCTTGCTAAGACATGCAACGCAGGCATCAAAACAGGCAGCACATGGAGGGGCCTTTCACCATGAGCTTTTTAGGCCCACTAATAGGCTAACCTCTGCATTCATGACCAGCATTAGCCTCCACCACACGGCAACAGAGGGACAGAGAGAGAGAAAGGAGAGAGGAGCAGAGGTCCGGGAGAAGAGCCCCACCTTCCTGCTGGATCTATCTGAAACCTTTTTTTCCTCACCACAAGTGGAAAAGGGAAAACATTACCTCTGCAACTTTGAGAAACTCTGACAGCTTGGTCATTCTGTTCAGAAACGTCTTATAAATCTCCAGGGCATCTTTGCATTGGTTCTTCTTCATATCAAAATATTTCTCTTTAGGATACAAAAAGAGGATAGGTTAACTCAGCGAAAGAACAAAAGAAAAAAAGAAAAAAGAAAAAAGCATTTTGGCTAGTTCTTTTCTATAGTATACACTACCGTTCAAAAGTTTGGGTTCACTTAGAAATGTCCTTGTTTTTGAAAAGCAATTTTTTGGTCCATTAAAATAACATACAATTGATCAGAAATACAGTGTAGACACTGTTAATGTTGTAAATGGCTATTGTAGCTGGAAACGGCTGATTTTTTATGGAATATCTACATAGGCGTACAGAGGCCTATTATCAGCAACCATCAGTCTTGTGTTCCAATGGCACGTTGTGTTTGCTAATACAAGTTTATCATTTTAAAAGGCAAATTGATCATTAGAAAACCTTTTTGCAATTATGTTAGCACAGCTGAAAACTGTTGTGCTGATTAAAGAAGCAATAAAACTGACCTTCTTGAGACTAGTTGAGTATCTGGAGCATCAGCAATTGTGGGTTCGATTACAGGCTCAAAATGGCCAGAAACAAATAACTTTCTTCTGAAACTCGTCAATCTATTCTTGTTCTGAGAAATGAAGGCTATTCCATGCGAGAAATTGCCAAGAAACTGAAGATCTCGTACAACGCTGTGTACTACTCCCTTCACAGAACAGCGCAAACTGGCTCTAACCAGAATAGAAAGAGGAGTGGGAGGCCCCGGTGCACAACTGAGCAAGAGGACAAATACATTAGAGTGTCTAGTTTGAGAAACAGACGCCTCACAGGTCCTCAACTGGCAGCTTCATTAAATAGTACCCGCAAAACACCAGTCTCAACGTCAACAGTGAAGAGGCGACTCCGGGATGCTGACCTTCTAGGCAGAGTTGCAAAGAAAAAGCCATATCTCAGACTGGCCAATAAAAAGAAAAGATTAAGATGGCCAAAAGAACACAGACACTGGACAGAGGAAGATTGGAAAAAAGTGTTATGGACAGACAAATCGAAGTTTGAGGTGTTCGGATCACAAAGAAGAACATTTGTGAGACGCAGACCAAATGAAAAGATGCTGGCGGAGTGCTTGATGCCATCTGTCAAGCATGGTGGAGGCAATGTGATGGTCTGGGGGTGCTTTGGTGGTGGTAAAGTGGGAGATTTGTACAGGGTAAAAGGGATCTTGAAGAAGGAAGGCTATCACTCCATTTTGCAACTCCATGCCATACCCTGTGGACGGCGCTTGATTGGAGCCAATTTCCTCCTACAACAGGACAATGACCCAAAGCACAGCTCCAAACTATGCAAGAACTATTTAGGGAAGAAGCAGTCAGCTGGTATTCTGTCTATAATGGAGTGGCCAGCACAGTCACCGGATCTCAACCCTATTGAGCTGTTGTGACAGCAGCTTGACCGTATGGTACGTAAGAAGTGCCCATCAAGCCAATCCAACTTGTGGGAGGTGCTTCAGAAAGCATGGGGTGAAATCTCTTCAGATTACCTCAACAAATTGACAACTAGAATGCCAAAGGTCTGCAAGGCTGTAATTGCTGCAAATTGAGGATTCTTTGACGAAAGCAAAGTTTGAAGGACACAATTATTATTTCAATTAAAAATCATTATTTCTAACCTTGTCAATGACTACATTTCCTATTCATTTTGCTATATTTCCTATTCAAACTAATTTCATGTACGTTTTCATGGAAAACAAGGACATTTCTAAGTGAACCCAAACTTTTGAACGGTAGTGTACATTTACAAACAGCATAGTGACATCATAGTGGCATTACAGTGGCATCATAGTGACATCATAGTGACATCACAGTGGCATCATAGTTATCTAACAGAGTGTACTTACCCAGCATGTTGATAACTCCTTCATTGTAGGCAGCAAAGAGGCGGATGGAGTCTTTGAAGAGCAGCATGAAGGCGCCGTTGATGACGCCATTGGTCAGTTCATTAGAGTTAGCCTGGGAAGAGAACAGATAAAGAGACAACACATTGAGAGTTCATGCAGACAGCTCACTGTCATCATGTAGCCGATGTTAAGGACCACCAACACCAAAACCATGCAGCCCTGCAGCCTACCTGAAAGTCCAGCAGTGCATCCAGCTGATTCTGTATGATGGGTAGAGTCTTGATCAGCTTCTCAACAGTCATGGTGCGCATCACACCATCGACCCTGTCAACAAGAGACACGCAGGACCACTTTAACAGGACAAGTGACTGACAAACACGTTCAAACAACTACTCAAACAGATAAAGCATCTCCATGTCAACCATGCTGATACTCAATATAATGCACACAATATCCAAAATGGCTGCTGAAATGAGTGACCAGTTTAGCTTGGTAACCTTGAATGTATTTAAGAACTGTCTCCATTATTTTCACTGTTTGTTACCTAAGCCACTGTTTGTCGCTCTTGAGGAGGGACACTGATGTAGCTAAATGATGTATCCCAGTATGACTCTGAGGTTCCACACTAGCCACAACAGGCCATCTTACCCCCTCTTCATCTTGGTGAAGTCCACAGCCACTAGTCTGTAGGACATGGCCTTCTCATTTAGATACCTGCTGTAGCGTCTGATGAACGTTGACATGTCATAACCTGGCAGAGAGGGAGTATTGTATTGGTATTTGTATAAGTGCTAGCTGGAGGCTTACAGAGCCAAACCTCTGCAATGCATTCAGAACGACAGTTAGAAATTTTGAACTGCACATTGTTGTTCATGCATTGCATGTTTCTAAGTGATTTTGTGCCTGTGACTTATGTACAGTGTGGTATGGAATTGCTTCCATGGACAAATACCCAACAGTACCTTGTAATGCTCCCTTATCCAAGAAGTTGTTCAGGTTAAAAAGTGTGTTTCTGGACGCCAGATACTGGATTAATCGCTGGTGAGATAAATACAGAGAGAGCAAGAGTGTGATCATAACCAGTAAGAATAAAGACTCAATCAGTGAATAACATATAATAATATACTGTATGCCATTTAGCAGATGCTTTTATCCAAAGTGACTTACAGTTATGCGTGCATAAATGTTTTGTACGGGTGGTCCTGTGAATTGAACCCACTATTCTGGCGTTGCAAGCGCCATGCTCTGCCAACTGAGCGACAGAGGTCCACTTTAACAGTGAAGCCAGTCTGTCAGTGAGTGACTCACCTCGTTGCCGTACATCATGAGGTGGTGTGCGGTGATAAGGGCCTTGAACACCACCACCCAGCTGTTGTTGGCCGTCCTCTCAAACAACGTGTCAGCCAGGTGGGGGACACTCACGTTCAGCTCATTGGTGCAGTGGATCAGGTCTGCCAACAACACAGAATGGTGACAATTGAAAACATAATAGTGCTTTCTGTGCTTAAGATATATTCTGCTCGACCCTACACTAAGGTTGATCAACTCACACACAGTGCCTCTTAACTGAAGACAATGTGGGCGATGAAACTACGGAAAGCCATTCATTTCCAATTGAAGAGAAGCGAAGTGGGTGGTGGATCATTTGGCGACGCGAGCTTAGGCGACAGACTGGAACAGGGTGGGAGCAAAGTTGGGGAAGCTGAACTTTATGCAAACACTCTGCGACATCGGTGCGCTTGACCGATCGAAGCTCACTATAGCTTCCAGCCCCTACTGGATTGGCTGTTGATAGCTAGCACTACCTAGCTTGCTTGCACCCACACAAGGGCGAAGCTAGCGTGGCGAGGCGGAATACAAGTGCTAGTTAAAACATATTGTCATGCTGAAAATCCCTAGCAGCAGTTGGATCTCTGCTCGGCCCCTCCCACCCTTCAAAAATATACCTTTTACTAGTGAATTAACTATCACTTATTCTGCCTTAATTACAGTGACTAATCTGCAATTAATATTTCAAACTGGAAATCTGATTGTAAAACAGACAGTCATAAAAATAACCTCAAATATGATTGGGTAGTCCTTCTAGACATTTGACTGTAGGAGGAGTCTAAGCTTATGCTAAACCTTAAGAGGGAACATAAAGGAAATATAAAGGGAATATAAAGACGTCCGGATAATCCAGAAGAATTACACTCTTTAAATAACTAAATTACAGTAGGGTACCATATTCTTAAATCACATTTGAAGTCTTCCCAAATGCCACTCAGAGAAATGGCAGTTTCTATGACTACAAGATTTTAGCTTATGTAATTCCACTCAACATGACTCTAAGGTGACCAAAATATTCACAATTGGATTACTTTGGATAAAGGTTGGGCAAAGAATTCTACAATTAAACATTTTTTCCTGAATAGAACCAAACTGGCAGCACATGCTGAGACCTGGCACCCAACCAGCCTACCTTTTCTTTTCAGACAATATATTATTCCACTGAACCAATAACCCTCTGGGTCTATGGCATTTGTTGCAGCCCAGGAGAGGACTGATTGATCTTAATTGATTGACTGGACACAATGTTGATTGTGTCAAGTAATTATTTGGGTATAAAGCCACCTAACCTAATCATCAGTAGTTAAACGTGGAGAAAATACTTTCTATCCAATAATTACTCCAGTTCCACATTTCCACACATACAAATGTTGAGATCAAGATTGTCTATGACACTGCTGCCATTGCACAAATATGAATGACACATGGACACCAGCGCACCACAAACTAAAGTAGCTGAGAAAACTCAAAGGCTACATACACCACAATATACTAAGGTATTATACCTAAATCAGACTAATTTTCGTCTAGAACTCAGTAGGAAATTGAGTTAATGGTTTGCAATAGGTAGACTGACTCCAATTGTGCTTCTTTAAACCTACGCTGCCAGAAAATGTTACATTAAAAGGGAAATGTACTCAAATATTATTACATACAATGATGAATAAGGTGTAATAGGATATTTGTGATCACAATGTGTGCATTTGCATCTGTATTGCTCGCTGTTTGGGGTTTTAGGCTAGGTTTCTGTATAGCACTTTGTGACATCTGCTGATGTAAAATGGCCTTTATAAATACATTTTATTGATTTATTTGCCTGTATGACACTCAGTGATAATAACATATTTGTCTCATCATGTTTAGGCTACAACACGATGGCCTACTATAGGATAATGACACTGTATGATAATGATTGACTACAGAGCTGTTGAAGCCTATGATGCGCAATTATTCATAGCCTAATAGAATAATTTCGAAAACCCTTGGCCAACCAAACATGATGTACTTAATGACAAATACAGGTCGTCTTGAATATTCAATGTAACCAATGCTTTTGTTGCTAACATGTAGCAACGGCGGTGCACTGGTGGTGTACTTAACCTACAGTCAAGGTGTTTCTTCTTGGGTCCGCTGACTTCATGCGTCGTGGCCTTGCAAACGGCTTTGCTTATAGCGGATCCTGTCATGCTGTGCTGAGCCGCAGCGATCCGATCCGTGATAGACTGTCCAGACATATTCCAAAAGCAGTAACTGGGGAATCAGAAATCAAATTGTCTTTAGTTATGATAGGGAGGGTGCCCTCTAAACAAACTGCCCGTCTGAAAACAAAAACGTACACTGACGCGAATTCGATGGGAGAATTCATACGGCGGCCAAATAAAATTGACGGCTACATTCAGTAAACGAAATGGCAATCCAATGTCCCACACATACAAATCCAAAAACCTAACCCAAACGACCCACACCAATATCAGCTCAGAATGATTCGTTCGGAGGTCGCGATGCTACAATATATCCCCGTAATAGCTTTCCAATGGTGATGCCGGTTAGTGTACAGCTGCTACAGTAGCCTGCATTAATACAATTGAGCATCAGCAGAGCAACACTCATTGATTAGTTAGCCTACCAATCCTCGGTTGGTGATCACGCGACGTTCGCTCTGGTTATGATTGGGGCTAGACTAATTTTGAAGACGTTACAAAATAGCATATTAATGTATTTTCTCTCAAGCTTCCCTGTGTTCGTGTCGAGGTCTTGTAGCAATGACTCCTCCTGGTTTTCCCATATCCTTTAATTGCCGTGCTCCATATGGTTTAATCTGATTGCATTTAATCTTTTTACAAATGTTTTTTTGTTAGGTAGTCGATTATTCATTTATTTCACTCAAACTTCATGTGTAAAATGGCAGTGTAGCCTATGAATCAGGTGACTTAGAAAGGGGTTGATTGGGCAACACAGAAAGGGTCCGGGGAGGGCATCTTAAAGCAGAACACTGCAATTGAATTTTAGGCAGCTGCTTCATGATTTGAAGTGGATGGAATCTGTCTGACTCTGCAGGACTGTCCAATCAGATTCAGACACATCTGAAGACAAACCCCTGGGTTAGGATGGTATTGATGTTATACCATTGTTATTGGACTATAACAACAACCTTTCACAAATCACCAGCTTCTCAGTTTCCTGCAGCTCTCTATAGGAATGTAGGATATACAGTACATGTAATGTCTCGGCCTATTGTCCAAAATGTGACTCTACTCGGCCTGCAAGTGAGATAAAAGCCCTAATATGAGTCAGATTTGGCATTGAGATGTCTTCCTCTGTTTTACAAAATACTGTACAGGATGTAAATGCAATTTTTATAGGCTACCAATTATATGAACGTTTTTTTAAATTCACTGGTTCTCTCCCTTTCTAGTCCAGCCTCATCCTGGGATCAGATCATCGTGGAGGATGCAGAAGAGGATGAGAGGAGAACTGACATCAATACTATCCTTTTATACCTGTGTAGTAATAATGTAATTACATATTAACAATGTTGCATTAACATGCTGTGTTGGACAACTAACATGGTCAATAAATAGGCTACAAAAATGGAAAAGACAACTCTGCTGAACCACACATTAAAAGCCATTTTAATTCAGTTAAAGCTATAGGCCTATACTGCATGTACAGTAAATATCAGGCAAAGCACTGTGACAGTGTTGTCCCCCTCCTATGAACAGAAACACCCCTTTTGTATCAGTCTGATGTCAATCATAACAACATCTTTATATCACACAGTCAGATATCCTTGGTTATATGACTGTAGACATCATAATCTGACTGTCATCTCGTTGCTGAAATTCTCTGCTTTGTCATTTAGTTGTCTGAGGGACTGAAATGAGGGAGAGCCCTGCTTTCACAATGTATAGCGGTTGTTCACTCCAAGGAGTTACAATAACGTATTTCCTGTGAAAATAAATATGTTCCACTCATTATATTACTATTTTTCCATTTCTCACACAAACATGATCATAAATCCACATAGAGAAATACACCACATCTCTCTCATAATATATTTTTTCCATGGCCCCTTTCGGCTTCCCTTGAAGATGTTCTTTAATTGGAACAGTCCGACAGACTACAGAGAGACACATTCAAACCCTTGAAGATCTTCCTTTTTCTCTATTCTCTTTGATGGGTCAGAATTTGTTACATGATCCACAGCGAACTCTTTCTTTAACACTGTTGTTGAACCCAGGCAGAACCTGCACGTCTGGGTCTGAATCCAAGACTGTGCTCTCTTCATTGGTCAGGATATGTTCAACCAGACATCTCGCTGCCGCTTCAATGTTAGTGTTCTCCTACAAGATAAAACAAGAACAAAATCATGTACAGCTAGATGACAATTAGATCTCAGAATGATCTCAGATGGGGAGTATTCCCAGGCCAGATCTGCTCAGGATTCAAAATCCTCTTACCTCAGGCAGAAGGATTGTGCTAATCTCTCATCATTATTAATGTAAGCTATCCGCTGGGTAGGCCCCAGTGACATATTCATCCAATCAGCCTTCACACCCAACTGAGTAACTCATTAGAGAGTGGCTGTGAGTGTCCCCATCCTTTCAGGTTCAGTCTGTGAGAAGGGAACACACCTTCCACAGCCTGCTGGACCATTTCACACGTTCCTGTTCATATTCCCCTCGGCTAATTAGCCTGTGTCCTTGTCATATACCTCGGGGTATGCTAATATTTCATTCCAACTGATCTCATGTATTTATCAGCTGAGTGTGAATGCATTTCATTAAACACTTTAAGGTAACCCAAGCTGACAATCAAAGGCTGTTGTCAAATGTGTGTTCTTTACAATAGAGACCATTCTACATAGGGATCTTCCATAGGGCCAAGACTGTCAAATGTTAGCGGCTAGAAAGTTCCCCAGCAGGAGTCGTTGGAATGTGTTTAGAATCATTGAGATTGTGAGGCTTGTCTGTCACACACACACACACACACACACACACTCCATTGCAAGTGATCAGACATGATGTATTTTAGGGCAACACTAGACTTTCTAGCCAGTCATAGAGCAGCCCACAGGCAGCAGTTGGGAGGGGCTAGGACTACAGACTACGCTTGAGGAATAAGCTGAAGCCTTTCCCTATCTGTCTCAGTATCTTTCTTCCTCACCTTGGCTGACGTCTCAAACCATCCCACAAATCCATTTTCCCGACAGAATGTGTCCAGTTTGGGCTGCTGGGAGCAGACTTGATCAGACTTGTTGGCCAGCAGCACAGCTGGGACAGGTTTGCCATGACTCAGGGTGACCTTAGTGTCCAGATCGTCCTTCCACTTGAGTACGGCATCAAATGTGGAGGCGCGGGTCACGTCAAACACCACCAGAGCTCCCACTGCCTCCCGATAATACACACGAGTCATATTCCCATAGCGTTCTTGTCCTGGGACAAACAAATACAAGAACAGCACACATCAGGGTCAGAGGCACATAGCACTGGTGTATCTATACTTTAATTATATGTACTTAACTATCTAATTATATTGCATTATGATATGGCACAATCCAAAAACTGGTCAGGTTTTTCATATTACAGAGAGAGAGAGACTGCTGGCAGTAACTGCTGTGCTCATGTGACTATAATATGAGCATGAGACAAGCTGAGCCCAACACAAGACACATTCCTCCACAGTGCACATGAAATACCATAGGGAGAAATACTGTACACCGTTCATTAGGATGATTAATGAAACATTGGCTATCTATGGATAAGACTAAATATAATTATCATAAAAGTGTGATAATTCATTGATAAGCCTATTGAGTTGTTGGAAACATAAATATGATTTTACACAAAATGCTAAACTTTAATAAAGTCTGACGTATCATCCAAACCACTTGTATTACAATGAATGGACATATAAAGTAAAATATTAAAGTAAAATGGACTGGTTTGACATACCGGCAATATCCCAAAGCTGTAGTCGTATAACGGTGTCACTGTCCCAGTGCAGAACCTTGAGCGCAAAATCGACACCAATAGTTGCGCGATAATGTTGAGAAAAGATCTGATGGACATAACGCTTGATGATTGACGTTTTTCCGACCCCAAGGTCGCCTATAACGAGAACTTTGAACAAATGCTCATGCTGCATGGTCTGACTTTGTACAACAGCCCATTCAACACGCACACCACTGGATACACTATCTGCCAGTGATGATGGCTTTCTGGAAGACAGATGATGATTTAATACTAATCCCGTTCCAACTACAGCCTGACATTCTTTCAAGTGTTTTCCATATAGAACTTGTAATGTTTACTGTAGGCCTATGTCACGGTGCACCCATACGAAATGATGCCTTCATATCCAAAGGATGAAGTCAAGCTAATTATGTAATCCAACTTGATTCCATAGACCGTAGCCTACACGAAAGGTCAACTTTTGATCTTATAATATTTTCAGCATAGGCCAACTTTCTCCTCAAAATATCAAATTTGTGATAGGTCTACTCCATAGCTCTAACACCTCCGCAATTAGTTTCTCTCCCTCCAGTCGCTTCGAGACCAGTTTGCTACCCGATGTCATGTTACCAAAACATTTGAAAACTGCCTAGACTCAGCCACACCCATTATCTTCTACCCTGCAATAGCCTACTGTAGGTCTACTTCATAGCATGATTCGCACACTAGCTATTTAATCATTCAGAAGACATTAGACTACACAGCTGCCCACAAAGATAACCCGAACCTAATCTTCTAAAAAATACTTACATTTAAATTACCCTTTATAGCACCCAAGTGTAGCACCCTCTATTGAGAGCAGCGCGTAATTGCAGATACATTTTTGCTGCGTTGCTGTCTGGGTTCTTACGGTAATGGTGCTGATGAGGGATGAGTCGGGCTATGTGATGCAGTTGTTACTGCCATTTCATCAGCGGATTTTCAAAAACATCTCTCCATCTTTAAACATGGATTTACCATAACATTAAACCATCGACAAGTTTTAAGGACGACCATTAGCCTATTACACATCAAACTCGCCAGTACAGTAACAAATCCCTGTGTAGAATAAAATAAAATGATAGCCTAGGACAAGGCCTATTTGCGACTCCTTGGGGTAAAACACCGTGTTTGACTAGGCCTCCTGGGATCACTGTTTCAGAGAGCATTTTCGAGAAAAAATATTTGTCAAGATCATGGGGTTTGCTATTGCCAGGCGTTGATCGCCCATCTAACAAGGTAATTGCACATAAGTTTGTAGGCCTACATGCGGATGTGTATATTATGGATTAATATGGCATTGCCATAGAGAAGAACGTTGTAACTCGATCTATGAAGGGCGGAAAGAAGATCAGTTAAATGTGTTTTAAATTAAGATGGCTTATTGTAAGACTTCAGACTTATGTAGCCCAGACCTAACACGTTTGAGTATTCAATATGTAGCCTATTGTTTGTCCATAAAAATGTGCATAACTCCCCTTTTAATTTTGTTTGTAAAAAAAAAAAAGGTTTTATGTCAACACTATGTTATTGCACTTGATTGGCTTTGCTATGCACCAACGGTGTTTCTATGGGAGCTGAATATACGAGTTATGCACCAACAGTGTTTCTATGCGAGCTGAATATACGAGTGTTATTTAGCAAGAGCTGTCTGTGCATTTAACCTGGAAAGAGGAGCGGCCTTTCCCTCATTGTAATGTAGGCTAGGGCAAGCAGACAACTGTTTTTCAAGAATACGCAATTAGTCCGTCCGCCGTAGGCTATTGGAATTCGAAAATTAATAGGCCTACTTAGCACCACTCAAGTCGATTTTGGATGTTGTGCGCCCTGCGCGCACACATCATTACGAATAGGCCTCGAAAAAATTGTCAGGCCTATCACACAGAACTACATAAAAAATAGGCCGGAAAGGATAACACTTACAATGTTTACAAAAATTGGAGTAAAACAAAACATTGGAGTAAAACAACCCACTGGACACACACTGGTGAATCAACGTTGTTTCCACGTCTGTGCCCAGTTGGAAGCTTACAACAGTTTAACTAAGCTCATGGGGCATATACTGTATGACAGGGTTCTTCAATTCCGGTCCTGGAGGGCCGAAACACCTCTGTTTTTCATCCTCTCCTTCTAATCAGGGGCTAATTCAGACCTGGGACACCAGGTGAGTGCAATTAACTACCAGGTAGAAATAAAAAACAGAAGTGTTTCGCCCCTCCAGGACCGGAATTGAAGAACCCTGCTGTATGAGTTATATTCTTAAAGAATGAATGGGTATATAGGCGATCATTAATGGATGTACTGTAGATACTAAGGATTCTAGATTTAAGCTAGGCTACTTGATTATAGGTTGATTATAGGCCATTTACTATTCGTCAACGATTTTTTTTTTTTTTTTTTTTACATAGATTCTGTGAGATATGGAAGCGATATGGCTGTACCAGTTTCGACTCATCGTCATTGGGGACTCGACAGTAGGAAAGTCGTGCCTGATCCGGCGATTCACCGAGGGACGCTTTGCGCAGGTGTCCGACCCCACAGTCGGTGTAGACTTCTTCTCACGGCTAGTGGAGATAGAGCCAGGGAAACGCATTAAACTTCAAATCTGGGACACTGCTGGACAAGAGCGATTCAGGTGTTGTTTTTAGATTCTATTTTCCTTTTATAATCTTCCATTGTAAAGACGAAATAATTTGTCTTAATTAAAACACGTTTTTTTGATAGTCATCTGTAAATATAATTATTATAACAATATGCAATTTTATCTCTATATTATTAATCACATACCCTTTCGCTTTCTTGATGTTGAACCTCACCACTTCTCTGTCACATCCTCTGTTTTTTCCTTTCCCTGCTTCTCAATACTTATATTTACAATTTCTCTCAATTCTGTCTGTCTTCTCTGCTTACCCCCTTCAACCCTCTCTAGGTCTATTACCAGGGCTTACTACCGTAACTCTGTTGGGGGGCTGCTGCTGTTTGACATCACCAACCGTCGCTCCTTCCAGAATGTGCATGAGTGGCTGGAGGAGGCCCGCAGTCATGTCCAGCCTCACAGTATCGTCTTCCTGTTGGTGGGTCACAAGTGCGACCTGGAGTCCCAGAGGCAGGTGAGCCAGCAGGAGGCTGAGAAGCTGGCAGGTGCCTATGGCATGCGTTACGTGGAGACATCGGCTCGCGATGCCATCAACGTGGAAAAGGCCTTCACTGAGCTAACGCAGGACATATTTGAGCTCGTGAAGAGCGGTGACATCAACATCCAGGAGGGCTGGGAAGGGGTGAAGAGTGGCTTTGTGCCCAATGTGGTGCACTCCTCAGAAGAGGTCACCAAGAGTGACCGCCGGTGCCTCTGCTGAATGTGCTGTCTGTCTAGTTGGCTTTACCCCTCCCAGCCCATGTATTCCTGTAACATTATGACCCACTAGCTCCCCGTCTTGTCACCTGGCATTTATTTGGCTCTCTCACTCCTATCCTGAATACTGGAAGGCCATATCTGCTCTAGTCTATCACTGAATAATACATGGTTAAAGCTATTTGGGTCGTTCCATGAAAAGAGGGCCTTTTGTGTCCCTTTGATATATTAAGTAGAAATGGTGCACCAATATAGCATTTTAATAGCCTGTTACATTTTGACATGTCCCTCAGTCAACCCTGTGTCACTTCTAGGAGGATTTTAACCCACTTAATCCCAACATTTCTCAAAGTTAAATTTTGTTGCTTTGCCAAAGTCATTTCTGAAGATTATTATTAATTTCATATGATTAGTGATTCATTTATGTCTGTCCCTCATTTTAAGGTCAATGTGTAACGTGAACTGAACTCTCATTTTAATATGGTGAAGCTATTCCTTAAAAAAAAAAATATCTAAAGAAACATTGAACATCTAATAGTGAAATCATAGTGTAAAAGCAGGTGAGCTGGTTCTACTCGTTTTTGCCCATTTTCTGGTGTTTTGTGGTGTAAAACTGAGCGGGTTGAGCATAACATGTCAACCCTGTTTCCCATAGATAGACAAGTTAGAAATATTCTAACAATTAAAATTGTTTGGGTGAAGCTTGCATTCAATTGCCAATCCCTCTTGCACACAACAAGCTTATATTCCCCCTGTCACAAGGGCATTTATGGCTGATTTAAGATGAAATGGTCAACCCTGTTATGGTCAACCCTATTTGGCACTTTATAGGCACTTACTATAGTCATGGAAAACTAGTTTTTTATGAAGTTGAACATGTGCTCTTTATGACAGAATGTTAAAATGAGCTGAAATCCCCCCCAAAAATCTACCAAGTTACACTTCTCAAAAGGCACCGAATTGGTGGAACGACCCATTTCCCAAAGTAACCTCCCTCGCATCTGTCTTACCTGTTACATGCACTTGAAAGATAAGAAATGCCCCGTTTTATGATGACATTTTCCTCTGTATTTATGCCACATCTTTTGCCCTACGTAAGGAACACACCTCGAACGTTACAAGTCTGTCCTGGAGTCTGGAGCGCTCACACAACTTTCAGGGGGGATACCTAACCTCCCTAGTCTATTGCTGGCTGGTGTGTGCAATACAAGGGGACACCAAATCTAGCTCTGCTTCTTCCACCCTCTCTATCGAAAGATCCAATGCACAGAGAGAAGCATGTGTTGTATTAGCACTGCTTGAGCATGTGGGGAATGGCACACTGCTGTGTGCAATGCCACTTCTGCTTTAGTTGTGAGACTGACGGCACCACCAGACAAATGAACAACCAAGAGCACCATCATCATTGCCATCATCCTTTTGATCGTAGATAAGATGGAACCAAAGCTTGTGTGTACTGATTCAGTTGTCAACTGTGTTTCTATACAAGTATCCACAGGGAATTTGTACCGTTGAGTGTGGGTATGCACTGTGAAATGCCTAACATCAATGTTTTTATTGCAGTTTGCGTCATCGTTGCTCATATTAAATGCACAGTTGGTGACAAAAGGTATTGTACAACATATCACCCCTTTTAGCTACCCTGTCCATCGATCATAATCATTACAGAGAATGTGTCTCATGAGAAAGCTGTTTTATTTACTCCATTGGCTTAAACTGTAAGCCCACCCCTTAAACATTGACATCTACACAACGATAATGCCTCCTGATGAACACTACAGCTTTAAATGGGGTCAGCTGTGCTAGGGTTGTTTGCCTTTAGTTTTTAAACACCTCCATACTGTATGGTCGTATGCTTGTAGTTTTAACATGATTATAAGCAACATTCTGCATAAGCAACATGTCCTATATTTCTTCCCACCCTACAGTGTAAAAAAAAGGACTCTTTGGATCAACCCAAAACATTCCTCCAACTGGTTACAAGTAAATTAGTTAGGTTTTCTCAATTGATAAATACTACATTTGTTGAAACCAAAGATATGATTCAATGGCGACAGTTTTATTTGATTATTACCAAACCTATATTTCAAGTTGCAACCTATATTTCAAGATGCAATGTATTTATTTCAACACTCAACGTACTTTCCCCCGTTGGTTAAACCTAATAAATAACAAACATAAACTAATATTTCATGTAAATGTAACACATTTTTTAATCTTGTTCCAATTACCTATCCAATTAAAAAAATTCCCTGTAAAACAGGAAATTAAGTTGGTTCGATAACTTGAAATAATGTTTCCAAACATATTCTTTACACATTTAGTAGCCACAATATCATAACCAAGAATTAGCTACCTTAACATAGAAACCTTAACAGGCTCTTTAGTGTCACATGCACTTATGCAAGGATCATTACAGATGCTGTCAGTGTACAAGTTTAAGTTTGAATAACGGATACAATAGACCACATTAACAGGAATGACATTTACTCTCACAGGTGTGCAAAAATAACAAACTGAAAGCCACTCCCCCAATAAGCTATGCCTCCAACTCTTCTGATAGTCTGCCGCAGCTACATTGCCCCACCGCTATTCAATGCGCATGATGCGCTCATGAGGTGTTGAAAGCAATTTAGAACTTTAATTCAATAAAAAAAATCACATTGATCTGTCAAATTTGTTATTTGATTTCAGGGACATTTTATAGAATAGGTTGAATGAACCAAAGCATATTTTTTTAATCATTCCAATCAGTAAATGCACTTCAGAACAACAGCATCATCCCACTTTTTACAGTGTATTAGACTCAGCCATGTGCTTTATCGAACCATTATGACTTCTAACCTCAATCCTTCGTATCTCCTAAGCAGTTTTTTCCCTCAATGCTAGTTTCCACCCTCCTCATTGCAACTTTTTGCTAAGCTATGAACCCCTTTGCTTCCAGGGCCCCCATGTCCATATCTATGCATAAATCCCCCAATACAATGTTAATGCAAGCAGACAATGTCTGAGAGCAATTTCAGGAGCCTCCTGGGTTCAAAGTATCTATGCAGCGGGAAACTAACCATTTGCTCTAGAGCAGGGTCTCCCAAAACTCTGTCCTGGGGCCCTCTCCCCTGGGTGCACGGATTAGTTTTTGCCCTAGCACTACACAGCTGATTCAAATAATCAAAGCTTGATGAGTTGATTATTTGAATCAGCTGTGTAGTGCTAGGGCAAAAACCAAAACTTGAACCCAGGGGGGGCCCCAGGACAGAGTTTGGAAAACCCTGCTCTAGAGGAAAGCTACAACACACATTCATTAATTTTACTGTCCTTCAACCCTCACAATGTGTTGAACGAGAGGGTTGTTCATTACCGCACGTGTATAGTTGCATTTCACCCATTTGAAATTTGATTTTCCAAAGAAAACGTGTCTTAATGGATTTCTGATATTACATATTGTAAATAGCCAGGGTGTACTGGGTGCATTTATTTCTAGAACATGAAATGTTATATTAGCGTGATAGAATTCCAGTTTGACTTTCTCACGATATGGGGAGAAAATTCCATATATTTCCATATATTTATCTTACAGTAACTTGAGTGGAAAGGGAGAAGGCTTTGAATGGGTGTTGCTCTGTTCAGAGTAATAAGATCATTTGGTTTCCCCCACTTTCACTGAAGGCGTACCCTCTGATTATGAAAGGAGATAGAAGAAAGGAATGTCCACAGCCTTTATAGAGACATCTGGTACATACATATGATACATGCTTATTGAGCCTCCATGTGCCAGACACATACCAGTCTGTTGTTGAATGGACTCCTGTCTGTGTTCTCCGCCAGGTACCAGATCAGCTGCTCATTTCACATTCACAGCACTGGCACCTTCACATTCACAGCACTGGCACCAAACAACCTTTGTCTTTCTTTCTAAACCATTGACTGACTGTAATATAGGAATGTAGAGAGAACATTCAGACCGACATTCTCTATAGTTCATGATCTCTGCTAGACACCGGAGGCTCTGGATGATGGAGCTTACCTGCACAATGTGATGTAGAGGTTTGAAATGACTACGATATATATCTAGTCAAAGCAAAGATGTATTCCAATTAATTTATGTGACTTGTAAATGTTATTTGAAACAAACATAAAGCCGACCATGTTTATTTAGCGGTGTATAGGTTTGGGGTGCATAGCAGGGCAGGTTTGATGTCTCATATGCTTGTAAGGAATAAACATTTGATCTCAGCAAAGGCATGGTCAATATTCCAGTGCTTTATGATGCCCATCCAAAATACATGTTCAGTGTTAGTTACCTCTGCATGCACACCTATACCCCAATTACTTGGATATTCCCCCGGTCTGGAAAAAACATACTGTTTATTCAACAAGCAGTTGAAAGAATTTGATATTCCAGAGGTGAAACTGGATATACAAGCAGGTCAAAGCACTGGAGACTAAATTAATGTAATGTCGGTGATGTATCTATGTGTACCACAAAGATACTATGAACTAACTCCTTATTAAATTGTGAACACTGTTGATAAGAAAACAACTTTGCCATATACAAACACAAGAGGGCAGCACACACTAACGAGATGGCCTTGTGAATGGTTAGAAGGTAACAATCACAAGGTGCAACGTTAAAGACAAATATAGTTCAAATATAGGGTGGCAAAAACATATGGGATTCTACTATGAATAAAGAAACAATTCCTATTGAATGTGTATAATGTAATGTTAACTCACCAACGCCCATGCACACAGTGAAGCGGCACCACATAACCATGTCCAGCTGCATCCAGTGGTGGAAAACGTACCCAATTGTCATACTTGAGTAAAATTTAAGATAGAAAATGACTCAAGTTAAAGTGAAAGTCACCCAGTAAAATCCTACTTGAGTAAAAGTCTAAAAGTATGTGGTTTTAAATATACTTAAGTATCAAAAGTAAATATAATTGCTAAAATATACTTAAGAATCAAAAGTAAAAGTATAAATAATTTCAAATTCCTTATATTAAGCAAACCAGACGGCACCATAGTCTAGTTTTCATTTTATTTACGGATAGCCAGGGGCACACTCCAACACCCCAACATTTACAAATGAAGAATGTGTGTTTGGTGAGTCTGCCAGATCAGAGGCAGTAGGGATGACCAGGAATGTGCTCTTGATAAATGTGTGAATGGGACCGTTTTCCTGTCCTGCTAAGCATTCAAAATGTAACGAGTACTTTTGGGTGTCAGGGAAAATGTATGGAGTAAAAAGTAC